TCAGATCATCATCAACTACCTCTTTTGGTGCCCTCACCCGAGTGTTCTGCTGCCAATATTAATCTAATGACGGGAAATAAGATTGTTGATACTAGTACTAATAACCCTAATACTAATCAAGATCATGTAATTTCTGACCCAAACTCACCCAGTACTTCAACTACTTCAACCACCTTTGAAGCTTGGGGGGATCTTATGGATCATCATGACGAATCAACTAATCATTCTTACTGGAAACACATCATCCTAGATCGTAAGTACTAAGAATATATTAATCTTGTTCTCTCTGTTTTGTTTATTTCCTTTTCTTTAGTTATCTAATAATGAACTGTTGCTGTTGCTCTTTAATTCTTTTGCATGCATGAATAATGATGTATATATTTTGTCATTAATTTGCAGCTTAGCATCTTTGCAGACATGGCCAATCTCGTAGAAGATCAGTTTCATTTCATGTCCCAGCTGGATCGATCCATTTAATTATATAGTATACCAGATCAATAACTTTAGTATGTTCATCTACATATACGTACCGATGGCTTTCCAATTATGTAAAAACAAAAAAATGGGTATACCCATGGTATTTTTCTTGTGTAATAGTTTTTTTAAATTTATTGAACCACATATATAGTATCAGCTTGAACTGATCCGTTTTTTATTATGTATACTTTTTTTGTTTCTTGATCTGGCTATAAATCTATGAATCTGGATCTGCGCTAGATCTTCTTTGTGAGGATTTTGTGAATTTGTGAATCATGTTCGTTCATCGTTCATCGTACATCGTGTGGTCATAAATCATTTTAAATATTTTTATTTAAAATTAAACACAAATAGTATTTGATAAAAACTTACCGCACGATGTACAATGAACGAAAACGATTCACTGATCCCTAAAATCCTCACCAAAAACATTCAGAGAGGATCCTGTTGGTAAATCTACAACTCCAATCCCAATTTTCATTTCATTTGACATTGGAGCTAGAGCCTAGAGGGGATCTTTGCCATGGTGACCAAACAGTGGGTGCATGGTACAAAACCAGGCACGAATTGAAATTGGTAAGTGAAAAAGACAATTCAAGTAAAAAGTAAAAATAGGGTTTGACCTTTGAACCTCATGTCAAACATCTCCGTAACGTGTACAGTCACGAAACCCTAGCTACAACAAATCAAATACGGCAAGTGATCCTCTACCATATTGATGAAATGAGTGTTGTTCTTGCGTTACGATATGAGTTTGAGTCTCATTGACTACCTGATGTAACATCTAATTTAACAAATCTGATGTTTGACAAAAAACTAATTCATACTTATATCAAACTTTTGATAGAAAAAAAAAACCCGAGACTTTACATTACACATTGAGTTGGTAAGGTTTATTCACTTGTTAGAACAAGGGTTAAATTTGAGTTCCGCTGCCAGTATTTAGTGAGTGATTTGTTAAAAATAAAAACAAAAAAATAAAAAAAAGCTAAGACTTTGTCATGATATATGTGTGTATATATAACTTTGTTATGATATAGGTGTCGGAGGATGCAAAGGTGACATGCAGACCCCATTTAATTGATTTTGAAGTAATTAAGAAAAATATGTGGGTAAATTACACTTTCATACATCAGGTTTAGAGTCTATTTCAATTCCTTACCACATCTTCAAAACATTTCACTTTCATACCTTAAGTACTATTTTATTTCAAAATAATACCTCCATTACATTTTCCATTCATTGATCTGTTAAATACTGACATGGCTGCTACATATACGCCACGTGGCTGCCAAATGTCTGTCATGTGGCAAATAAAATAATTTTTTTTAAACCTGAATTTTCTTAAAAAAAAAAAAAAAAAAAACAGACCTAGTATCCCTCCCCCCCCCCACCCCCAGCGACCCACATTCCTATCCCTAACCCAAAAAACCTCTGCAACCAGCAAGAAGAAGAAGAAGAAGAGGGAGGAAGAAGAAGAAGAAAAAAAAAAACCCCCCAAACCCAGTTCGTCCCCACACACACCCCCCCCCCGGGGCCGTGTGACCTTCCCCCTTCTCCGCCCCCCTCGGGTAAGGATCTCGTGATTTTCAGTATGGGTGGGTTTTGAAAATACTTTGAGTTTGAGATGATTTTTGGACTGGTTTTGTGGTAGATCCACCTAATCTCAGGTGGAATTTTTGTGGGTGATGGGGGATGGGAGAAAAGGGTGGCTCAGGTGGGATGAACTGGGGCTTTTTTTTTTTTTTTCTCTCCCTCTTCTTCTTCTTCTTCTTCTTCTTCTTCTTCTTCTTCTTCTTCGTCTTGCAGGTTTTTGGGTTTTGGGTTAGGGTCGCTTGGGGGGGGGGGTGGCGGGGAAAGGCACTAGTTTCAATTTTTTTTCATTTTTTTTTTTGAGAAAATTCAAGTTTTAAAAAAAAAAAAAAGTAAAAAAAAATATTTTATTTGCCACGTGGCAGACATTTGGCAGCCACATCAGCATTTAACAGATCAATGGATTGAAAATGTAACAGAGGTATTATTTTGAAATAAAATAGTATTTAAGGTATGAAAGTGAAATGTTTTAAAGATGTTGTAAGGAATTGAAATAAACCTTAAACCTGAGGTATGAAAGTGTAATTTACCCAAAATATATTCATAAGATTTCTAAAGAGAAATCCCAATTAGAAGCAAGCTAACCTTCTTGTACAACGACGACAAGGGTTGGTACCCTATATATTGAGTATTGACCTATAAACGCAACTAACCCTATACCTACTCTTGCCAAATATGTATAGATTCTCACCTAAGTTTTCATGATTGTCATGCCAATCAGACAATCGGGATACACACAAATAGTGTTGCTGCAATTATAAGTAACGGCATTCTCAGTTAAAATAACAGGATTCAAGCTTGCTTGTGTGTACGTGCTTGTTATAAGTAGATGTAGATGTGAAGGTGCCTAAGGAACCGCCCTAAAATACGTTGTTAGAGGCGTTGGCTATTCGTAGATCTGTTATACAGGCGATTTAGCTACTTTCTTTCAACCCTGAGTAGGTGGTATTAGGTGAGGGGATACACGCAGAACCGTTTAATTGTGGAACAAGCTACGCACCTTTGAGTTCTCGGGGTGAGGTGCGAAGCTAGTTCCCGAGTAAGTAGCTAAAAAGAGGGCAATCAAGCAAGCGATCGTAGGTACGCTATTTATTTATATAAGCAGATTGTGATACTTTTTTGTCCGCACATGACCATAAGCTGTCTTTGCTTATTTCCTTGCTTAGCTACCCTCGAATGATTTGGTACGCGCTTGCCAGCCCCTCACCCCTATATATATACATACATACATACATACATATATATACATACATCATACATACATACATACATATATATATATACACATACATACATACATACATATATATATATATAAGGACTTTGAATCTACTAGTATCATACAATAATCATCAACAAAAATACACTCCTTATATATATATATATATGTATGTATGTATGTATGTATGTATGTATGTATGCATGCATGTATATGTTAATAACGGAACAACATATGAGTAACAAATGGTAGTAAGATCATATAATGTGTCAAGTGATGCATACAACAATATTTAATGAGATACTATCATTAATTGATGTGCCACATCATGTACATGGTATAAAAATATGATATTCCTAACATTTTTTATATTTGAAAAATAGAAGGGTGCTATACTTAGGTTGTATCTTGTATGAGTTGATTCAAGGGCTCCTGTTTGATATGATCTAGTGGTATTCTTCTTCACTTGTAAGTGAGAGGTCTTAGGTTCGATTCTCGTCAAAAGTGAATTTGATTTACATTATTGTTAGCCCATTATGAAGTTAAGTCCATCTCATTTCTTCTAAAAGTACATAATACCGTTTGTGGAGGTGACTACTGAATACTGAGTAGAGTAATATAATTTATTTAAGAATGATCAACTCAACGATTTTGTTTTAAAAATGATATTAACACCTCAATTCAACTTATGCATTAATTAGTTTTAAGGCTAACTACATTTAACATCTTTCAGATTAAGGTGATCTTTTTTTTTTTTTTTTTTTTTAACAAACGATATTATCAACACTAGGGAATAGGCTTAGCCTTACAATGGGTTAGCAAGAATGTAGTTCAAATTCATCTTTGACGAGAATCGAACCTAAAATCTCTCATTTACAAGTGAAAAGAAATATCATTAAACCGTAATACTAAGCGGTGATTTTTAAAAGCGGCATGAAGCTTTAATTTTTGAACATTTAATTCTCCTTAAAATATGAGTTCTTTTTTTTTTTTTGTCATTGCGGGTGCAGATGTGTCTTACATATTAGCCTACGTAAGGTTCTCGAACTCACCACACTATCAATTTAAGAATATCATGCATTCAATCAGACTAAAGGCACAAATCGAAACAATTTCAATACCTTAGTATGGAATATGAAGAAGTTAAAACTTTGTATCCCATTAATCTGAACTAGTTCTCAAAATGATCAAACGGAAGGAGGTTGCACTTGTTTTTCTAGTTATCAACATTAATTGTTTCAGATTTGTTCTTCTGAGAGCCAGTGAGTGAGTGAGAGTACGAGGGAGGGAGAGAGAAGTGATGGAGAATTAAGCATAAAATTATAAAGGCTCTCATTTCATGGACAACCAGTCGCTCCATCTGCATCTGGGAAAATAAGACGAGACCAAAACCATAAATGTATATATAGACATGTGATCTGCAAATTTAAAGGTAGCTGCTGCAATTATTCGAAATTTATTGGTGCACATGATGATATATGTGACAGTTACCCAGCTTACATGCAATTCGTATCTACATGTATGCTCACGATGATGGTGACCGTACCCCTCTCATATCATATCATGCACTCACCGCTTTCCACTCTCCACTACATTGACTGTATGCCTCTCATCACAAGAAGAAATTCACAGCTACCTAAATTGGAAAAACCCAATCCAAGTAACACAATTGTCAATCTCCCTCCTCTTGCTCGGCTCCTCCTACTCCTCCTTATGACTTCCTGTGTTGTTTGACATCGGACTCCAAACTGGTGGCAGCTGCTTCTTCCTTGAGCTGCAGGAGCTCCTTTTGGTTTTGGTTTTGGCTTTGGGGATGACTACTTGTTGCAAGCAGATTCAGCAAAAAGTCAGTCAAGGCATGCTCATAGTTAGGCAATTTGGCATACCCAGGAAAGTAATTGATGTCGATCACAAAATAGCTGCTGGGGTCCTTCGAATCCCTTATCACGTCAAAGTTGAAAAAGTTGAGTTTGAGGCCCACGCGTATCCCCTTCGCCACCTCCTCAACAAACTCCAGCGGAGGCATTTCGTGAGGATCATGAGCCAGATTATGCTCGTCATTCGCAGAATTTGATATCTGTGAAAAAGGAAGCATCGCTCCTTCCAGTGCGGTCACCTGCTCCTCCGAAATGTCCGGCAGCGACCTCCGCTTGACGCACTGGACGTGCTCTCCGATTGCGTAACCCTTGAACACCACCCCACCGTGGTTCACAAACTGTTGCAGCAAAATGGGACTATCAGTATCGGCCAGAAGACTGCGCAACCCCATGGGGCTAAAAATCAAACACATCTCGTGCGACTTGGCGCTGCCATTCGCCAACAACGGTTTTGCAATCACCGGAAACTCCAACCCCGCCAACAAATTAGTTGCTTCTTCACCTTCCGGGTAATGGTCAACCAGCACCTGTTTGGGCACCGAGATCTTCGATTGGAATCTGTCGCCTGACTGACGCGGCTTCGATTCAAAGGCGGTGACGACGTCGAGCATGGAGACCCGATTATGGAGGCGCTCGATGGACTCGGGCGGGTCAAGAATGAGCGTTTGTGGATACTTTGACGAGTATTCCTTGAGGTGTTGGTTCCAGTGGGGGCCGTAGAGCTTGTGGATGATGCAATGGAAGGGGCCTTGCTCGATCAGGGTCTTGGCGGTAGCGGTGGAAACGGGGATTGAAATGGGGACGAAATCGATGCCGTAACGGGAGGCATGGTGGAGGAGAGAGGGCTGGATGAAGGTCTGCTCTTTTTTGGGTGCGAAGGCATACCCGATGCGGTAGCGACGGACCGGTGCTGCTTCTGATTGTGATACTGGTGAGTTTGTTCTTGGCGCCATCTCTTTCCTCCTCCTCCTTCTTCCTGCTGGATCTGATGGACCTGGTATCGTATATTGGTATATTGGTATATGAGAGAGGAGGGGCGGCCCTCGGCATATATAGGCTGCGCGCTGCCGCTACCTTCGGTGGGAGGGAACCCACTTACGTCTCAAACCGTTTCCTTTGATATTTTTCTTTTCTTTTTATGGATGGGGACAAGAACAATCGGACAATCCCATATTCTGTCCAACGTTTGTTTAGTTACTAGTTGGGCTCTTGTTCCTTTTCCTTTCGGTCCACCCCGCCCCGCCCAACCCCACGGTGGCAATTCTTTTTTCATTTTGTTTGCTCCTCTTTTTTCACTTTCAATTCCAAACACGTCGGGATCCGATCCATGGTTCGTATTCGACTCTGACTTGTGACTCCGACAGCGACCGTCGCTCTTAATAAAAACTACAGAATAGGAATCGGATTCTGGGATGATCAGATGCTGAATTGGAAAAGAAAAAGCGCTAGATACATTTACTCTATTTTATTCTCCTCATACCAAGACAAATTTAGAGTCCGAATAAGAAGCTGAAAATTACCCGCCCTTCCCTTCCCTCGCGTCTCATTCATTCTTCAATCAAGTTTCTGCAAGTAAATGATTCTTTCTATACTACTCACTTTGAAACCACCCAACCCAATCCCTATTGAAATACACACACGACTCTAACAGCTCACACAAACTAGTCAACTTCTCGAACAAAAAGCTAACAAAATAAAATGCACAACTTACAAAACAACTGTTTCACACGGGCATTACCAATTGAAATCTAACTGCTGCCCACCTAAACGCACAACATATAATTTACCAGCAATCGCACCTGACTTTTACTTTTACTGCAGTCACTCACTCACTCAGTCCTTCCGCGGTTTGTCTGTACAGGCATACTGGTCTCTCTTTACAGGAGAAGGTAATGTTTGAGTTATTGAGGGAGATTTTCATGCACATGTGTTGATGCCGCATTATGGAGCTGTGTTGATGCAACACTCTGAAACATTGTTGGCACCGCATTATGCAACTGCATGGGCCTTGAGTCAGAAAGTTGCTGCCACAAGTAACAAGTTTCCATTAGTCTCATATGCTCAACTCCATGCCCACCTCCTTTTTTTCTTCCCCAATGAAGAAAATTTCAATACAAAATCCTACCTTGGAGATCAACACTCAACACTTTACTAATAATATCAGTATCACACATCACACACACAGCAACAGAAAAAGTGCCATATACGTTATGGTATACTATAATGATACACACTCAAATCAAAATTATTGATGTGGTGATAGTTAAACTTGGATTCAAATATCTACCAGATATAAAATGGAAAGTAAGTTATGCTTAACATCTGTAAGCACTGTCCAATACCCATCAAGACCCAAGTTCAAAAGGTTCTCAAACATCATACACCAAAGAAAGGGTTCTATATATTTCAAATAGCACACGTATAAGCACTGTTCAATATGTTAACAAAACCACTGCGTTCCAATGGTTTAACTCAACCCTGTCAATCTGCAAGGGGATACAGATTCGAGTATTCTCAGGTCAGGTTACCAAAGGTGGTCAGAATCCTCAACCGAAACCCTTGAAATCGATTACATGGGCTTATGGTCAGTAAAATTCTGCTATCCTCAATTCTTTCTTAGTTATAGCATCAGTATTAGAATCCGTGATTAAATTTATTTCCAAATTAGATCATGGCCCCTCATCAGATACATGTCCAGCATTAATGCTTTTGTTTTCTGCACAGTGAAAAGTGTCTTGATTGGAAAGACCAAAATCTTCAAAAGTAGAAGTTTTCTGAAGTGGCTCCATTTTTAGGAATACCTCTATTAAATTTGCGTGCAACTTACTATCAGGAAACATACCATTTGGAAATGGCTGACTTGCGTTCCAAAGCTCGTAACTTCCAGCTGAGGTACCTGTTATGCCAATTAAGCAAACTTGAGTCCTTAGTAATGCTCTATCATTTTTCACTACTCACCTATTTTCCAAATTCAGACAACAAAATTAAATGCTATTTTCCAAATGAAAAAACAATACAAAAAAAATGACCAATAAACCATCAGGTACCTTTCCTTTCTTGCTTGTGCTATTTCCATTCCTAGCCACCTCCTTCCCGGACCCGGCTCTCCTAGGAGTCTTGTTGGCACCAGATGTAGTGCTGCATTGATTCTCTTCATCAACACCGCAAACACCATGTATTGCTGAATCATGAGGCTTTGCATTGTTCTCAAGACAGTTGGTTAAACTTGCACATTGCTTCAACGCTTCTTTTATGGCCAATAATGCTACATCATAACTTTCTTGAGAGAGTGACCCCTCTTCACCCAATATTATGGCTCGTCGACATAAATCATTGTAGCGACGGGCTTTAGACTGAACCTCATCCACTCTTTCACCAATGGCATGCCTGCTCATAGCAGCATTTGTCCATCGCTGCAATATATATTTGGGAGGGATGATGAAAACACCAGACATTTGGAGAACAACAATAGCATGTCTACAGAGATAGCCCTTATACTCGAAGGAGTGGCAAGAACAATATATATCTGATTTTGATTCATTCCACTCTACAGTATAATTCTGATTGTCTTCAAAGTCTTTGACACTGAACGTTGTTGCTGTCTCATCTTCATTTTCTTTCTTAAGATGACAAGCAGCTGCTCCCAAAACCTCAACTTGAAAGTTTTTGAAAACCTCATGTGTGTACACTAGTGACATTTGTTTCTCAAACGGCGATGGAGACTTTAACTCAGGTGTTCCATGCCAAGCATCAAAATTTGCTTTCGCTTCCTCTTCATACCTATCTTCAAGAATTGCTCTGTATCTTTCCATAAACTCTTGCAGTGAAGTTTCCCCTTGAATATATTTGTCAAACGAAGAGTTCAAACTTTCTGACCGTGAAGTTGGAGACAACCCAGCGAAGGATATATCTCTCATGAAAGTAGGGGCCCAATGAGTACGATCTTCATACAATGACTGCATCCATCCAACCTCCCTAAGATTAAATCTATCAATAAGTTTCCACCATCTCTTTTCAAATTGCTGTTCTGACCAGGACTTGAATATACACTTAGTAAATTTTTCCACAAAACTATCATGCCACATGCTTAGAAACTCGAGCTGCCTGTGCATCTTCTCCATTATGTTCCATAAAGAAAAGCAATGGCGTGTGCCTGGAAATACTGCTGGAATAGCTGCTTTGATGGCATCGTTCTGGTCAGTGAGCATTACTCGTGGAGCTTGTTCCCCCATTGCTATAAACCATGTTTGCATTAGCCACATAAAAGTATAAACCGTATCATCTGCAATCAAAGCACAGCCCAGTAATGTGGGCTGAATGTGATGGTTCACTCCTATAAAAAGAACCAGCGGTATTTTATACTTGTTTGAGAAGTATGTGGTGTCAAAGAAAACAACATCGTTGAAGTTAGTGTAATCTTCCATTGCTTTGGCATCAACCCAGAACACATTTCTCAACCTATGCTCTTCATTCAGATCAACTGCATAGAAGAATTTTGGGTTGTCTTCCTGTAGGCGCATAAAATATTCAAGCAGCAGTTGAGCATCCCCTGCTTCTAAAACCAAAATCCGTCCCTTGTCATGCTGATTTCTCAAGTAACTCTCTAGACAATCAACATTTTGATAGGCACTGAAGAGGCTGGACACTGCAGCTAAACTCTTGCGTCTCCGGATTCTAACATCATTGTTAAGGGGGTCGGTGTTTCTGTGGCTGCGAAAGAAATGTGCTTGATCTGGTAAAAGCTCATGGTTGTGGTCCTTCACGAAACTATAAACATACCAATTACCATTCGGCCTGCGCTTGACATGCATGCTCGCCTTGCAGCCAATTTTGGGAGAAGGTCGAGGATTGATAGCATCATCGGACTGCTGCTTGTTTCCGTACCGGATGCATGAAAATTTGGCATCAATGAACTCCTTGGATGCTCTAGAGCGACGACTACTCAACTTAGCAGTGCCGAAACCCACGGACTTGGCATATGCTTTGTAGAAGGTGTATGCGGCTTCATGAGATTCAAACTCCATGGCGTCATGAGGCTCTGCAATTGAAGTGGTGGCAAGGGCGAGGGCAGGACCAGAGGAATCCATGACGGTGGTGGTGGTGGGGAAATTCAAATCGACTCCGCATCCGCCCTCAAAAGTGGTAGGGAAGGAAAGGGGTGCAAAAGTTTTCATGTGTCCCACAGACATGGAAGGAAAGAAGCTTCTCCCATGGACATAAATTCAAAAGTTGGGAGGTCAGTGTTCCCATCACCAAGGTAGCCAGCCTGATTGATGGATGGAGGTGCAATTTTACTACTTGAATAGGGTTTAGAGAGAGAGGGAGAGAGACAAATACAAATAGGAAGTGATGAGACAGAGTAACCCTAATCCTAATCCTACCCTAATAACTAGTGAAGAAAGAAAGTTGAAGGCAACTCACTCGCTCACTTTTCAGATTGATGAACAGATGAGATGAGATCCGCTTGACTTGGAGCTCCGATTTCAATTGTCAGCTTCTTCTTCGTCAAGCTCCTCCCAGCCAGCCCCTTCCCTTTGGGATTTTTCTTTATATTTTTATTTTTATATATTTGTTAGCTACTGTAGACTGTAGTGGTGACTAGTGAGAGATAGAGTCCAGAAAGGACCCGGACTTGGTTTACAGCCTAATAGGCCCATATAATATTTATATGGGCTCGCTGCTGCCGGCGTCTAATACTGTCATCTACTCTAAGCATCTTGTTGTACATGAGTATAGGAATCCACACACGCTGCTTCCTTTCAGGTGTCCTGCGTGTGATGGCCTTGTGTTTCAAAGCTCTCCCCTGGCCAGGCGGCTTGTCACTTGTTGGCTGGTTATCAGAATGGGAAGTTCTTGCCCGCCCTGCATACAACAAAAGGCCCTTGGTCTATTCATCCAATGGAACTAGCTACGCCATTTGTGTCCCAGATCAAGCAATAATTGTTCTCTAATAATAGGCTGTGCCCATTTATATAGATTTGGTAATATCCTGTTATGCGTTTATCAAATATGTGAGCAATTAAACTTTCTACGTGGTTCTGCAGTTGAAAGACGACAAGATCTCATCTTACTTACTGAATTTTGGAGAGGTCATAGGTGCGAGCCTCTTGGTATAATGGATCGTCTAGTGGTTGAACTAGCTGCACCTGCACTATAAAATCCACGACTTGAAATCCTACTCTTCTATCATGAGTAATCTAATCTGGTCCTGAATCCTAAGGAGTTGTTTGGTTTGATGGATGAATCTGGTTCTGAGGAGTCCTGTCCTGTCCTGTCCTGATAGTTGTACATATTATTCATGGTAATTACATACGTCCTAGTCTAGTCTAGTAGGAATTGGCATGGCATTGGTGGTGTCCCTACCCTTCTCCAAATTGTCCAACCCAACGCTCATCTTCCAAACTGTCTTCTGTTTATATATTATTAATGAGAGAGACCACACCACACTCTTTCTCAATGCTCTCCTTCTCCTCATTTATTTAATATTACGACTTTCCTTCTTTCTCTCTCTTTCTTAAATACAAAGAGAGAGTGTGTGTTTGTGTGAGAGAGAGAGATCCTCTGAGTCCTCTCTTTCTCCTCCTCTACCTCTGATGCCCAAAACGCATTAAATACTGCTCTTGTTTGTACTAGTTGTAGGTTGCTGCTAACTACCTACCTACCTGCGTCAATTCCATAATTAAGTGCTTGGACCTTGCACCGGCTGCTGGCCCCTAATTCAATTGCAATCCATATCCCATTTGCTTTCCCTATATTATATTTAGACTCCCATTCATGATTCATCCATCCCTTTTTCAGAAATTCAGATACGTCCCTCATTCCCATCCCATCCCATCCCATCCATCCATCCATCCATCGATGCCTCCTGCCGCAGAAGCTATTCGTAGTTTTGATGATGATGATGATGCTGATGAAACCAGTCCATGTTCAAAGACGACCACAGTCTGCGTCATGGATGCGTCCGGCCGCCTAGGCTCCACTCTCGTCCACCGCCTCTTGCACAGAGGCTATGCAGTCCATGCTGCACTCCAAAAGCATCACAGTATGTATGTTAGACTATTAATTCATTTATCTATAATCCACGTACATCTTGATGAACTGTTTTCTTCTTCCTCCTCCTTGGAAATCCAGTCTTTTATGTTATTTGATTTCCAATCCTGTTTGTCATAGTTAATAGAAACCAAACAACTAGCAAGCTGGATATATCCAAGTCTTTTAGCTACAACTTAGGATATAAACATTCTAAAATGTTTTAGGATTCCTATAGCATGTGCCATGAATTGTACATGATGCGATCATCATCATCATCATCTTGCTCATACGTACGTCGTAACTGTAAGTGGTCCTTTTTTCTTTTCTTTTCTTCAGGATTTAGTCTTCCGATTTCCATTTGTTTATATGAATTGATTAAATTAATAGTAAAGCCGTTGTTTAATGAATTATTATATGTGGGGGTGGGATGGATGAAGCAGAGTGTTTTGATGACGAATTGGTAAAGAAGAAGAAATTGAGAGTATTCCGTTCAGACCCTTTTGACTACCACAGCATTGTGGACGCCTTGAAAGGATGCTCTGCCCTTTTCTACTCCTTCGAGCCTCCTTCAGACCACCCCACTTATGATGTACGTCTCCCATCCTTTTCAATATGGACGGACTCATTTGCCTTTACTCAATCCAGATTAATTATGCTGATTATATTTATATATGATACTTGATGCAGGAATTTATGGCAGAGGCAGAGGTGAGAGCAGCTCATAATGTGCTGGAAGCTTGTGCCCAAACTGATACCATACACAAAGTAGTCTTTACATCCTCTGTAACAGCTGTCATTTGGAGGGACGATCGTAATGCGTCGTCAGCGTCCTCCTCGTCCCGTGGCATTGATGATGAGAGAAACTGGAGCGATGTCAATTTTTGTAGAAAATTCAAGGTACTACTTCATTTCATTTCATAAACATGTCTTTTTGTTATCGCGTAGATGAAAAAATGAGCTGAATTTCAGTTGAGCACCATTACCCTGTACTTTGACCGCATAAAGCATGTTAGTAAATGGGTTTTCAGTTTTAACAGTTGGGTAATTTTACATGGCGAATATGCTACAATCTGTCTCTACCGTAGGCTGACCGTCATGATTTAAAATTGTTTTATCATCAGCTCTGGCACGCCCTCTCCAAGACCCTAGCCGAGAGGACAGCGTGGGCTCTAGCAATGGACCGAGGACTGAACATGGTGTCCATCAATGGGGGGCTGTTGCTAGGCCCTGATCTCACCATCACGGACCCTTATCTGAAAGGAACGGCTGAGATGTACCAAGACGGGCTGTTGGTGACTGTTGATCTCAAGTCCATTGTGGACGCGCACATCTCCGTCTTTGAAGACGTGTCATCCTACGGAAGATATGTATGCTTCGACAGAGTCATCAATTGCTACAAAGATGCCGTTGAGCTTGCCCGCATGCTGTTGCCACCTTCTCAAACCTCATCTCTCCAAACGCAACCCCAAAGCCAAAGCCAAAGGTTTGAATTCATGCTTTGCTTCTCTCTCCCTCCCTCTGTCTTGTCTGAAATGAAATGATTTAGACAATTTTGTGTTGAAACTTGAAACGTACATTTGCAGTTTGGAGGAGGCAGAGACAATGGTGGGGTACCAACAGAAGATAAGCAACAAGAAACTCAACAAACTCATGGTCAACTTTGACACTGCCCTTCAACTCCGCGATTAATTTTGAATCTAGTACCAGTATACTACACTGGATAACGAAACTTCGAATGCTTGTGAATTAAGTGTGCGTTTGATATGAACGCTTTCATAAGAATTTTTTGAGTTTCTTTGCTTTTATCTATATATACTACCTTTAACAGGAATTTTCACTTTCAACCATCCAATCTTCTCTTTTCCTACTCTTTTAAGTCTTAACTTGCAAGGCATGCACATGCATCATGCATGCATCCCATGTTTGGATCCGTCTAGTTTATACTATATCATTCATTCTTCAACAAAAATTACACAATGGCCTAAAACACCATAACTACTTGGGTGCGACATTACCACATGATGTTTCATTTCACACGCAATAAGTAACCACATGACAGTTCTACAGTCGCACCCAAGTATTTTTCCTCAAAAAAAAAATTGTAATGTTTACTTCAAATTCCTATTAGCATTTTCATATCGACATCCCTGCAATATCCAAAAGAAATCAACATCGGTACAAGGGTCGACACAATTACACATATAATTCACGGCTACTGCAGATGTGTGGATGAATTCAGCACGAGGAATCTTTAAGCACTCAGTGACATAGAGACGACTGAAGAGAGCTTAAACTTGCGGACTTTAGAAGAATTTTCTGGTTGGAAGAGGACCTCTGTACTAGACCTTACATTTACCTCCATCCACTTGGAAGCTGAAGCTCCTTCGCTCCGATAATCACGAGGAGAGTACAGAACTTGAAGCCTTGAAGGGGCTGCCACAAATAAAAGGGCCAATATTTAAACATGTGCCTAAATGCAATGTCTATTCCAACGATTTTAAAATTCCAAGTTCCAAACCTTAATCAAGATGTATGCCCTTGCATCCTTGATCATTTTCTATCACTTCAGCATAAATAATGCTCAATAGAGAGAGAGATAAGAACTTGGAGAATTACCAAATCCAAGAATGCTTGTCTTTTGGACAACAAGGCGGCCAATTTTTGATCTTTTGATACTTTTCAAAGCTTGAACATCTTCCTTCTTACCCTTAAATTCCAGAAATTCACCAAGAATATACTTACTACCTTCGAGCTCCAACCTGCAGGCCAATCAAAAAACACAAAACAGTATCCACATAAATGAATTCATCATGCATCAAGCAGCCTATTTCCCTGTAATTCCAACTTGCATGGAAAGGAATGACTTAATGATTCGAGTCAGCAGAGTTAAGGAGGCTGCCCAAATCCCCACTGACTTTGCCTCCGGTGTTAAGGAATTCGACCCTAAAGATCTTCGTAGTTGGTTTACTGACATTTGGATATCTGCTTACCCATATATATTTAGTTTTAGTCCTGTGTTTGTAGTGTGTATTGAGTATTATAATTGAGAATCAGATGAGGTTGGTGCTGAGCCGGGTTCGCCATGGCTTATAAGATAACACCTAATCCCAATTCCCAGGAAAATTGAAAAGAAAACTTTAAAAGTAAAGGGCAACAAACCTATCCCACATTGGAGCCGTACTAAGAATGAAATCAAGCTTCTGACATATAGATTCTTGCATCTCTTTCTTTCCACCACGGAAGGCACCTTTAATCCAACCAGAAAACATGTTTTGTGGTTCCGGTTTCAGCTGCATCAACTGGTCATAGGTTACAACTTCTGATGGAAAATTGCTTGACTGAGTGGTGCTACAAAAAAAATACGTATATGTAAGTAAGACACTAAGACTTCGAAGCACAGAAAAGTAAGAAATGTTATTAGCATGAAAAGTAATTAGATTCGAATGCAGTTGCACCATCCTAAAATTCCTTCTTAAAAGCCATTTGCAATGCATGGCTTTAAACGTCAATACCTCTCAACCAAATATATCTACACCTACATTTCAAACCCTCTTAAGCACCCTCCTTGATAGTTGAAGAAATGTTCAGGAATCAGTCTTTGTTCACTAGTAATGTTCGAAGCAAGAAACATGAGAAAGCAAAGCACTAGCAATTTGGAGGGAAATAGAACTCAGAAAAGACCAAGTAATAATAAATTAGAGCAATTGAAAACATGAGAGGACTCCAGGACGTACCAAACTTTTGGATGGGAAAGTATTACTTTGCTAGACAAATATCCTTGTGGTAAAGCACACCCTCTTTGTTCTAAATATGATTCAAGAATTGAAGCTTGTTTTTGGTCTCCAACACCTGAAAAGAAGTGTAATACTCAATGATGAGAAAGACTAAACGGGAGACTGTCATGAATGAATATCCATGCTACCATTGCCTAGGAAAATGGAATGCACACATAAAAATGAATGGAGAATGCAAACTGTGCACTGGTGAGTCATGAAATAAACCTTCAACCAAAGTGTTGCCCCGTTACAAATGATTTGCGATCTGCGATCTGCGATCGCATTTAACAGTCCACACAAAGATGCTTGCTAGGACTTAGGAGTAGAAGAAGAAATGCTAAATTAAGGGGAGTGAAGAAGAAGGGTCTTACAGGGTCAGGTAGGTGGTGCGCTTTGTGATTACTACTGTGGCTTTCACAAACCCAGCTGCCATCCGCATTCACTGAAACTAATCCTGATAAATTCTTTACACTCACGACCACTGCCTCCCTTTTTTCATTTTTATTATTTTGAATTTGATTTTTTGTAAAGAAAAAACACAAACGAAGACAAACAACAGATAGATTCATCAGCATAATAGACAGAAAAAAGAAAAGAAAAACAATTGAAAATAATATTAAAAAAAAATACAGGAGGGTTTAGTTTAGGCGTTACCCTTTGGAGACGAGGACCAAATCGATGGTCTGAGGGGAAGCGGTATCAGCATCGGGAATGCGAAGGCCGACGTAGACCTTGCCGCCGTAAAGCTTGGCAAGTCTGTCGCCGACGGAGAAGAGAGCCTTGGAATCAGAGGTCTCCACGTCCAAGACATCGTCGTCATCGGAGGAGACGAAGCACCTGTAAAACTTGTATATTATCAGCCCGCAGATGATCTCTAACCACATCCTCTCGATTCGATTCGATTCGTTATCTCTCAATTCTCTCAATTCTGAATTGTAATCTGACTCATGAGCTTTTAAAAAAGTATCTAATTTCTTCGCCGCGTTCGTCTGATTTTGGTGAAAGAAGGAAAACAACCAGTATCGATTTATCTGCCAATCCTCTACTTAGTAGTAGTTAAATTTTGCGAAGGTAAGTGATTAATTTTCACATCTTATGAAATTCATTTATGTTTTGATTTAAATTAAATAAAAGAAATTGTTATTAACATTTCAAAAATTTCATTTTATACTGCAAATTTTTTTATATTAAGAAAGAAAAATACACTTACGAGGGATGTAGAATGAGATTTTTTAAATGCGAATAACACTTCTCTAAATAAATTAACAAAATTAATTGGAAAAGGTTTTTTGAAAGGGTAAATTACATTTACATACATCAGGTTTGAGACCTATTTCAATTCATTACATCATCTTCAAAACATTTCACTTTCATACCTTAAGTACTATTTTATTTCAAAATAATACATCCGTTACATTTTCATCCATGGATCCGTTAAGTGTTGGTGTGGTTGCCACATATATGCCATGTGGTTATCAAATGTGTGCCACGTGGCAAAAAAAAAATTTTAATTTAAAAAAAAAAAACTGAATTTTCTCAAAAAAAAAAAAAAAAAAAGGTAAATTACACTTTACCATCTCAGGTTTGGAGTCAATTTCAATTCCTTAGAGCAACTACAGCGTTAGAGCCCTCCCCCCTGGCAATACACTATTTAATCCACCTAATGAACAGTAATTGCCCTTAATGAACAGTAAGTAGCCCTGGCAATAGATTTTGCATCTCCACCGTTACACTTCTATAGCCCTGGCAATAGGCAATAAAATATTAGTATTTTTGTTATTTATAAAATTAATACAAAATAATTTTAAATGTAATATCGGATAAGATTTTTAATCGTTCTCGTTGCGCCACGTGTCATTATCCTAAGTATTATTAAATAATACAAAATAATACAAAATAATACACTTATTGGTAATGGATTTCTGATAAGATTATTAACCAATCACGGACGTATGTAAGGTGGATTTCTGATAAGATTATTGGTGATGGATTGGTGATGAAATTGTTGTGTAAGGTAGATGATAATGAGAAGGTATTTATAGAAAAGTAAAAACAATTTTTTTTACAATTTTTTTCAGATTTTTCAGATATTTTTTTGAATTTTTTTGAATTTTTTACAATTTTTTTTAAATTTTTATTCAATTAATTAATCTCTACCGTTGGATATAAAAAAATTTGAATTCCAACGCTCCAGATTGTGCCACATGTCACAACGGTAACTTTTCAGATTTTTTAAACTATTTTTTCATTTATTTTTTAATTTATAAAGCATTTTAATATCCACCGTTGATCTCAGATCGAACGGTGGATATTAAATCTGACACTTTTTTTTTTTTACCGTTGAGATCTAACGGTCCACATTAAGTGACCGTTAGGATCTAACGTACCGTGGGAAGCCACGTGGCTTCCCAACGGTAACAGACAAAACCTTTTTTTTTTCTGATTATTGTGTCAGGACGCGCCCCCATGCACGGGTGGGGTGCACGCGCCTGACACAAAAAAAATTAAATAATACGCTGACGCCACCCTGGTGTCAGCATGGCGTCATCCCCACCTCGGGCTCAAGGCCTGTCAATTTCTCACGGGCTTGGCCCTCGGGCCTCCCCCTTCCCCCCGGCTCCCCCACGCTGGAGCCAACCCACCTTCACTCGGGCCTCCGTTTTGGAGCCCGTCCCCCGAGCTAAACCCCACGCTGGGGATGCTCTTACAACATCTTTAAAATATTTCACTTTCATACCTCAAGTACTATTTTATTTCAATATAATACATCCGTTAAATTTTCCATCCATTAGTCTGTTAAGAGCTGACGTGGTAGCCACATTTGTGCCACATGGCAAATTTTTTTATTTTTTTTATATACATTAAACAATAATAAATTAAAGAAAAGTTTATAAAAACAAAAACAAAAATGCAGAAACCCATCCCTTTCCCTGCAACCCCCCACCCCTCTCCTCCACTCTGTTCACCTCCCCCAACCGATCCATGCCGTTGACTTCCCTCTCTTCAAACCCTGCACCCCCAAATCCTCAAAACCCTCAAAAAACCCTATTTCCGCCGCACCCTCCGCCCCTGACCTCTAAATCGAAATATCCACAAATCCTAACCCCGACTCTGCTGCCACATTCACCCTGAAATCCTAGCAGGCCTGGACGTGCTGGGCACCGGCTAGACCGGCAGTGGCAAGACGGCGGCGTTCGATTTGCTGATTCTGCAGTGGCTATCTGAGAACCCTTTCGGGGTTTTTGAGATCTCCCTTCTCTCTACACGCCCGACGCCTAGAAGAACTCACACCCAGATCGCATAGAAGAACTCACGCCCGACCCCCACCGTATGCGTCGCTCTGTCGGAGGCGCGCATATGCACTAGATTGACCAAGGCGGCGAAATATGGGTTGTTGGAGATGATTTGAGCTGATGCGGCGAGGCTGAGGCACCCCGGGGTGATGCACGTGGTGCAGGCTCTGGATGAGAACAAGAATGCCATGGCAATGGTGACTGCTGGATCTGAGCCGGCCGAATCTGTCCATGGGGTGCAAGTGTTCGCAACGGAGGCGAAATCGCCGGTTCTAAAGCACCATATAAGGGGTGCGCATGATAAGGGGTGGAGTGGGGGGGGTTGTGGGGGGGTTTGGGTTTGGGTTGCGAGGAAGGGGAACAGATCGGTTGGATGAGGAGAGGGGGGTTGCAGGGAATGGGAAGAGATGGGTTTCTGGGGGTTTTTGTTTTTGTCTTTTTTTTTTTTTTTTAAAACTTTTCTTTAATTAAATATTTTTAAATGCATAAATTTTTTATTTTGCCACGTGGCACAAATTTGGCAACCACGTCAGCACAAATGTGGATCTCATATTTGCCACGTCATTACTTAACGGATGTAAGAAATTGAAATAAAATGATAGTAAATGTATGAAATTGAAATGCTTTAAAGATGTTGTAAGGAATTGAAATCGAGCCAAAACCTGAGGGGATAAAATGTAATTTACCTTTTTTTTTTTCTTTTTTTTGAGAAAATTCAGGTTTTTTTAAAAAAAATAAAAAATATATTTTATTTGCCACGTGACAGACATTTGGTAGACATGTGGCATATATGTGGCAGTCATGTCAGCATTTAATAGATCAATGGATGGAAAATGTAACGGAGGTATTATTTTGAAATAAAATAGTACTTAAGGTATGAAAGTTAAATGTTTTAAAAATGTTGTAAGGAATTGAAATAGATCCTAAATCTGAGATATAAAAATGTAATTTACCCTTTTTGAAATTATTGAAAGAGTTTTGATGAAATTATTTTGAATTTCAAAGTACTCTTAAGTGTGTTTGTTAAAAGAAACACTTGTATAAAGTACTTAAATTGTTTTTTCAGAACTTAAATTTGTATTAATGATTAATTTTAAAATTAATTTTACTAAATGTATTTTCTGTTATTCTAAACACACATTCTAACGAGACTTAATAAGAGTTAAATAGATTGGTAAGAGGTTAAAAAATTTATATAAAAAACACTTGAAAAAAGAAATGTCTAAATCAGTAATTTCACGTGTAGGAGGAGGACCTACGAGGGGATGGATTGGTCTTTTTCTATATTTTCTACTTTTCTTTTTCTTCCCCTATTACTGCATATTAATTGACGTGCATTTGAAATTCAAATGAGTGCATAAGACAGGCCCACCCATGAGATTGACCCAGATAGGTTCGGGTTGGGAGTTTGAGATTTGAGGGAACGAAAATGGGTAATGAATGCTGGGAATTAAATTTGGAGACTAAATTTACAAATTGAATGATGTGTTATCAATAAAAATGAATACGTTTATCAACGTTTAAGTAATAAATCAATCATCAACTTTCATGTCATTTAGTTTCTAAAACATTGTTTACAAATTTAATCTTCGTATCATTACTCAAATGTGAAATAAGTGATAGCTGCGATATCAACAGAATAACTGATTGAATTCGACGAAATGTGGAAACCACTGATCCAACAACTTTTCGAGTAGTCTATTTCCTAGGCACCGAAATTGAAAGAGTAACCCGGTTGCGTTTAGTAGCATGTGTAACCCGAAGCTGAAAGCGTACCGGTGCACAGCCGTCCCCACCAATCCAGGAGATCAATAATATCAAATAGGGAGGGGTAATTGACCAAATCAAAATATACAAGTTCATGTCCACAACACTCCATGGGACAAATAACAAATAACAATGGATATATGCATCTCCTTTTAAAACAGATGAAAGCACATCAAGATACAAGTCCATGTTACAACTCCTTCCCTCAATATCAATCTCAGATTGTGCAAGGGAGAAGGAATGACCAAATGAAAGTCCCATCACATACAAGATACAGCCCAGATCGGAAATCAAATATTAAAAATAAAAAAAACCCTAAACATAATACAAACTTCTTCATTCTTAACCTATTCTGAAAATATCAGCACCAAAAAATGAAAATCAAACGTATGAAACAATTCAAGCAACAACCTTCTCTACTTCTGGTTGTTGCTTGTGCCCTTCTTCTTCAGTAGGCTTCCGAACTTGCGGAGTAAAGGCTTCTTCTTCTTTTGTTGCTTTGCTGGAGAGGTCCTGCTTTCGTCCACGCTTTCCGTTGAAGTTACTCCATTTATCTCATCAAACCCCTCGCCACCCCCCACCTTTGACTCCACTTCCTCTTCAAACGATTCCTGCTCTTGTTCCCTCTCAGGCGAGAATTCCTTCTTTTCAATCTTGCAGCTCTCCCACATCTTATACTCCACCTCTACTGAGTCATCTTCCTTCTCTTTGCTCTCATCTTCTTTTGGTTTCCCATTCACATCATCACTTTTAGCATAATCCATTTCCTCAGCCTTGCCATTAGTAACAACATTATTATTCTCTTCCCATGAACTTTCCTTCTTGGGTTCCTCACATTGACTTGGTGCAAGGTCCAATTTTGGTTTCTCTTCTCCTCCATGCCCATTCTCTTCAGAGAATTCAACTACCTTTGGAAGCAAATCATAGTCTTTCTCACTATCTGTTAGCTCACCGTTTTCCTCGGCTTGCTTCTTCGCCACAGCTTCTTCCAATAACCTAGACAATTCCTCAACCTTTTTAACAGAAGCTGCCTCCTTGTCTCGGAGCTCATCATTTTCATGAACAATACACTGGAACTCATTTTCTTTGTCCAATATGCTTTCCTGTAATTTCATGTTCTCAGCCTTTGCTTCTGCAAGAGCTTCCTGCAAATAGATAACTTCAGATTCAACTTCCTTCAAGCTCTCTTTCAACTGGGCTTCTTCGTCCTTCAAAGTACAAGCTTCCTCATTTGATTTTGTGAGCAAATTTTGCAGCCTGTTTATTTCTTTTTCCTTCAAAGAGTTTTCTTCTTCTGAATGTTTCACACAATTCGCCAGGTGAAGTTCTCTCTTCTCCCAGTCGGCCTTTGCGTTTTGGAACTCAGTCTTGCATTGTTCAAGGTTACTTGTAACAAGATAAACTTCGTGTTTTGCATCATCAAGCATGCCTTCATACCTTTCGTTTGTTGCTTTCAAGACCATTTTCAGGTCTTCTATCTGCAACTCGTTACTCTCAAGCTCAGCTTGATTAGACAGCAGCTTTTCTTTGGCTTCTCTTGCTTCTGCGGAGACTTCATGTAAGGCTGAAGCTAAGCTTTCCATTGCTTTCTTGCTCTTCTCTTCTTCATCCCTAGAATTTTCCAACTCATTTGTGAGTTTGTTTTTCTCTTCTAATAGGGTTTGAATACTTGATGAGGCAAGCTTCTCATTGCTTAAAGCCTGCATTTTCTCCTCCTTCAGAGTTTCAAGCTCAGACTTAAGCGACTCAACCGTTTTTGCCATTTCATAATTTTCCTTTTTGGCCATCTCAAGACAAAGTTCCGAGTCCTCAAGATCCCCTCTATGTCTTCCAATTGTAATTTCCAGCAAGCTGACCTTCCCTTTAAGAGCAGAAATTTCAGATTCTGCATCATGCAACAACTCACTGTTTCCCTCGAGTTGTTTCATGACTGAATCTAAGGACTCTGATGCAGACCTCTCCAACTTGTTTGCTTCTTCAACCTGCATCTCTAATTCCTCAACCCTAATTTTCCACTCCTCAACTACACTACGTGCATAAGATTCAGCCATCTTGGCTGATTCTAGCTCAATGTTGAGCTGTTCAATGGAAGCCTCTTTCTCTATCAACCTCTCCTCGTAACCTTTTGCTTTCTCAAGTTCTTGTTTGAGAGAGTCTACCTCCGATTTAAGGCTAACCACCATCTTGTTGCTCTCGCTAGCCTCTGTTTCAAGCTTTGCATCTAGCAAGGCTCTTAACTGAGTCAACTCAGCTAAAAGAATCTCCACCTTATTGGCATGGATCTCGGCAATCTTGGTTGCATCATCAGCATGAGTCAGTGCCTGGTTTTTGGCATCACAGGTCATGGTCAATTCTTGCTTCACCCTTTGAAGTTCCTGAGTGGTAGAGAGTAGAGTGGACACATCCAGAGCATGTTGGTTCCTCACAGCTTCAAGCTCCTTCACCCATTCCTCTTCCTTCTTTTGGGATGCTTCGATTCCTGCCTGCTCCAACTCAACAGCGCGAAACTTCTCAATTTCAGAATTGTCCTCGGCTCGCTTTTGAGCCACCAAAGCCTCTCTGAGTTTCTCATGTGCCTCATCGGCCACTTTCTGCGCTTCTTTCAATTCGTCAATTGCTTTTGCCTTCTCTTTCTCAATCAAAATTATCTGCTCCTTTGCCTTCTTCAGATCTTCCTGAACAAGACCTAATTGAGCCTGTATCTCTGATCCCTTTGCAACCCGTGTCGGTTGTTTCTGAAAACAATATAAAGCAACAATGTGGATCAAAATACACAAATAACGACTCATTCCATCCCTTACGTTTGCTGTAATAAGTTCAAAGGAACTAAATGAAATGTAGTACCAAAAATGAAAAAAGAAGACTACAAGTAGGTGTAGTTGGTAAAAGTAAAACTCACTTCAGGGGGAGTGGAGGTGGGGGTGGTGATCTTGGGTGACCGACGCTCAACGACGGGCTTGGATTTGACAGAAAGCGGGGAGCGATCAACTGAAAGGCGAGAATTTTGCAAAGGAGAAGGCAAATCGGATTCGGATTTAGCAACTCCCCGGTTGAGTTTACTAACTCGAGCGGGAGGGGTTGCTGCTGGTGATGCTTTTTTAGGAGTATCAGATACAGTAGATCTGTTCAAGTATATCAACAAGAAGAAACCATATTATTGAACATCAAACAAAACATTGCAAACATAATCGAGCAAAAAGAGATGGATCTGCCACAAAATTTGGAAATTTATAAGCAAACACAAACAAAAACACACGCAGAGACAGACAGAAAAAAATGTAAATGGAAATAATATGTGAAAGTATGGCATAAGTTGTTCAGCACCAGATCCAAAAATAAGTAAGCCAAGTGCAGAAAGAAGCAACCAATTTAGAACCAACGAAAGTAAAAGGTTGAAAATTGGAGCAAATATCAGAGTATTTTTGTTGGGTTACAAGCAAATATTAGATTTTGAGTTGAAGAGAAGAGAAGGGAAAAAAGATGCAGTGGTAGTGGAGTTGATAAAACCAGATCCGTGTCGAGCACTAATCGGGAAATGGAGAAGAAAAATTCCAAATTGAAAAGGACATACATCAAATCCGAAAACACCGAATAAAAATCAGATCTTCATCTCAGTTTCACACAGAGAGAGAATTAAGAGAGAGAAAGAGAAAGAAAGAGTAGACTTACTTGGGCTTGGAAGACATGGCGGTGGTGATGGAAGAAGAACGGGAAGGTGGGGGAGGAAGAGGAGTGGAGCACTGGGATTGTTTGGAAATGGGGGTTAAGGACGGTGCTGGGGTCGTGCTGTCTAATTAATTATTATGCTCACTCCCTCCCTCCCTCCCTCTCTGTTCCCTGCGTGTAATTTGCAATTTTTTTCATGACGGATAACGTGTAGCTATATTTTCCTTTTTAGTGAAAAATAAAGCAAATAAAAAAGGGGCATAAAGTAGATGAACCACGCAGAGACAACAGAAGTTGGACTTGGACAGTTGGACCGACTAGACGTGACGTGGAACCGAAATGAGGAGGAACTTACACAGGGAAGGAAAGATCGTATTTGGGTCGGTTCTCTCTCAACTGTCCCGGGCCCTGGCGACAGACACAAACACTGCACAACTCAGCTTCCACTTATTACTTTGTACGACTCTCTCACTTTGTTTCTTTTTCTTTCATCGCTTGCCAGGCTTTTCAGTAAAAACAGAATGCGAGTCCTGAGACCTCCTTATTTGTAACTGAATTTAGTTAGTCGTATTATTATTAACCCAACCAAAACAGCTGAAATTTATCAGAGAATTAATGCTTCTTTTTTCCTTGGGTAAAAAAGTATGCTGCTCTTCTGTATAATAGCCAAAATAAGTGTAATATGAATTCACGGCCAAAGACATACAAATAAAAACTGGATGGAACACTATCACCTTTACTTTTTCTTTCCCTTTTTTAGTCTTTCTTTATTTTAATAAAATTAAATGACATTTTTGCTTACAAAGAATTAAGTATAAAAAAACAACTGTCATTTTTCGTACTGTGTTTACAGCAACTAAGGAATAGAAAAGTATGTGAAGTCCAATAGGATTTGGGTATGACGCAATACTTATAAAATAAAGATATCTAATTAACATAGAGGCATTCTTTTTCTGTATCCCCTTTTTTTTTTTTTTTTTTTTTTTTCACTCTTCATTCCTTCTCCTGCATGTTTCTTCTTATTTACATAGTAAACATTTGGGAATCTAAATCATGTGAGTACACATTCTCAAATTGTTGAGTGGAATACTGCCTCCCAAAGTTGACCTATTAAAAGAATTATTATCCGGGAATAATTGAGAAGGTAATATATATATATATATATATATGAGAGTGTGTGTGTGTGGGGTTGAAAGCTGAGGGTTTAAAGAGATTTTTGTGCCTACGGAAATATATGTTAGGTTGTGCATTAGTTCAAGTGCATCAAAAAATTGCTAGTACCAAACTCAATGAGTACGAATGTGTTATTCAAAACATAAAGGACAAATCAACTCAAAAAGGAATGGGTTTTATTGAGGATTTCGTAATTACTTACATGGACGTTGATTTGGATATATACTCAAACTACATCATTTATTAATGCAAGTGTCAACATATTTAGGTTGAATTAAGAGATAATGGTTAGGATATGTTTTAATTACTTGAATGTTGAGACAATTTCATTTTAAGAGTGATTTTCTTCTAATATATCTTTACTCGTTAATTTAGCCATACGAAATTTCCTACATCGCACACCAGCGATAGTGTGCCAATTGCCAATTGAGTATTTCAATTTACTTGCAGTGCCTTACAGTTTACATGGATGATGGAGCAAAAAAGAAAGGTGGGGATAAAGGAAACACCTTTTGGGTTTTGTAAGGTGGGAAGCCGACTAGCAAACCGACCAACAAAACGTTCATTTTTCCTTGTAGTTGAGGCAAATTACTTTAGTTTGGAAATGAAGCAATTATGATTAGATTGTATTAGTTAGGTGAAAGTTGATATTTTTACTCAATAAATGTTAAGAATATTCTTTTAAAATAAGATTCTTCATGAATCTTTTGTCACTTTACAGTTTAACGTAAAATGTCATCTTAACATTATAGTTTAGGATTTAGTAGAAATGTTGAAAACATGTACACAAATAATTATAATATTAATTAATTAGTTAAAACTTGCTTGATCACGATTCATGATTCACGCATGAGGAGGAGGTGCTAGCTAGCTTCTTAGTTTTATAGACTTTTGGCATCCCTCTTAATATCTTTGGCTACCAATTTAGTTACTTTTAGATGTGCATGCATGCATGCCTTCAATTTTAGATGTCGCGCGCACACATATGTATATATGTAGTTAGTTTGATCGATGTTGGTACTATTGTATGTGTAAAAGTAATAGGTAAAATATAAAAACTAGGACATGTTACGATTTGAAGAAAGATAACAATTGTAAAGATAAGATATAATATAGCTGTTTTTCCATGCATGCATATTGACTGGTAGACTAGCCACTAGTCGCTAGAGTAAAGAATTGCACTTCATACTATTTCTATTACAAGTAAAATAAATAATATAATGAAATGGCGAAACGTTGTATTAGTTGGAAAAATTAAGTAACAATTTAACCTAGCTACTGTTGTATGTGTAATGTGCATGCCTTCCTTCCTTCGTCTACACACACACACATATATATATACACACATTAATAAAGATACAAGTAGTATTATTTCTTGATTAGAATAACAAGGTGGATTGAGCCAACGTGAAATGTGTACAACTAGTAAACCGCTAGTAAGGAATTGAAGGAGGTACTAGTAGGCAATGTTATGTGGATCATATGTGGATAGGAGTCGGAGTCGGATCTTAATCATTTGTAAGAGAAGAGAATGGAAAATTGCAAGGGGTCGTCATTTAATTAACGGATGAAGTGGGAGGGACAATCATGATCATGATTAATCAATAATCCATGCTTTGCTTCCTCTCTCTCTCGAACTCGATCGATAAAATCATATCATAATTCAATTTCCCCTATGCCGTATGCGCAGCCAGCCTATCAAGCTGCAATTAATTATATACAATACTATATAGGATTAGGGCCTCCGACTCCACTCCACATCCACAACCACATCCACATGACAATGGGACATCACCACGGTGTTTTATTTTGTTTTTTTAATTTTAACAAGAGGGAGGGAGTTTGACGAAGGATGTCTCTGGAGGATTTGGATCTCATCCGAATTTAAATTGTGAAGATTCAAGGATCTTCATATTTTAGTGGTTCATCGTACATCATGCGGTAAAAAATCATTTGAATTTAATTATTTAAAATTAAACACAAATAGTAACTAACGAAAACTAACCGCATAATATACAATGAATGAGTAGGATGTGAAGATCTCTAAGATCAGCATAAAGAGAATCCGAAGAGACTCATCATCGGTCTCTGGAGGGGTGAGAATCCGAAGAGACTCATCATCGGTCTCTGGAGGGGTGGAGGTGGGACTGTAGGCAGGACAAGGAAGGAAGAAAGGCGTTAAAATATCGGCATCCTCCTACCATATGCCCTGTTTCATGTTTCAAATATGTTTCATGATTTATGTTTCCAACAAATCAATCATTCACCTCACAACTCAGGCAATGAAGGGAAATTAAAGGAGAGCAAATTCATACCTCCTTGTATGCTGTACTCCCCTCTGTCTCTCTCTCTCTCTCTCTCTCTCTCTGTGGGAAGAGAAAAGTATAAAAAAGAAAAAGCGAAGAAAGAATCCTCTCTGTTTCTCATATCTTTCCTTGAGTTATATATGCTTTCTTTGGGTGGAAAACGATGTTTAATTAATATACATACATGCATACATTCACATATACGAATGAAATATTAATTTTGAGCTGCTCTACAGAGCTCCAGGATGACAACCACAACCCATTTGCCCTTTATTTTCAAAATAAAATAGTGCAATAATTTATTCATTAAAAGGAATCCAAAAAAGAAACAAGATCCAATTACAATTAATAAACCTGTCATACAAACTAATTACAACGCTAAAACAACTGTGAATATATATGTCATCCACATCCACGCACCATACGAGAATTAAATTGGGTCATGGGGTGGAAAATGGAATCAGAATCTTCATTATATATTTACCATTAGTCTTTATTAGAAAAATACAACAGCCAAGTGAACAATCTTACATCTAATCAACAATAACACAACCAACTAGGCTACCAGTCCAGATATCCCCGTCGTTGTGTCTCCTCCTTTATTTTCTTTACATAACTTTGTTTTTCTTCTAACTTTATCTGACTTGTAGCAATCTAAACTATATATACAAACCATCACTTCACGAAACAAACATTCAGAATTATGCATCGACTTCATTTTCATATAAAAGAGAGGACATTATTGGAGATACAGAATGATATCTACAACTTGGCTAGAGTGCAAGAGCAAGACTGAATGAAATGATGAAACTTAAATCAATCCTCATCGTACGAAACATGGAAACTGGTAGTGCAGCCGGATGCCTCAGGATCCTCAGCCCCACAACAGTCGTAGAACTTGGCAGCGTATGGCGGATCGTTGGGTCCCAATTCATAGTACCTTCAATACAATCAAGAATAATAAAACATCGACCCAGTAAGGAAAGATAGAAGCATAGTTATTGCAGAGCAATCTCTCTCTCCCAATATTTCTAGTCGACTGCAAAACATTCACAGTTTTCCTTAACTAGTACATGAAAGAGACAAGGAACAATGGGACATATACACTTTCACTTGATCAATCCTTTTGATCCCATCTATTATCCATTGAATCTTCAGGCCCAAGAAGAATAACTTGACTATGAGAACATATGATATCGCACACCCACACCCACATCCCACCCTAAACTCCTGATTCCTGTCCGTGAATTGTGATATGCAACCCGAAATCGAAATCCAAATCCAAATCCAAAAGGGGAAGAAAGTAAGTAAACCCACATGAATCAGAAACACAGATTATGCAAATTGGCATCACTAGTCAGTTAAACAAAGACAAAATTTCTCACTCCAACCATCCACTGCACTAATCAAAGATCGAAACTCAACGAAATTAATTACTGTAAAATAGAACTCATTGGAAAGGGGGGAGAGAGGGGTCAGAGCTATACCTTTTCTGGTCGTCGTGACGGCGACAGACGAAGAAAGAAGGGTGGAAGCGGCATGAGAAAGAGGTGTTAGAGGAGGCTCTGTAGCTTTCCTTGCACCTTTTGCATACCTTTCCCTTATCCTCCTCACTCCCACTCTTTTTCTCCATCTCTCTCTATTCTTAGATACGGTGGCAAAGAAAATTGCAATTGATATGAAAACCCGTTAAAGAAATTTGCAATATAAGGAAATTCCACACGTATTGTCACTTATTTCAATGTTGTGAGCAAAAATGCACTAATAAAAAAAAATTAAAAAAAAAAATTTGCTCACCATCATCAGGTACCTTTGAATAATTTTGAATTAATTTATTTGTTACATAAATCTTAAATTTTAAAATAAATCTAACACTAATTGATAGGGTGGATATCGCCACCACTTTATAGTGGTAGGGCAAAAATGCACTCATGATAAAATCCAAATCTTTCATTCAACTAATTAAGCACGCATGACCGGCCGCTTGGTCGTGCGTCCCTGCCATCGTTTTAATAATTTTCATTAAAAAGGAATCCCATTACGATTATGTAAAATTCAGCTAATAGTCCAGTGGGTGCATGCATTAAGGTAAAAGTAAAATCTTGACAACAAATATGGGCCTCACTGAATACACATAATTTATTTTATCCCCCCAGCGGGATTACAGATGAATTTTTTTTTTTACTCTAGCTCATTACCTACACCAACCAAGAAAGCATAAAAAACACAGCAACAAGTGGATTTTCAAATAACCAAACAGCCCTATGAAATGTATTACTCAAACACATAAATATGTATACCACTACTACTATGACAGCAGCACCCCTGCCCTTCCCTTCATAAACATCTCTTTTGGAAAATAACATTTAGACTAAAAAACGCTGCCCCATTGCTCCGCTCCGCCATTCAAGGGAATGCATCTCTAAGCCTGCAAAAAGCTAGCATACTTGGCACCTAGGAAAAGCCCTTGGATACATAGCAGCGCATTTTTGGCGACCTCGGGACTCTCATGATTCATCAGTTTCATCATACGTTCCTTGGCCTTGAGGTCCGTCACTATGCTACTTCCTGCCGGACACTGCTGGACAAACACTGAGATATCAAAGCAGGCTACGGCCAATGCCCTAGGATCACCGGATGTGTCCAAGATAGTTATCAGGACTCTTAGAATCTGCAAGACAAGGTCATGCATTATTAGTACTACGGAAGCCACAAGCTTCTTCAAAAGATTACTCAAGAGTCAACAGCATTGGCATCTGCAATTACTTTCACCATATAATTTAATACTGCCTTCAGAACCAAGTAAGTGGACCCAATTTACTACCACTTTTCCATGGAATGGAAGCCAACACTGTCTTGGAAAAACAGAGCTATCCAGGAAAACACAAACAAACAAAACACAAGAACCACCTTGAGTAGCTACTACCAAGTTTTACCTGTATACCTATGACTCATGACAGATACCCTATTGCCATTAATAACAACACAAAATGGGCAACACACCTTATGGGACACAAATAATTTCAGGCATTAGTTCAGCCCCGCTGAATTAACTAAGCACAATAGACCAAGAAATTAAGTATACAACACCAACAATTAAGCAAATAATCTAATTTCTTCCATACAAACAAATAGCAAAATTAGGTGAGAAATCTTGGGCAAAAAACAAATTAGTACCTGAAAGTCATTCTCCTCAAAGTTGGTAACATTCTCTCGCCAGAATATTGGATCCTTGTGCATGGGTGACCAGTCAAGATGGCCAAGGAGGACTTCTTGCTTATACATGTCAAAAGAACTTAATTTCTTGATGATCTACTTCAGACCCTCTTCCAGTTGATTTAATCCCTCCAGGAGATCCCACAAGAAGCTTCATTTCATTAGGGAAACTACACCAATGATTTATAGTTTAAAGGAATGCATGTACAAGAACAACAATAGCTCCATGAGCTAGTTGGTTCCTTTCATTTAACTTGTTATACCAAGTTAGCCTAAATGCCTTCCTTCCAGTCAGACCACATAAAATACAAACTATCAAAAGAGGCATACAGTCTGGTTTCCCACCTCATCACTCCATGCTTGTGCTTTCAAATTCTGAATGATTTGTGGCAGTCCAAGGTCCACCATTTGAGCGCCAAATGTCCCTTTTGAGAGCAAGTTCCTCAGGGTCAAAACAACTACTCTGACAACCTACCATGAATAACCAACCCATATTACAAATGAAGGATGAATTTACATGTACTCCTCTGTTACAAGGATAAGTTTAACATGGACAAGTAAAGTATACACAAATTAATCTTGAAGGAAACAATATAGCATCCCAAAAGTCAAGATCCTCACCTCTCCTTTGTGGAATTCTTGACAACTTCTGTGAGTCTTGGAAGAGTTCTAGAAGTAGCCAGATGCATAAACATGTTTCATAAAAAAGCTGTTTGAGACAAAATATATTGTCAATAAAAATTTCACAAAGTCAAGAAACTAATACAGAAGCTATCCACAGTACAATAAAAGTCACCTAAATAGATTGTTAGGTGGAAGCTGGAGAAATTAAGGGAACAAGCAACTTCACCCCATCTAACTGAACAAAGGAAGATCTAAGGTTCCTTCAGTAAGGTTGCAAGGCAATTGATGGCGGTTGGGATACCACGACAGGGATGGGAAGGCTTCTTCAACTGCAAATTACATATACCATAAGAAGTATGCTTAGACAACCAATATCATCCAAACTGATAACCACCAAGTGATAGCTGCGATATCAACAGAATAACTGATTGAATTCGAGGAAATGTAGAAACCACTGGTCAAGCAACTTTTTAAGTACTCTATTTCCTAGGCACCGAAAATGAAAGAGTAACCCAGTTGCATTTAGTAGAATGTGTAACCCGAAGCTGAAAGCGTACCTGTGCATAAAGCCATTCCACCAATCCAGGAGTTCAATAATATCAAATACGGAGGGGTGATTGATCAAAGCAAAAGATACAAGTTCATGTCCACACCACTCCTTGTGACAAATAACAAATAACAATGATATATTTATATTTTTTTATATATCTCCATTTGAAACAGATGAAAGCACATCAAGATACAAGTTCATGTTACCACTCCTTCCACAATATCTATGTAAGATTGTAGAAGGGAGAAGGAATAACCAAATGAAAGTCCCATCACATACAAGATACTGCCCAGATCGGAAATCAAATCTTAAAAAAAAAAAAAAAAAAAAAAAAAACCCTAAACGTAATACAAACTTTTTCATTCTTAACCTATTCTGAAAATCAGCACCAAAAAACGAAAATCAAACCCATGAAACAATTTCCAGTGAATTAACCTGCCTTCTGCCTTCTAGTTGGGCACAATTCATGCAACAACCTTCTCTACTTCTGGTTGTTGCTTGTGCCCTTCTTCTTCAGTAGGCTTCCGAACTTGCGGAGAAAAGGCTTCTTCTTCTTCTGTTGCTTTGATGGAGAGGTCCTGCTTTCGTCCACACATTCCGTTGAAGTTACTCCATTTATCTCATCAAACCCCTCGCCACCCCCCACCTTTGACACCACTTCCTCTTCAAACGATTCCTGCTTTTGTTCCCTCTCCGGCGAGAATTCCTTCTTTTCAATCTTGCAGCTCTCCCACATCTTATACTCCACCTCTACTGATTCATCTTCCTTCTCTTTGCTCTCAGCTTCTTTTGGTTTGCCCTTCACATTATCACTTTTAGCATAGTCCATTTCCTCAGCCTTGCCATTAATGACAACATTATTATTCTCTTCCCATAAGCTTTCCGTCTTGTGCTCCTCACCTTGAATTGGTGCAAGGTCCATTTTTGGTTTCTCTTCTCCTCCATGCCCATTCTCTTCAGAGAATTCAACTACCTTTGGAAGCAAATCATAGTCTTTCTCACTATCTGTTAGCTCACCATTTTCCTCGGCTTGCTTCTTCGCCACAGCTTCTTCCAGTAACCTAGACAATTCCTCAACCTTTTTAAGAGAAGCTGCCTCCTTGTCTTGGAGTTCATCGTTTTCGTGAACAATACACTGGAACTCATTTTCTTTATCCAATATGCTTTCATTTAATTTCATGTTCTCGGCCTTTGCTTCTGCAAGAGCTTCCTGCAAATAGATAACTTCAGATTCAACTTCCTTCAGGCTCTCTTCCAACTGGGCTTCTTCGTCCTTCAGAGCACAAGCTTCTTTATTGGATTTTGTGAGCAAATTTTGCAGCCTGTTTATTTCTTTTTCCTTCAAAGAGTTTTCTTCTTCTGAATGTTTCACACAATTCGCCAGGTGAAGTTCTCTTCTCCCAGTCGGCCTTTGCGTTTTGGAACTCAGTCTTGCATTGTTCAAGGTTACTTGTAACAAGATAGACTTCGTGTTTTGCATCATCAAGCATGCCTTCATACTTTTCGTTGGTTGCTTTCAAGACCATTTTCAGGTCTTCTATCTGCAACTCGTTACTCTCAAGCTCAGCTTGATTAGACAGCAGCTTTTCTTTGGCTTCTCTTGCTTCTGCGGAGACTTCATGTAAGGCTGAAGCTAAGCTTTCCATTGCTTTCTTGCTCTTCTCTTCTTCATCCCTAGAATTTTCCAACTCATTTATGAGTTTGTTTTTCTCTTCTAATAGGGTTTGAATACTGGATGAGGCAAGCTTCTTATTGCTTAAAGCCTGCATTTTCTCCTCCTTCAGAGTTTCAAGCTCAGACTTAAGCGACTCAACCGTTTGTGCCATTTCATAATTTTCTCTTTTGGCCATCTCAAGACAAAGTTCTGAGTCCTCAAGATCCCCTCTATGTCTTCCAATTGTAATTTCCAGCAAGCTGACCTTCCCCTTAAGAGCAGAAATTTCAGATTCTGCATCATGCAACAACTCATTGTTTCCCTCGAGTTGTTTCATGACTGAATCTAAAGACACTGATGCAGACCTCTCCAACTTATTTGCTTCTTCAACCTGCATCTCTAATTCCTCAACCCTAATTTTCCACTCCTCAACTACACTACGTGCATAAGATTCAGCCATCTTGGCTGATTCTAGCTCAACGTTGAGCTGTTCAATGGAAGCCTCTTTCTCTATTAATCTCTCCTTGTAACCTTTTGCTTTATCAAGCTCTTGTTTGAGAGAATCTACCTCCGATTTAAGGCTAACCACCATCTTGTTGCTCTCGCTAGCCTCTGTTTCAAGCTTTGCATCTAGCAAGGCCCTTAACTGAGTCAACTCAGCTAAAAGAATCTCCACCTTATTGGCATGGATCTCGGCAATCTTGGTTGCATCATCAGCATGAGTCAGTGCCTGGTTTTTGGCATCACAGGTCATGGTCAGTTCTTGCTTCACCCTTTGAAGTTCCTGAGTGGTAGAGAGTAGAGTGGACACATCAAGAGCATGTTGGTTCCTCACAGCTTCAAGCTCTTTCACCCATTCCTCTTCCTTCTTTTGGGATGCTTCGATTCCTGCCTGCTCCAACTCAACAGCACGAAACTTCTCAATTTCAGAATTGTCCTCGGCTCGCTTTTGAGCCACCAAAGCCTCTCTGAGTTTCTCATGTGCCTCATCGGCCACTTTCTGCGCTTCTTTCAATTCGTCAATTGCTTTTGCCTTCTCTTTCTCAATCAAAATTATCTGCTCCTTTGCCTTCTTCAGATCTTCCTGAACAAGACCTAATTGAGCCTGTATCTCTGATCCCTTTGCAACCCGTGTCGGTTGTTTCTGAAAACAATATAAAGCAACAATGTGGATCAAAATACACAAATAACGACTGGTTCCATCCCTTACGTTTGCTGTAATAAGTTCAAAGGAACTAAATGAAATGTAGTACCAAAAATGAAAAAAGAAGACTACAAGTAGGTGTAGTTGGTAAAAGTAAAACTCACTTCAGGGGGAGTGGAGGTGGGGGTGGTGATCTTGGGTGACCGACGCTCAACGGCGGGCTTGGATTTGACAGAGCGCGGGGAGCGATCAACTGAAAGGCGAGAGTTTTGCGAAGGAGAAGGTGAATCGGATTCGGATTTAGCAACTCCCCGGCTGAGTTTACTAACTCGAGGAGGAGGGGTTGCTGCTGGTGATGCTTTTTTAGGAGTATCAGATACAGTAGATCTGTTCAAGTATATCAACAAGAAGAAACCATATTATTGAACATCAAACAAAACAATGCAAACACAACCAATAAAAAAACAGATGGATCAGCCACAAAATTTGGAAATTTATAATCAACACACACACACAAAAACACAGAGACAGACAGAAAAAAATGTAGATGTGAAAGTATGGCATAAGTTGTTCAACAACAGATCCAAAAATAAGTACAAGCCAAGTGCAAAAAGAACCAACCAATTTTGAACCAACGAAAGTAAAAGGTTGAAAATTGGAGCAAATATCAGAGTATTTTTGTTGGGTTACAAGCAAATATTAGATTTTGAGTTGAAGAGAAGAGGAGAAAAATGATGTAGTGGTAGTGGTAGTGGAGATGATAAAAGCAGATCCGTGGCGCGCACTAATCGGGAAATGGAGAAGAAAATCCGAAATGGAAAAGGACATACATCAAATCCGAAAACACAAAATCAAAATCAAAATCAGATCTCCATCTCAGTCTCAGAGAGAGAGAGTAGACTTACTTGGGCTTGGAAGACATGGCGAAGGTAATGGAAGAAGAACGGGGAAAAGTGGGGGAGGAAGAGGAGTGGTACTGGTAGTAGTGGAGCACTTGTGCTGTCTAATTAATTATGCTGCTCTCTCTCCCTCAGTCTCAGTGTGTGTAATTTGCAATTTTTTCATGGCGGATAACATGTTGCTATATTTTACTTTCTTAGTGAAAAATAAAGAAAACTCTAAAAAAGGAGCATTTAGGAGATGAAGCAGGCAGAGACAACAGGAGTTGGACTTGGACAGTTGGACTGACCAGACGTGACGAGGAACCCAAACGGGGAGGAATTTACACAAGAAAATGGTATTTGGGTCGGTTCTCTCAACTGTCCTGGGCCCTGGCCACACACACACAACTCAGCTTCCACTTTTTACTTTGTAGTTGTGCTCACTCACTGTTTGTTGTTTTTTCTTTCATCGCTCGACATGCCAGTGTGATATTCACACTTTTTTTTTTTTGTATATATTTTCGATTGTTAAAATAAAAAAATTAAATAATAACAGAAATTAACAGAAAATGTAGGAGAAGTAAAAATATGTATGCATAGATAACACATCGCTTTAGTAAAAACAGAACACGAGTCTGAGACTAGGACCTCCTTATTTGTAAACAATTGAAATTTATTAGAGAATTAATGCTTTTTTTTCTTTGGGTAAAAAAGTATACTGCTCTTCTGTATAATAGCCAAAAGAAGTAGGGAACTTTAACGAAAAACTTATGATACTTTTCACTTTAATGAAAAACTATATTTTTACATTTAAAGATATCGCGTTAATATAAAAGCATTCTTTAACTTATATCCTTTTTTCTCATTCTTCATTGCTTCTCTTACATGTTTATTTTTATTTTTATAGTAAATATTCGGGGAATCCTATATCATGTGAGTACACATTCCTAAATTGTAGACTGGAATATTGCCTCCAAAGTTGACCTATTAAAAAAAAATTATATATATGGTTGAGAGTTGACTCTAAAGGTCGCTGAAATAGGCGACCCTCTAGGGGCTCCGAAAAAAAATTTATTTTATATGGTTGGGTTAAGTATAAATAACAAATAACTAAATGAAATATCAATTATTCTTTTTTTTTTATTATTGGAAACTAAATGAAATATCAATTATTCATTTGTGTTATGGTGGAAAGCAGCGGTTGTTTTAATCTTACAGCATGTCAGCATGGATTCGATTTTACCCGCATTGTAGGAAAGCAGTACCCAGAAAATTGTTTCTGGCGTGGCTAGCTAGCATCCCTCACAACAGCTAATATGAATCCTAAATTCTCTCGCTCCCTTCCCTCCCATCTCTCTTCATATTCTAAATCTTTTTATTTGTATGGAAACGAGTTAGTTATCATGCCTCTCACCAGAATAGTAAGCCTACTAACAAAAACAGAAAGTATCTGTCTAGGTCTTCAAAAAAGGAAAAGATAGACGTATTTAGTGATATTTGATATTAATTTTATTGATATTTAATGTAGAAATAGATTTTTTTTCATGTATTTAGAGAATTATTTTTTATACATATCAATGTACAAAAAGTTAGGAGTCAAAGAACTCTAGGACCTCACTTAAAAAGCTCGCTTAGGGCCCCCAATTTCTCAGGGCAGGCCATGTTACGAGCTTGAGGGTCCAAAGAGATTTGTCTGCCTACTGAAAAACATGTTAGGTTGTGTATCATTTTGAGTATACCAAAAAATTGCTAGTACCAAACTCAACGAGAACGAATGCTTATTCAAAAGGATAAAGGACAAATCAACTCAAAAGCAATGGGTTTTTTTTGAGAACTTCGTTATTTCCATGGACTTTGGATTTGGATATATACTCAAACTACATCATTTATAAATGGAAGTGTCAACATATTTAGGCTGAATTAAGATATAATTGTTAGGAGATGTTTTAATTACTTAGAGAGAGAATATTATTTTTAAGGGTGAATTTCTTCTAATTTATCTTTGCTCATTAATTCAGCCATCTGAAATTTCCTCAACGGCGCCCACCAACAGTAGCGCGCCAATTGCCAATTGAATTTTTCAATTTACTTCCATTGCTTGACAGTTTACATGGATGATGGAGTAAAAAAAATGGGGATAAAGTAAACACTTTCGGGTTTTGTAAGGTGGGAAGCGGACTAGCAAACCGACCAACAAAACGTTCATTTTATCTTGTAGTTGAGGCAAATTACTTTAGATTGGAAATGAAGCAATTATGATTAAATTGTAATAGTTAGGTTAAAGTTGACCTTTGTCACTTGAGAAATGCTAAGAAGATTCTCTTAAGGTAAAATTCTTTATGAATTATTTGTCACATCATAACTTAACATGAATTTTCGTTCCATGAATGACAACTATATAACCCGTTTAGAATTTAATTTATATATGTTTTCTTTGGGTGGAAAACAACATTTAATTAATTTACATACTGTTTGGGCCCGAAATAATATTATTGGGCCGAGCATAGAGTTGTACTCGGCCCAAAGCTATGTCAAATACTATGGGCTGCTTAATAGATTCCGGGCCAGTTAGCAGGGTCGGTCGAGTCCTATCCTAAGAAGGAGTAGTCCAGATAAATAAAAGGGGTCGAGGAAGTCCTGGTGCAACCAGGATTCCTGGCCAGCGAGGAATAAAGCCTCGAAAGGAGGGAAAGTTCAAAGTCCTAATGGGAGTAGGTTTGTTCGAAGTAAAATTGGAACGAGACAGGGACTCCCAATCCAGATAGGGGTTTGATTCGGTCTCAAGGAATGGGTGGTATAAATACAAGAAATCATGCAACAAAAAAGGACCTTCGATTAAACACACAGCTGCCCTGCGCAAAACCTCTCAAACATCTTGAGATCTTTTATTTTCTTTTTCCGCCAACACAACTGCGTCGAGGCCGACTGGTTACCTATCCAAGTCTCGGTCGAGGGGGGTTTTCGAATCCTCATTGGCAGGGATCATCTTATCAGCCTTCTCGGCGAAATAAGGTGTCACGAATTATGACATTTGGCGTACCGAACGCCGAGTGATTTTATGATCGGGTATTCACAAGTGAGTTTTAGAGTTTGGCATTCTGACGGCCGAACCACGTTCACTGTCAAGACATACATCACCTTTGATTATTTGTGTCCGTATAGTCTGGTGTCGATTCAACATGCTTATACTCTTACGAATATAATCACGGTGACCGAATCAAGTACTGACGATTTGTGAACTTCGCAGAACTAGCAACCTCGTCCTCAGGCTCTAGAACCCAAAGACCGAGAGTGTTCCTTCCTCGGTCGCAGTCGCAAGATTAAGAGGTCAGCAACGCGCTCAACACGACAACAACGAATTTTACTCCTTGGCTGAGCTCGGCTGACGAGTTGGCATGCCCCGCATTCAACCGAAGGACTTAGTTAGCCGATTAGTTACTCGGCATGCGCGCCACGTAGGCTTTGTAATTTATAGGGTCAACACATACATACAGACCCAGCTCCAGCTCCAGCTCCAGGGATGACAACCACATAACCCATTTGGCCTTTGATTTCAAAATAAAATAGTGCAATAATTTATTCATTAAAAGGAAATCGGAAAAAGAAACAAGATCCAATTCCAATGAATAAATCTATCATACAAACTAATTACAATGCCAAACCAACTGTGAATATATATGTCATACACCCACCATGTGAGAATTAATATGGGTCAGGGGTGGAGTATAATGAGGTGGAAATGGAATCAAATCTTCATATTATATACATGCAAAAGGTAAAGTAACAATCTTACATCTAACCAACAACAACCAACCAGCCTAGATATCCCTCGTCATCGTGTCTCCTGCTTTATTTTCTTTACATAACTTTGTTTTTCTTCTAACTTTATCTGAACCGTAGCAATCTAAACTATATATACAAACCATCACCTCATGAAACAACCATGCAAGCAAACACGGACATTAAGAATTATGCATCAACTTCATTTTCATATAATAGAGATGACATTATTGGAGATAAAGAAACTTGGTTACACGGATCGATCGTCATCATACGAAACATGGAAACTGGTAGTGCAGCCAGATACCTCAGGATCCTCAGCTCCGCAACAGTCGTAGAACTTGGCAGCGTATAGCGGATCGTTGGATCCCAATTCATAGTACCTTCAATCCTGTCAAGAATAATAAAACATCAACCCAGTAAGGAAAGATAGAAGCATAGTTATTGCAGATCAATCTCTCTCTCCTAATATTTCTTGTCGACTGGAAAACATTCACAGTTTTCCATAACTAGTACATGAAAGAGACAAAGAACAATGGGACATACACATTTTCACTTGATCAATCCTTTTCATCTAATTTATTATCCACTGAATCTTCAAGGCCAAGAAGAATAACTTGAGTATGAGAATATATGCTATCGCACACCCACACCCTATCCTAAACTCCTGATTCCTTTCTGTGAATTGTGATATGCAACCCGAAATTGAAATAGAAATCGAAAGGGGGAAGAAAGGTAAGTAAACCCAAATGCATCAGAAACACAGTTTATGCAAATTGGCATCCACTAGTCAGTTAAACAAAGACAAAATTTCTCACACCAACCATCCACTGCACTAATCAAAGATCGAAACTCAACGAAATTAATTACTGTAAAAAAGAACTCATTGGAAAGGGGGGAGAGAGAGGTGCTGTACCTCTTCTGGTCGTCGTGACGGCGACAGACGAAGAAAGAAGGGTGGAAGCGGCATGAGAAAGAGGTGTTAGAGGAGGCCCTGTAGCTGTCGTTGCACCTTTTGCGTACCCTTCCCTTATGCCCCTCACTCCCACTCTTTTTCTCCATCTTTCTCTATTGTTAGATACGGTGGCAAAGAAAATTGCAATTGATATGAAAACCCGTTAAAGAAAATTGCAATATAAGGAAATTCATCTCTTTTCATGACACATTATCGTCACTTACTTCATTGTTGTGAGAAAAAAAGCACTTATTAAAAAAAAAACTCTCACCATAAAGGGTGATGCTCCCTATTAATCTATTTGTTACATAAATCTTAAAACCTGATCTAGTCTAACACAAATTGATAGGGTGAGAACGCATGACCGGCCAAGTCTTTCCTCCAACCAAAGTAAGAACGCATTACCGGCCAATCTCCTCCCCTCGTTTAATAATTTTCATTAAAAAGAAATCCCATTATGATTAAGCAAAATTAAGCTAATTTTCAAAAATTTATCACCAACTTCGTATATCAAGTGATCGCAATGTACTATACAATACATAGTCCAATGGACGGACGCATTTAGGTAAAAGTAAAATCTTGACAACAAACATAACGCTGCAACGAATACACAGAATTCATTTTAAGGAAAACTAATGATAAGGGCTAGAAAATTTTAAATGTTAATCAAAAATCATGTACTAACTTTATTTAATGGTTTATCAAAACCCAATATTAAAATGGTCCAAACTATAAATTTCCGATTTTACCCAGACGGCAAGTCTTTGTTCGTTTATCCTCTCTTCCTTTCTTCTCTCTACTATTCCCTGCCTCCATAACCTCAAATTCCTCATCTCCTTTCATCACCAACCGAAGCTGCAAAGCGAGAGAGAGAGAGAGCAACAACCAGAGCAGCAAATATGATGACCATCCTTTCCTTTGAGACCATGGACATCCCCAACGGTGTCAAGATCAAGGTCCACGCCAAGATCATCGAGGTCCTCACGGAAATACGACCAGAAAGCGGAAGCTGAAGGTCAAGGCCTAGTTTAGCTCTCTCAAAATCAGCCCCGCCATCCGCACCGCTCTCTCCCACATCGGAAATCTCATCACCGAAATCACCAAGGGGTATCGCTACAAGATGCGTTTGTGTATGCTAATTTTTCCATCAATGCCTCCATCACTAATGAGGCCAAGTTGATCGACACACGTAACTTTTTGAAAGAAGGTGAGTAAGGTGGATATGATGATGTTTCTATCACCCAATGTGAAAAGGTCAAGGATAATCCCATCTTGGATGGAAATGAATTTTTCTCGATCTTGTGTCCTGATTAACCAGAAATGCCATCTTGTATATCAGGAAGTTTCTTGATGGTATATATGTGAGCGAGAGGGGAACCATTGTTGCAGAGGAATGAAGGGTGTTTGTTTTTGTGTTCTTTCTTAATGTAGTTTAATTTCTTCATGGGATTGGCTAGTTATTCCTTTTGTTGGAGAGTTCCTATGGAAGAAAATATATCAAGGGGTAGATGCGGGCTGCGGGTTCTGTTGAATGTTTGATTGTGTTGCTGTTTTTGGTAAGAAATTAGAGAGAAAAATATTAAATATATGTCATGGTTGATATATTTGATTCATTTCATAGAGGAATAATGGAGAAACTGATGGATTCAAGTACTTGAAGGAAAGCTGCCCTTTTGTAATCACTAAGCTACTGTGTTACGTTGCAAGTATGGGTGAACATTCTTTTGTTACTTTTGGGTACGAGGAAGCATTGATTGGAATGGAAGGTAGATTTAAGGCAAAGTTGTATTGATTTGGAAAATAAGCCATTAGAATGCTAAAATAAAAATGAGAGTTTGGTTTGTTTAATTTTTTTGTTTGTTTGTACGTAATATCTCATGTTCTCAAGGATTTGTTTTGTGATGTAGTTTATAAACCTTTGATGATGGATGGCTATTATATGTGTGCATTTGGGGTGCTGTGTCGTGTGTTTGTAAATGAAAATTTATGTGGTGTATTTGGAGGTGTTTTAAAATTGTGTTTTTGTTTCATGCATAACAAAAAAATCGTTGTTTAGTTTAAGAAATAGTGATATTACTCGCGTTCAATTCTATAAATAGTTAATGTTCAATTTTAGAAATAGTTAGTATTCAATTTCAGCAATAGTACTCGTATTCAGTTTCATAAATAGTTCTCTTGTTCACTTTCATAAATAGTAATTCTGTTCAGTTTCATAAATAATGATAATACCCATTTTCAGTTTAAGAAATAGTCAATGTTAAGTTTAAGAAATAGTGATAATAGCAGTGTTCAGTTTAAGAAATAGTAACAACACACATGTTCAATTCTAGAAATAGTGTTTAGTTTAAAAATTAGTGATGACATCAGTACTCAGTTTAAGAAATAGTGATAGTATATTTGTTCAATTCAAAAAATAGTTAGTATTTAGTTTAAGAAATAATGATAGTACAAGTTTTCAATTTAATAAATAGTCAATTTTCAATTAATAAATAGTCAATTTTCAGTTCTAGAAATAGTTAGTGTTTAGTTTAAGAACTAGTGACAGTACCTATGTTCAATTCAAAAAATAGTCAGTGTTCAACTTAAGAAATAATCAGTATTCAGTTTAAGAAATAGTGATAATATTAGTCTTAAGTTTAAAAAATAGTGATAATACCCGTGTTTAGTATACAAAATAGTGAGTATTCAGTTTAAGAAATAGTGATAATACTCGTGTTCAGTTTACGAAATAGTGAATGTTCAGTTTAAGAAATAGTGATAGCACCACTACTTAGTTTAAGAAATAGTGAGTGTTCAGTTTAAGAAATAATGATAGTGCCACTATTCAGTTTAGAAATAATAATAGTGCTAGTGTTCTATTTAAGAAGTAGTATCGATACCCCTATCCAATTCGAGAAATAGTTAGTGTTCAATGTTTATAATTGATAATTTTGTTTACTTGGGGAAATAATGTAGCTATTTGATTTTCCTTTTTTTACTTGAAGACGTAAAGTATCAAATTGTTAGTATGATATCAATGCATTTTTTGTTGATTTGTTTTTTAGGTTGTTGCTGGGACAGAATAAAGTCACGAACAATACTGCCGGTAAACGCAAATAATAAGAAGAAGGAGGTGATGTTGAAAACACCTGAGCCGGAAAATACCAGAGCTTTACGAGCAAATCTACAAGACCATTGTTTTATCCGTCAAGAGTTGAGACCCCACTAGCAAATCTACAAAGACTCACAAATTGAAAATGAAATTAGGATAATTTCCAATGGAGTGGCTCTTGCATTCTAGGAGAATGGGTTTTAAGTGGTAAGCAAAATTAAGGGTGGAAATTGATCAACAAAAGAATCTAAACCACCTAATTACAAAAAAATAATAAACTAATAAAATAATAACAATATATAATAATATATATATATATATATATATATATATAAAATAAAAGAAATTGGGGAAGCAATTGCACCCATTTTCTTTAAACGTGCAAAATGGTTTGAGGAGGTGGCCACTATCCTTCACCCATGTTGAGCTTTACCTTCCTTTCAGGAGGAAGATGGACGACAAGAAGAAAACAAGAAAAAAAAAAAAAAAAAAAAGAAAAAGCAAAACCTGAAGAGAGAACGAACGGTCAAAAGAAAAAGAGTAAATTACATTTTCATACCTCAGGTTTATAACCTATTTCAATTCCTTACAACATCTTCAAAACATTTCACTTTCATACCTTAAGTACTATTTTATTTCAAAATAATACGTCCGTTACATTTTCCATCCATGGATCCTTTAAGTGCTGACGTGGCTGCCAAATGTGTGCCATGTGGCAAAAAAAATTATTTTTTAATTTTTTTTTTAAACCTAAATCTTCTTTTTTATTTTTTTTATTTATTATTATTATTTTTTAAACCAAAAACAAACGCAACCCCCACTTTATCTTCCTTCCCCCACCCCACCCCAGAAGAAGGAGAGAAAAAAAAAAAAAAAAAAAAAACATCTTGTTCCTCCACGTCCTCCTCGGCACCCATCTGCGCACCCACCCTCGCACCTCCTCTACACACCCCACTCCTTAAATTCACACTCATTAGGAAGACGGGATCTGGATTGCAGAGAAAGGGAGATGGGTTGTTCTTTTTTTTTTTTTTTTCCTTTTTTTTTTCTGGTTCCCCTTCTTTTTTGGGTTGCAAATGGAATGAGTTTTTTTTTTTTTTTTTTTTGTTCCCCTTCTTTTCTAGGTTGCAGATGGCAAGATGAATTTTCTGGGTTGCAGATGGGATGGGTTTTATTTTATTTTTTTTGCTCCCCTTCTTTTTTGGGTTACAGATGGGAAGGGGGGAAGATGATGAAAACTGAAGGGGATGGGGGGTTCTGGGTTTTGTAAGTTTTTTTTTGTTTTTGTTTTTTTTTTTGTTCTTTCCTGGTTGAAGATTCAAATGGGGTTTCAGCTGGGGGTGGGGTGATGGGATCTGTGTTTCCTAGGTTTTTTTTTTTTTTTTTTTTTCCTTCTTTCTTGTTGTTGTTGTTGTTGCAGGTTTAGGGATGTGGGGGGTGGTTGCGGGGAGATGGGATGGGTTTCAATTTTTTTTTGCCGTGTGGCACACATTTGGCAGCCACGTCAGCACTTAACGGATCCATGGATGGAAAATGTAACGGATGTATTATTTTGAAATAAAATAGTAATGAAAGTGAAATGATTTGAAGATGTTGTAAGGAATTGAAATAGACCCCAAACCTGAGGTATGAAAATGTAATTTACCCAAAGAAAAAAGAAAGAGAGAAAGAACCGGATGACACAATGGCATACTTGTAAATAAAGGGAAGTTTATTTCTAACGGAATTGGCTGACAGAATAGCATTGTTGTTAGGGCCAATTGTGGAAAAAAAAATCATTTCGTTTTGGACTTTTAGTTCAGCCCATGTGTGTTAAATGTTTATGGGTTTGATATAGATTGGTTTTGTCCTTATGATTAAATATAAAGTTTTTTTGATTAATAATAGTATAAGATGGTTTTTGATTAAATTAAACTTAGCTCAAACCCTTTTCATTAAAACTCTCTTTATTTTATTCCCCCAGCGAGATTACAGTTGGAATTTATTTCTCTATAGCCCAGTACCACGTACCAACTAAGAAAAATAAAAAAACACAGCAACAGATGAATTTTCAAATAACCAAACAGCCCTACGAAATGTATTACTCAGAACACAATAATATGTAAACCACTACTACTGTGACAGCGACACCCCTGCCCGTCCTTCATAAACATCTCTTTTGGACAATACCATTTAGACAAACGCTGCCGCATTGCTCGGCTCCGCCATTCAAAGGAAAGCATCTCTAAGCCTGCAAAAAGCTAGCATACTTGGCACCTAGGAAAAGCCTTTGGATACATAGCAGCGCATTTTTGGTGACCTCGGCACTCTCATGATTCATCAGTTTCATCACGCGTTCCTTGGCTTTGAGGTCCGTCACTATGCTTCTTCCAGCCGGATGCTGCTGGACAAACTGTGAGATATCAAAGCAGGCTACGGCCAATGCCCTAGGATCACCGGATGTGTCCAAGATAGTAATCAGGACTCTTAGAATCTGCAAGACAAGGTCATGCATTATTAGTACTACGGAAGCCACAAGCTTCTTCAAAAGATTACTCAAGAGTCAACAGCATTGACATCTGCAATTACTTTCACTATATAATTTAATACTGCCTTCAAAACCAAGTAAATGGACCCAATTTACTACCACTTTTCCATGGAATGGAAGCCAACACTGTCTTGGAAAAACAGAGCTATCCAGGAAAACACAAACAAACAAAACACAAGAACCACCTTGAGTGGCTACTACCAATTTTTACCTATAAACCTATGACTCATGACAGATACCCTATTGCCATTAATAACAACACAAAATGGGCGACACATCTTATGGGACACAAATAATTTCAGGGATTAGTTCAGCCCCACTGTATTAACTAAGCACAATAGACCATGAAATTAAGTATACAACACCAACAACTAAGCATATAATCTAATTTCTTCCACATACAAAAAAAAAAGAAAAAAAAAGCAAATTAGGAGAGAAATCTTGGGCAAAAAACAAATTAATACCTGAAAGTCATTCTCTTCAAAGTTGGTAATATTCTCTCGCCAGAATATTGGATCCTTGTGCATGGGTGACCAGTCAAGATGGCCAAGGAGGACTTCTTGCTTATACTTGTCAAAAGAACTTAATTTCTTGATGTTATCCTTCAGAACCTCTTCCAGTTGATTTAATCCCTCCAGGAGATCCTACAACAAACTTCATTTCATTAAGGAAACTACACCAATGATTTATAGTTTGAAAGAACGCATGTACAAGAACAACAATAGCTCCACGAGCTAGTTGGTTCCCTTCATTTACCTTGTTATACCAAGTTAGCCTAAATGCCTTCCTTCCGGTCCGACCACATAAAATACAAACTATCAAAAGAAGCATACAGTGTCTTGGTTTCTTACCTCATCACTCCATGCTTGTGCTTTCAAATTCTGAACGATTTGTGGCAGTCCAAGGTCCACCATTTGAGCGCCAAATGTCCCCTTTGAGAGCAAGTTCCTCAGGGTCAAAACAACAACTCTGACAACCTACCACGAATAATCAAACCCATATTACAAATAAAAGATGAATTTACACGTACTCCTCTGTTACAAGGACAAGTATAACATGGACAAGCATACACAAATTAATCTCGAAGGAAACAATATAGCATCCCGGAGTCAAGATCCTCACCTTCTCCTTTGTGGAACTCTTGACAACTTCTATGAGTTGTGGAAGAGTTCTAGAAGTAGCCAAGTACTCAATTGCAGGTTCATAATAAGATAAGAGCCAGATGCATAGACATGTTTCATAAAGAAGCTGTTTGAAACAAAATATATTGTCAATAAAAATATCACAAACTCAAGAACTAATACGGAAGCTATCCACAGTACAATTAGAGTTACCTGAATAGATTGTTGGGTGGAAGCTGGAGAAATTAAGGGAACAAGCAACTTCACCCCATCTAATTGAACAAAGGAAGATCTAACTATAGGTTCCTTTAGTAAGGTTGCAAGGCAATTGATGGCAGTTGGGATACCACTGACTGGGATGGGCAGGCTTCTTCAACTGCAAATTACATATACCATAAGAAGCATGCTTAGACAACCAATATCATCCAAACTGATAACCACTAAGTAATAGCTGCGATATCAACAGAGTAACTGATTGAATTTGAGGAAATGTGGGATTTAAGTGCTCTATTTCCTAGGTACCGAAAACAAAAGAGTGACCCAGTTGCATTTAGTAGAATGTGTAACCCAAAGCTGAAAGCATACCTGTGCACAAAGCCATTCCACCAATCCTTTCAACACATCATCAATAGTAGTTATTTTCCTCTTTGAATTTGAGGCTTCTCCATTTGCAGCAGAGCCATCTTGGGGTTTTGGCCTGGCACTATATTAAAAGGGAAACATTAATGAAAATAAACTGCACTTAGTTGATTCTTTGAATATTTGCATTTCACTTTAGATGTGTGTCATGTTTGAGTACCTCACTATTAAAGCAAGTATCTTACAGCTCTTCTCTTGTATGAACCAATTACCCTTCCAGAGCAATCTGAAAAGAAACGCAATGCTTTTTTTTCCTTTGTACATAGATAAAGCTATTACTCATAATTGGTAAATATGTGCTGACCTCAAGAAAGGCTCATAGATATCTTTATCAACAAGACTACTATCATGGAACAATCTTGCTCTTTTTGGGTTAGCTGGGACAAAAAGAAAAGGAAAAAATGGTTACTTTTTCTTTTTTTCTCTTGGCTTTGCGAATGGGCGCGCAATCAGAAATCCAAAAGATGTTCCAGTTTGTTACCTGTAAGCATTTCATTAATTAAAGCAAGGACATATTCCACCGTTTCTTCCTTGAAAATATCACGTAAAATGCCAACGAACACTTGAACATAAGCAGGGCCATCCTGCCACATTTGAACAGCTTGTCAACATCATGGTGAGATACAAACCAGAAGAAAAAGATAAATCAATATTTTCAGCCAATCCAGAAGAAATCTCCACTAAGATTAAGGAAACGCAAAGGATCGAATGAAGCCAGGCAGCATTGAGCAACATGGTGTGGGATGAACATACAAATCAAAATAAGCAAAAATGAAATAGAGATGGAAGGAGCAAGAGGAGGAATTACATCATCGAGAAGCTGTGATCTGTAGCTCTCGGATCTTTTATCATAGCGCCTCAAGAGCTGAAGGCAGGTTCCAGTGATGAGCTTAGTGGTCATGTAAGTCTCCCATGGGATGTCCCTATTCAAAACCTTGACAAGGGAAAAATGGGAAATCAAACAGCTCCGTCAACAAAACAAACAGACAGACAGTGACACAATACAATACAATACATTACACACAATTCAATGACGAGATTTCGACTTGTAATTCCCAATTTCCAATTCTCGTGGAAAGTATGGTAACAAGTGATTGAAGGACAACGAACCTGTTCAGTCGTGAGCTCAGCATGGTCCATTGCTCTAAGTACCCAAAATCAATTTCAGAATTTCAACAATTCGAGTACCTAGAGATGGAGAAAGAAGCCGCCAGATCGATCTATCAGACAGATTTACTCACAATTTCAGAGTCATTGATTACAACATGTTGGAACTAAAACAATTCGAGTATCTAGAGATGAATTAAAACAATGTGAAAGTATCAAATGTAAGTGCTAAATTGAAACGCCCAATCCCAATCCCAATTCTGGATCGGCGGGGGAGCTTACCTCTCTGTGTCTGTGTGGCCTCGTCTGGACTCGGGGAAAGAAAGAAAGACAGGAGAGAGGAGAGGAGAGGAGAGGAGAGGAGGAGAGAGGGGCAACCGCAATTATTTTATTTTGTATACGTGGCATAATGATGACGCGACATGTTGTGAGTGCCTTGTGTTGCCCCAATGGGTTGGCCCAAGCCCAAAACAAATAATAATAATAATAATAGTAATATGATTGTTATTAAAAAAAAAAGAGCTCCGTATATGAAGACAAAAACTTTCACTATATTTCAAGATTATCAATTAATTTTTCAACATATCAAGGAGAAGCAAAAACATTAAAACAACTAAAGCCCATCCAAAAAGCTTGGAAACACAATTTTAAAATAGCAGGCATACCCCTAATGCTTTAGGACTATTAAGACACCCCAACCCTCACACCTCCAACAAAATTAATATACGCCATAAGCTCAACCCATTTTTAACTCTTTCTGCATAATCAGTTTTGAAACTATATGTAGAATCAGTTTGTATCCTTTATTAGTAGAATCAATTTGTATCCTTTATTAGTAGAATCAGTTCAATCCGTCATCAACTATTTTTGCAGAATCGGTTCAATCAATCATCGACTATTTTTGCATAATCAGTTCAACGCGTCCTTGACCATTTTTGCAGAATCATTTCTACCAGTCCTCGACCATTTTTGCAGAATCGATTCAATTAGTCCTCGACCATTTTTTACATAATTAGTTCAACCTGTCATCGACCATTTTTGCAAAATCAGTTCAACCCATCGTCGACCATTTTTGTAGAATTAGTTCAATCTATCTTTGACCATTTTTGTAGAATCAGTTCAACCCATCTTCGACCTTTTTTGTAGAAACAGTTCAATCTGTCTTCAACCATTTTGCATAATCAGTTCAACCACGATGACGTCTGCTACTTCAAGATCAAAGACTTGGCTAGTTTGGTGTTTGCCCTTTTCTCTTCGACCATTTTTACAGAATCTGTTCAACTGCGTTGACGTCTATTACTTCAAGGTCAAAGACTCGACTAGTTCGGTATTTGCCCCTTTCGCTGGGACTCCTTCAAGGGCTTCTTGATTGCTCATCCATATGTGCCTTTTGCTTTTCCTTTATGGTTTTTTTGTTTGTGCTCTGTTTGGCTACCGAAAAAATGGGGAAGAAAGTAGAGTACAAAAGTTTAGGAATTTGTACCTGTAACACGACCCACACGTCGAATCAATGAAAAAAGAGAGAAATCAAAACAATATCGAAATGGATCTAAAATGCTTCTCGCCTTGTTTGATTTGAATATCATATACTATAAAGCAGGAAGAACATTATTTAATCCATTTTCAAGGCACATTAACTTGAAAAGGGAAAAGGAAGGGAATAAGAATAATTAAAACTAGATGGAAACTTGAACTGTTCAATTGGAGATGAAAATCGGATGGCAAGCTGGGTAGAGGTCGTAGATCCACAAGTTTATTCATTTATTAAGAAACCATTTATTAGTTTGGTGCAACCGCCCTCCATTCAAATGGTGCCCTACTGAATCATTATTATAATTATCAAGATGTGAATTAACTAATAAACCTCGTTGGAAGTCCAAACTGAAAAAGAATGACAATTATACTAATAAACCTTGTTATATACGCAGTTGCCTTATTCGAATCCTAAAACTTATAAATGCAAACATTTTTGAAAAAAAACTGGATAAAAGTTGGACTGCATATTTCGATATGAAAATTTCCAATTAGATTGATTTTTTTTTTCAACTCTAATCCCACTGTTAGATTAGTACAAATAGAAATTAGCTCAACAAATAATTAAATTGAACCAATATTTCTTGAAGAGAGAAAAAGAGAGAAGGGAGCAACAGTTGTAGTGATAGAAGTGTGGAAAAAACTTTTTCACTATACAGAGTAATTTTGTAACTTACACTCCAGAGCAAAAAAAGGCAATCATAGTTATTTTTCATATGTATTAACTTTTGTCTCTACTTAAAATGTTTAAAAAGTATTGTCTTAATATACAATTAAGTATTAACAGTATACTCTTGTAATTTTTTCTATAAAAAAAAAATCATAAATAAAAATGGGTGATGTTGTATAAAAATCAATAAAATTTACAATATTAACAATATATCAACAATATTTATCTAAACGACCTATTAATAGAACCCTGTTTGTCAACAAAAATAGCTAAAATGCAAGACAAGATAAAGATGAATGATACAAACAACAACAAGAACAACAACAAAGCATTTTCCCACTAAGTTGGGTCGGCTATATGAATCCTAGAACGCCATTGCGCTCAGTTTTGTGTCATGTCTTCCGTCAGATCCAAATACTCTAAGTCTTTTCTTAGAGTCTCTTCAAAGTGTGAATGATAGAGGAATAAAAATAAAAAATATTCATACACACAAGTGTGTAAGCAAATGTTAGTTATAATTAAAGAAAAACTAATGAAAATGGTTTGAAAACTTTGAGTTTTAACGATAAGGACAAAATAAAGGATAAATTGAATGGTACTATGATTGACTTTTTAGTGTAAAAATATGGTTTTTTGTTAAAATGAACAGTACCGAAAGTTTTTCGTTAAAATTTCTTATAATTAATCCAAGTCATGTGTAATTTGTTGGTTCCATAAATCAAGCACTCAAATTCTCAAACCCACGTATCAAGAATCATAGCTGAAAAAAGAAAAAAAATCTTGCAAGCGGGTCAAACAAATGAGAGGTATATCAAGAAAGAAAATAAATCTATTTTCAAGACATCTATTACACAATGAAGTTCACTCGGCCAATAAATAAAAATAGGCAACTGTCATTCCTTATAGTGAATACTAGAATGGAAACACTTCAGGAGGCCAGAGGAAGAGGGACAATATTTTCCTTTCTAGCATTTCAGCTCACGACATGTCAAGAAGGTATAGTACTGTGCTAATGTCATTAACTCTTGCATCTTAAGCACCAATATTCAGACATTTGCACAACTAATGGTGCACTAATTGAGTTCCCAATCTATAAGGATGCTAACTTCATCATATAGTACTATAGTTAAACACATTTCTTTCCGAAATTAAATTAAGAAAAAATTCAACATTCACATGCCACAACAATTACACTGTTCCATGAAGTAATCTTACCATGACAGCCAAATTGACACAAAACATGTAATAGTCCTTTCGAAAACGAAATTCAACCCATTAATCATATATTTATTTAACACTATATACATATTACAGAGTTGCAATAATTTTCCAAAAACAACAAACCCAACAAACATATATAGAAAATAAAAGGGTAAATTACACTTTACCATCTTAGGTTTGAGGTCTATTGCAACCTCATACAATATCTTCAAAAAATTTCACTTTCATACCTCATGTATTATTTTATTTCAATATAGTACATCCGTTACATTTTTCATTAAGAGCTGACATGGCTGCCAAATTCCTTCTTTCTCCATCACCACCACCCATCTCATACAACCACCATGTCAATCCTCCCCTCCCACCAGAGCAACCACCTCCATCTCCTTCATCCTCACAGCCACACTCTTTCATCCCTAATCCCCATCCCACCCCAACCCCCCCCCCCCTCCTCCAATCTCTGAGCTACGCTCCAATCCCAATCAGAAAATTACCTCCACAAACTTGATCTCCTGAAGCTGGCCGTTCAAGCGACGACCCAAACAACAACGGCTGCAATTCGCAGTCATGACCTCCAAACCCTCACACGCTTCACTCCACAACGCACAGTCGGGGAAGATGTTTAGTTTTTTATTTTTAATAAATAAATAGGGTAAATTATTATAATATTTTTAAATGCATAAAAAATTATTTTTTTACCACATGGCACAAATTTGGCAGCCAAGTCAGCACAAATGTGGATCTCATATTTGTCACGTTACGGTTTACTTAACGGATTTTCTAACGGATGTACAAAATTGAAATAAAATGATAAGTAAATGTATGAAACTGATATGTTTTAAAGATGTTGTAAGAAATTGAAATCGACTCCAAACATAAATGGGTAAAATGTAATTTACCCAAAATAAAAGTAACTAAGCTCCCAACAGTATAATCCATCAGAAAAAATACAAACATGCACATGCTTAAGGACCATGAGAAAGAAGCAGGGTAGTTCCGGTAAAATGAAAGCAATGACCACAAAAGTAGGAAAATGAAGATGCAAAAAATGCAGAAAACCACCAAATACACATTCAATTTGGTTTGTCCAGAACCAAGAATAAGGCATACTTTTCCACAATTGTACAAATTTGGATTTAATCGAAGGCCACCAGAGTGGTAGTAGATATTCCGCGTAACAGAGTTCCCAGTTAGGCCAAAGATGTAAACAGATATAAATCAATTCTAGGCGTTCAAAATTATCACATACCAGTGGCACATTGGGATAGTCACTGGGGAAGCAAACATCAAAGAAGAAGAGACCATCATGGTAAGGAGTAGCCTCGCCCCAACAATTACAGCTCTCACACGATCCATTCTTGTCTCATAAGCTCTACCAAATATTGTAACGGTGGATGTCAATGAAAAGGGGGGTAAACAAACCTAAGTTTCTATAGTACAAACACTGAAACACCAATCCAACAACTATATTCCATATATTCTCAACTCCAAATTTCAGTACAAAACCAAATTAATTACAGCAGTCAGCATCATGAAATGGTCGGTGCAAAATATTTGATAAAAATTAATAGGCTAAGCAGGGGAAAACTTCACTACCATTAATTCAAAACAGTTATTTAAAAGGAAATTCAAAATAAAATAAAAAAAGAACTCGCCTGGCAAATTCTTCTCCAGGATCTTCCACTCTTCCTGAATTCTCTTTGCCACAGACAGAATCGTCGGAGCTTCCGTTGTTCGGAACTGCCGCGGAAGTGACCGACGATCAGGACCACGTCATCTCAAGCGGCTGCGGGCGAAGCAAGGTTGAGATAAACAACAAAGAACCATAAAGATTTGATCTTTATTAATTTAGTGAAAAACCAAATTCATATAAAACAAAAGATTGAAGAAACAGAGGTAAGAACAATACCAAATCCGGGCCCACCGGGTGTTCCATAAAATCTGACGCTTTTGAGCTTCAAATCTGTGCGAACACTTCCAGAGCTTGAAGGGGTGCAGAGAAAAATGGGTTTAAGAAGCAGGGAAGAAAGTGCCAGAAGCTAAAACCCTACTAATTATTTTTTACTTCAGATTCTCAGATTCTGTCACTTTGTCGTTGTTTCTCCCCTTTTCTTGTCAGCTCTCAACAAAACAAATATCTTCTGGGTTCTCTTTCTCTCTCTGCAATTCCCACGTCCAGCTCCCTCTCCTCTGTCTCTGACATCCCCCTCTCCCTCACAGTCTTAACCCCGTTTCGACCCATCCCCTCAATCCCGACACCAACCCTTGATTTGAGGAGAAAAAAATCAACCCTTCCCTCATTGCCATCCCACGCCCATCTCCCTCTCTCTGTCTCTGCAACCTATGCTTTTTGGCAGTATCTATCAGTCCTCTCTCACTCTCTCTCTCTCTAACGGCATGGTCTCACTGACTCCTACCGTGGCTCAGAAAGAAAGGAAATGAAATTCTGTCTAACCCATCCAATCTGTTCGATACTCTTAGAGACAAAACTTACCATCGCCCTCCTGTCTGCCCTGCAATCCCCTCACCATCAATTCCAATCAGTCCCAACAATTAAGATGACAAAAGTATCCTCCAAATTTTTCACCCCGGCCGTTCGATCTTTAACCCTAGATGGGCATTCCCATCATTTGAACAACCAAAGGGCCGGCCTCATCAACAATTGAGGTAAGCCCAGCAAACACAGCCCAAAACCCAGCCGCAAAAGCAGTGGCAGAGAGACTCAACGGTACTTTCGTAAATAAAATGAAATTCGATCCAAAACACTGTTCATTTGAACAGTGCAATTGAAAACCCTTCTTTAGACTAAAGTAATGGGTTTTTGACTCCTTGGTAATAAGTTAATCGGAACATAATTTTCGTGGTGAAAAAACGCGGATTTAAACTCTCGTGAAGTCCGTTAGGTTTAAACTAAAAATTAACATATCTATCAACTTTCTGTTAACATCTTCACCCATCTTTTCTCCAGGTAACCCCAAGTGGTCCATGAACCCTAAAAGCCCTGTCAAATAGGGAGGAGAATTCTCTCATCTCATAAATTTTCTTTCCTTTCCTACCCGCCTACTTAACCGATTACGGTTAAATTACGTCAACATTTTATATTAATTTTTTTATAAAGATAATAAGATAAAAAAAAACATATGAAAGGAGGGAAGGGAATGGAACGAGAATAAAAGGAGAGAATCTTACCGCATCAAATTGTTGTTGAATGCTGACTGGCTGACAGCCACTTCGGCTCCGACGACTAGAGGCGTGAAGGCACTGAACATCAGAAGTTTGAGTACTTTTAATTTTTTTCAATTTTCTGAACAAGAGATCGTTTAATGGATGAGAGATCTTCTCTCTCCGATTTTTCCAGTCGGGCGTGTGAAATCAGCTTCTGGGTCCAATCAGATTCGGTTGCTGAAGCAGAAATGCTTCAACTCCCTCGGATAACAGGGCTCTTTGACTCGATTCTTCAGATTCAGCTCTCTGTTTTCAGTTGCAGAAAAATGGTGTTTCAAAACTGGTTTTGATTTCGAATCACTCCTCACCAACATTCAAACCAATCTCACTACTACCCAACGTCCGTCGATCAATCTCGATTCTCCGTTTTCAATCAGATTGCGAAATTGTTTAAAAAAAATTCAGCTATGATCTTGGTTTTGTCATCTCTTCTATAAACTCCAGGTGTTGGGTTTTACGTTTAAATCCAAATTCCTACAAAATTAACAAACAATTCAATTAAAGTTCCACGTAAGAAACCATAACTAAGATTTTAAATGTTACTTCAATTATCTAATGCTGCAAAAAAAAAAAAAAAAAAAAATAGTTGTTCAAATGGACAAGGGAGCTTTGAATGGAATCAATGGAGCAAAGAATTCATAGCTTGGGATGAATGAGATTTTTTTCCCTTTGGTTATGAAGTTTGAATGAGTTAACATACTTGATGGAAATGTTAATTCTGGGCTTGAATTAGACTTCATCATGAAGATTCAAGTCTAAATTTTTCACTACGAGGATTTAAATCCAAACATTTCACCATAAAGATTATCTTCTGATTACTTATCACCGTAAGAACTATTAATCCAATATAGCCTAATCTTTTTTTTCTTTTACATTGAAATATTAATGTTTAGCAAAACCACCATAAAGCTTGGCAGCAAAAGAAAGAAAGCACCATTTATGTATACATGTACGTTTGTTTGACTTGGGAATTTGGATCTATGATGTGTGTAATGTCGTTTCCGCCATACGTTGGTCAGCAAAAGCGAGCTAGCGTGTTCACCCAAAAAAAGAAGCTAGCTAGCGTATGTTGGATTCTGTCTTTGGGAGGGGACCAATGGAAGGTGGCCACGTGGCCAAAATACAGAAATCGTTGAAAATCGCCAAAATGCAGGAACCGTTGAGAGAGATGTTTACATTGCAATAGATATATAATAATTATGTGATAGTTTGATTTTTATATTGAGATGCTTTTATTGATAATGAACCTATTATGCGATGTTTTCAGGATATGAAGCATCACCGATAACAATTGCAAGTTGTTTGTATTGATAAATTATTAACAACATTAATATTGTCTATTATCTAAAAGAATTTGATTACCTACATTTTTGGAACCTATTATGCTTTTAAATTTAGCCCCTCTCCACGAAAATTCCTAGTTTCGCCAATGGCACGACTGTATTCACAAGAAGAACAAAGTTAGCTTAGCAGTTGTTCGAACTGCACGCCACGTGGGCGTTGTGATTTTCAGAGTCAACAGTAGCTAAAATAGTTTTTTTAATATTGTTGCTAATTTAATAAAAATTTAGAGTTTCTATTGGAAGCAACTCTTACAGTTTTTTTCAACTGGGCGGAACTGGCCACATTAGAGCAGTTCCACCGTGGAAAAGGCCTCCCTAGGCAATACACTATGTTATCCACCCAGTGAACAGTAACTGCCCTTAATGAACAGCAATCGTCTTTTGCATCTCTACCGTTGCACTTCAATAACCCTGGCAATAGGCAATAAAATATTAGTATTTATTTATTTATAAAATAATACAAAATAATTTTTAATTTTTCTCCTATTCCCTTTTTCCTATTCCTTTTCCTTTTCATTTTTTTTTCCAAAACACTCTCTTTGTCCCTTTCATTTGACCGATTCCCTCACATACTCTCTATCATTTCCCTTACACACTCTCTCTCTCTCTCTCTCTTTCTGTGTCTCTCTACCAACGCCCCTTCTCTCTCATTTATGAAACCTCTATCTCTTTAATCTCTCTCATTCTCTTTCTCCAGCTCCGAGAGCTCTCATCCTTCATCTTCTTCGAAATTGAAGCAAATCAAACTAACAAACTCTGAAATCTCAATCCCCTGGATGAAAGGAACTCGAATATATCCTTGCATGCATCATCAGAGCACCATTTGGGTGATCCACCATTGAAGCCGAGAGCTTCAAGCTTCCAATGCTCAAACCCAGATGAGGTTATTGCCCTACTTCAATTGCTTGAGTTATTCTCTGGTTTTTTATGTGTTTCGAGTTGAAACCCTTGGGTTTAGTCTCTGCCATTTGTCTGTGGGTGTATCATCAGCCTTAGCAACAAACTCCGACAAGAGCCGTTAAGTTCGAAGCCTGGGTTTTTTTTTTTTTTTTATTAGTATTTTTAATTTTTATTAATTTTATATTGTGGCTAACGTCAACCCATGTCATACTCCCTTCAGGCGCTCGGGACGGCACGAATCGCCGGGCCTCTCCCTTGGGCCTGCTCGGGCTCGCTCGCCAGCACACGCTGGGCTTCATCACTCGGGCATTCAAGCCCTGTTCCTAAGCCTGTCCTTCGGGCTGGAGCACACGGTGGAAGTACTCTTAGGCATGTTGTAGCTTTGCCAATGGTTGTAGGGGGTAGGGGGTGGGGGTCGTGGAACATAAAGAGAAGGCAATATTAGCATGACCAATCAAGGGTGGCTTAGGAAAATGATGCAAAAATGTTATGGAGACATGCTTGTTTGTTCTTTTCTTTTCATTAGAATTGCAGAAGAAAAAAGGAGACATGCTTGCTTGTTGTCTTCTCTTCGTTGGAATTGGACTCCTACTCCTAGATCTGCAAACAAAGCAGGCTCATACGGCTGCATCGTTAGTGATACGGAGGGGTGTGCTCTTCGAGATGGGACTATGTGCCCCACCCCTTTCTTGTTGGTGTTTTGTCTAGGGATGGAATCCCTTGTCCCCCTTCTTGGTTGTAGGGTCTATTTCCAAGCTGGGGTGAAAATAGCCCCTGTTGAGGTAGATTTTTTGGTAGCGTTTTGGCTAGATAGCTAGTTTTTACTTATAGAAACATTTATGTTCCTACTCTATGTAAGAGCTGTGCTTATCTTCTCCTTGTCTAAGGAGTCTTTTTATATTTTCTTCCCCATGCTGCTTTGTTAATGGGATTCCCCATACTGCTTTGTTAAAGGAATTCCCCATGCTGCTTTGTTCATGGTATTTCCCATGCTGCTTTGTTAAAGGAATTCTTCATGTAAGAGATGTGTTTATCTTCATTTTTTAAATATGAGATAATACGTTATATGTTATTATACAAGTAAAAAAATTTATTTTTTAAATATTCTAAGGTACATGTGCATATTTATCGAACGCATTAAAAAAATCTCTGACCTTCTCCAACTTGAATGTGGTCGCATAATTGCTTTGCATGGTCCGTTGGACCATACATACAACTTAAACATTATTGTACTAAGAACATACGTAAATGTTATGCATGCATGATGTCAGTCAGTCAAAGTCAGAGAAACAATTAAAAGTGTAGAAGTCTATCCAATTCAATTCGATCGGTCGAAAGCCGCCGATCCAGATGAATTAATAATTTGGTTTCCAAGTTTCCATTAGTCGTTGTTATTAAAAGGGATTAACAGTAGTTCAATTACGTACTTATCATAGTTACTGCATATTAATTAGTCCTGGTTGTTTGAATTTTGACAAGGAAGAGAAGAAGAAATATTTTAACAATTTAGTAAAGGGAGCTCTTAGCCATCCGTTTGTATTTTCACATTGGAGAGAGACAGTGTTCTCCCTCTCTCAAGGGTTTTACACGATAGTTTTCCTTTGTAGGACTTCTCTCACACGCCACAATTCCCAGTTCTAGTTGCATTAACAATTAATACAACTTTACATTAATATTTCAACACTGGTCCCATGGATGACGGACAGACAGAGAGCGTTCATATCGCAACTGGGTGTATGGGAGGGATCGCTTATCAGCCTCCATATGGAGTATTAATATTTTATTCCGACGCTTTTCATGACCGGGACTAATTAAATTAAACTCAGAATCCTATATATACATGCAGATGTCGATTCCTGTTTGATCCTTATATTCGATCAGAAATACAATGTCATCAATATCAGAGAGGAGCCGCACATCACAAGTCATAACATGCAAAGGTATGTCTATTGCCTAATGAATGAATTACGGCCTGCACACAGTAGGTATTGCATATATAATATGCATACAAATATATATAATTAAGTTCATTAATACATATAATAATTAATTAAATGTGATGTGGTGGCGCATGCATGCAGCGGTGGTATGCTGGGGAGTAGGAGAAGCATGGAAGGTGGAAGAGATAGAGGTAGAGCCTCCAAAGAGGTCTGAAGTTCGGGTGAAGATGCTCTATGCCAGTTTCTGTCACACTGATATCTTGATCTCCAAAGGACACCCAATTGTAATTACTATTACTACCTCAACTCAATATTCATCCCTTAATTTATAACAGTAATAATCATTATATCGTTTACTTAATTAATTTGATCTTGTAGTTAGGGTTTATTTTCTTTCTTAATTTAGGATGGTCTTGTGAAAATATTTTGACAATTAATTAAGAGGGCCTGCGGGTGTGCTTTTTTTTTCAGCCTCTCTTCCCTCGAGTTCTTGGTCACGAAGGCGTTGGGTACGTACATACGTAGTATTGTTCATTATTCATTTATATATATATATATATATATATATATATATATAGAGAGAGACACACTTTTTTACACATATTTTGACACACATTTTTGTGGGGCTCACTTCGTAATATACTTTAATGATCTAACTGTTTATTTTTTATGTCTTACCTCAAAGTTCATGTCTATAAAAAAATTCTCAAATCCCAAGCTATATTTATTTGTAGAACCGTATTAGTCAATCTTCTTGACAACAAATGAAATGCCTTAATAATTTTGGATTTGTCTAATTTTTTGCAATGATAGTCCATAAATAATGTACTAAAATTTAGACTGTTCGGAGAGTTGCAATACATCATAAAATCAGCCCTACAAAATAGATATCACAATGTGTGTCAAAAGCGTGGATCTTAACCCTGTACATGCCAACTAATTTTGCTGCATGCATATTTGCGCGCACATGCAGTGTGGTGGAGAGCATCGGGGAGGATGTAAGAAACATAAACGGAGGAGACGTGGTGATTCCAACGTTTGTCTCAGAGTGCGAAGAATGCGAGAATTGCGTGTCGGGAAAGACAAACATGTGCCTGAAAAATCCTTTATCCTTCAGCGGTCTAATGCCGGATGGCACTTCGAGAATGTCCGTTGCCGGACAAAAGCTCTACCACCTCTTTTCTTGCTCCACATTGTCCGAGTACATGGTGGTTAATGTTAACTACCTCCTCAAGCTTCCTGGTATTAGTACGACGAGTCCTAGTCTCCCCCACGCAAGCTTCCTCTCGTGCGGATTTTCTACTGGATTTGGGGCTCCTTGGAAGGAAGCAAAGCTTGAAAAGGGATCAACCGTCGCCGTCGTTGGTCTTGGTGCTGTTGGATTAGGGGTAAGTACCAGTACTATGTAATGACATTTACTAGTAATTAAATGACTAACTATTGTATTCATCCGAGTAATCAGCTGTAAACAAAAACTAATTAATTAAATGGCCTGGCGACAGGCCGTTGAGGGGGCTAGAGCGCAAGGTGCGGCTAGGATCATTGGCATCGACAAAAATGAGAGGAAAAGAGGAAAAGGAGAAGCATTCGGAATGACTGATTTTATAAACCCCGACGACGACGATGATCGTAAATCGGTTTCTGAGCTGATCAAACACTCAACAGCCGGAATGGGTGTTGATTATTGCTTCGAGTGCACTGGCTTTGCCCCCTTCATCAATGAAGCGCTTGAAGCCACAAAATTGGTATATACTCTACTCTTTTTTTCTTTTCTTTTTTTCATTTTGTTTTTCCATACGAGGAGTACGAAATCTGTTCATTTAATTTCATCTTTTTTATCTGTTGCTTGATTGCATGCATGGTTGTGCTTGTATCAGGGAACAGGAACGGCAATAGTGATTGGAACCTCGACTGCAACAAGCGTTCAAATTAATTCCCTTCCCCTATTGTGTGGACGAACCTTGAAAGGCTCCATATTTGGAGGGCTCAAACCGAAGACCGACCTTCCCGTTATAATCGACAAATGGATGAACAAGGTGAAGTACTAGCTCCTAACCCAAAGTCCTCGATAGATATGAGAATTGTGATTGACAATTTCCGTTTTCATTTGTTTTTAAAATTGATTTTCCCCACAGGATATGCAGCTCGACAAACTTTTGACTCATGAAGTTCCTCTGCTAGACATAAACCAAGCACTCGAGCTTTTAAGGCACCCTGATTGCGTCAAGGTTCTTATCAAGATTTGATGGCCTTGCTTGCCTGTATGCATCTTGTTACAAATAAATGACTTCATTCGAGCCCATATGTATTGTCGACACAAGGAATAAACGAACATTGATATGTTTTCGGATCTCTAGAATCTGAATAAGTAGTGAAATATATAAGCATCATCTAATGTTCGCCCGTATCACAATATTCGAATAGTCACACAGATAGATAAGTACAACCAACCTTAGAAGAATCAAGTCAAAGCCCTAAGGTTCCTAAAATAACTGCAGCTCTCCAATCTAGCAAAAAATAACAGAGTAGGATAAATCCTAATCCTACGTTGCAACTAAAGAATACATAAAGATCACACATGGCCAGCTGGAAGAAAACTAGCGACATGTTATTCGACACTGAGAAGTACAACTCCCAACACTGCTAAGGCGATCGAGCTGCCCTTCTTTTGGCCTGTTTTCTAATCTTGACCAAAGCCTTGCACAGGACTATTTCAATTAAAGCCAAATAGCCTATCAGCTACGTCTTCAGCACTTGAAAAGATCAATCATGTTCATGTGAAACAAAATATACTAAATTGTTACTTGGTTCAGCTCAATCAGAAGACATCTGAACTAGGAATTTATCCATTACGTACAAACTCCAAAAGGCTAGAAATCCATTTATTAATCCTCCAACTTGTAATCACAATTATGATTGAAATGGCAGCTTTTGCAAAGTCTGACTACTATAACCAAAGTACTGAAATAAACAACATCCTCCAAAACAATTATGGCAAGATCACATGGTTACACATCCAGTTTTAAACCCCATTAATTAGCTCCATTGGTACCTCAAGAGACTGAAACAAATCTCACATGGTAGCTTCTACTTCAGGATCAATTTTTATTGGCACAGTGGGCGCATCATTGTTCCCACCTCTCAAACGAGAAGACACATTGTCAATGGCTGAATTGAGCTGGCTTATTTTTGCATTCAATGTCTGCCTGGTCTTCTGCTTTCCAGAAAAATGAAAATGAGTTAATATTTTTTTGAGCCAAAAAAAAGGGATTTTTTTTTTAATGGATTGCATATCCAACATGTGGGAAAGGGCGGATGTCATAGGGATCCCAAGTCTCTGCATTTAGAGAAATCTAAAGCATTTGATTCATCTAACGGAATCCATTATTTCACATCAGAATAATTGTATTACATTTAAACTCATGTTTTGTACCGTATCACTTGCTACCACTCCCCCTCTTTAATGAGTTCTATTTTGTTTCTACCCTCCATGCTCCTTGTTGATTGTTCATCTTTTCCCAGTAAGAAAACAAATTCCTACTCTTTCTCCCGTCTCACTAGTCGAAAACCGAACAGTAAAGTCATATTCCTTTTCTTTTTCCATTTTAATTTTTCATATGTTTGTCCATCTCTTCAATTTTTAGCTTTCTCAATCTTTCATACATTTGAAAAGCTTTTAAAGACGTATCTAACAATGATTGACTAGTTTTCTTCTATAATTGATTTGATCGCAAAAAAGGGGTCGGCCTTGCCCACCCATTATTTCCTAAACCTGTTGACTTGCTTAGTTGGGAAATTTGAAGAGATTTAAATCTCAATTGCATTGGGATTCAAAAGATCTTCATGAACAAAATAATTATTATATAAAACAAAGAATAAGTGGATTTTGGCTTTGCTTGGATCGGGAGCAGTGAGTTGGGAGATGAAGAAATTTATATTGTGAGGCAGTGGGGATTCTGGGCAAAATTAAAAGTCAAAACAAAAATAACTTGAAAAGAAAGTAGTGAGTGATACGGTACAAAACCTGAGTTTTTTTTAACAAAAAACGTAAGTTTTTAATTTAAAAGAATTATAATGATATGGAAGACTTAGTTCTGTTAGATCAATCAAATGATTTAGATTTCTCTAAATGCACCAAAGCTAAATGTAAAGACTCGGGATCCATGTCCCAGTTACCTCCAAACCTTCATCGTCATATATAGGTCTTCTTGCCTTCCGGAATCCATATTCATCTTCATTAAGTAGAGATCTTCTAATCTGCATAAGACAAAAGTGAAATCCAGAATAAAAACCCATATGAAAAAACAGATGCGGAATAGTCATCCTATACTTCAAGGCATGACTGGATGAGGGTTTTGTATCAAGGGATTTAGTCAACATTAGCAAGAAATGCACTACAAAACATTAGATAAGGCGATTGAAAATGCACTACAAGAGCATTACAAAGTCACTCCACAAAGAATTTTCAAATGGCTCCTTTCTAGTAGTCATTTTACAAATCCCTCTATCTAATGTTTTGCAGTGCATTTCAAACCCCTTGGTACCAGGAAATCATTCATCAAAACACAAGATTAAGGGTCTTTGTGCGAAAACATGTAGCCAACAGGAATCAAGACCATATAAAGAGCACTAAATGTTGACAGACAGATAACAGTAATCTGCGGATAAGGAGCAGGAGCACAAGTTGTCAATCTTTTCATTCATACGGAGCAGTTTGCATCCTGAAATCAATGGGAGCATGGGAATCTAAAATCTAAACTTACGTGATCAATTATGACTGGGCATGTCATCAGACAAAGTTGGTGCAACAAATTTCAAATTTCTGCAGTAGAGCATCATTACAGTGATCTCTTTGCTTGCATCAACAGTATAGTAAATCACATAATACTACAGGGAAAGGATATAAAAGTAACATCCTACAACAGTCAAATAATGGATTTACTCTACCAAATAATTCTTCTATGTTTAGAGCACTACAAAAATAATATTCAAAAAAAAAAAAAAAAAAAAAAATCTTAGCAATGATTACTCCAAGGAAGCATGGTAATTAGGACAATATTACTCAGTTCTCTTTTGGTAAGCATACAGATTCCACTACATTCCATCCATGGGTTAGGAACTTAGGTGTTGAATATGTGTAAAAGCGTATATTTAGGAAAATAAATTAATAAATAAATATGATGAACACAAATCGAAACACGATGAATACTGAAGCTCAGAAGAGTTATATGTGGGATAATATGGAAGCACCTGTGGAGCAAAAACGTAAGCCAAAGTCCCAAAGACAGCACCTCCTAACACAAAACCAGCGACGAAATCAGCACCGCCGCCGCCGCCTCTACTGTCGTCACTGCAGTGCAGCACATACAAAGGAATGGAATAAAACGGAGAGCAATTGAGAAATTGGAATTGGTATGGAAATGGAATATGACCTGTACTCGGCACGAACGGCGAAATTGCGATTGGTTCGCAGGTGAAAATGTTTCCTTTGGGATTGGGCCTTGGCAGAGGACCACAAAACCTCACGCGCCTTCAGCTGGCATCCGCTGCCTGCACCCATTAAACATCACTAGAGCATCAGCCTAAACAACACAGAGAGTCACAGACGATATTGCAATTTACAGATACACAATACATTGCCACTGTTGTTTGTTGTATAAATTAATTAACAATAAGAATCTGCTATTCGAGATTTCTGATCGAGTCACATACCTGCGAATGAGGTGGATAGAGGAGCAAAGCAGATCGCCATTAGATTTTAAAGACACACTCAGAAATTACAGGGAGAGAAGCTGCAAGAAATGGGCGTTGCATATTAATTATAGTCCGCCCGTCTTGTAATTAATTAGGATAAACACTCTTAGGGTAATAATACACATTTGAATCACTTTATTTCCCTAATTGCCCCTTTTGCTTTGACAAGGGAATTTCAATTTGCCTGTACGCACACAATAACTCAACAACGGAGGGCAATACCGGAAGCAAGCACAGTTTTTAAAGTTATACAGCAAAGCTTAATTGGATTCTTCCGCCCCCGTTCGCTCCACCCTCCACGGGCCATCCCCTCGGACACCGATTCGGCTTAATTGGATTCATTGTTTTTTTTCTTTTTCTTTTTGATAATTGAATTGAATGAAGTGAGTCGAGCTTGATTTGAGATTTGTAAGTGCTGTCCTTGAGTTATAATTAGTGAAAGAGAATATTACTATTGATTTGAAACTTGTCGGTTACAACTTATTAGTGAAAAATAATATTACTAAACTATTGTACTAGTTGATAATTGATGCAACATGGTTTGATAGTGCACTTATGGTATGCATATTTTTAAACGTTTAGTTCCTTTTTCTGGAAGCAAAATGATGGGAAATAGTAACAAGGAAATAACTTCAGTTTGTTTAGTAAAAAGGAGTTTAAATTTGTTTCGACGTTCCGAAGTACGGCTAATTACTGCTGTCCTTGAGTTATAAAGGCATCCATTGGATTGGACGGTTGGACAGGATTGGATCGGCAAAATACATCGTAGTTAGCAGACGCATCAAAGATTCAAAAGACGAAAGAAGAAGAAAACGTAGGAGTCAAAACTTGGAAGATTCAGCAACACATTGGTTTCAAATTCCTATTGGTTCTTAAAACTATGGTGGCTTATTTCTCTTTATATACAAACAGCCGTAACAGTAATAGTAACGCACTCAATTACCAAACATCTAAAAACAGTATTCAAATACTAAGAAAAAGTACCAGCAAATCCTATATTTGAGAAAGATGAACGACGGCAACCAGGCAAGATCATCAACCACAATTGCCACATGCATTTCAAACGCAACGTAATGTACATAACGCAGCAATTCATCTTCACTTCATTTGTCTGGCAAGCGCCCAAAGAGCAGCAGTGATGTATTCACATGGTGTCTTTCAGGCAGAAGCTGCTCCGGTTTTGAAACAGGTTTCCCAGGTTGTTCCTTGTCTGGGAATGGGAATGAAAGGGAAAGGGAAAGTGACGCAGACACGTCATCATCTTTCTCATCCACCACCGCTGCTTCTAAGGGCTTATCTTGGTTGTTAACTTTCTCGTCTGCTAACCCAACAAAGAAGGGCAGTATTCCCTTATTTTGTGGTTTTGTTTCTCCCCCTAGAGCTAGCTCGAGACTTGGGAACCCTTCGCGAGTCTTATCCACATACCCTGATGAGAAATCTTTCCATGGCACCGAGTTGCCAACCGGCCCAAAATGCTGTACATGCCGTGAATCCAAAGGAAAGAAGTACCTTTCAGTATTTCCCAAGTCCTCTGGAATAACTTTCTCCTCACAGGCTTCAAAGCATCTCTTGTCCTTAACCACAGCTTCTGTACCTCTAGAAGTGCTACAGCCATCAAATCCACTTGAACCGATTTTTGGCTTCTTCCTATCAATCTCGACATCCATCTGTGTGATATTCACCTCATTCCATGGCATTTCTTGAGTTGTGGCTGCAGAAGTTGTTCTCTCTGAAATAGGTATGTCTGGGTGTTTTCTATCACTAGGCTGACAAGAGTCGACTCTGGCTGTCAAGTCTCTCACCAAGGCTGCTTCTGATTCCTTATATCCATAATCTCTCCTCAATTCCCTCTCTTGTTTAAAATGAGCTTTATCCATCCTCACTCTGTCCAGAATCACCTCCTCAACCCCTCCCGCGATACCAACCCTTTTCTTTCTATCTGGAAATCTGTCATCCCCAACACTCCTAGAAACGGCTACCTCTCGACTGGAAACAAGACGAATCTCCAGAGAATCAGCATCTTCCCTATCAACAGAAGTGACCCAATGCACTTGCCTCTTCTCACCCTTGTTGGAGCTATTTGACCCAGTTGTTGGAATAGAAGACTTAATTTCTTTACCAACTCTGCTTTCTCGAAGACAACTTTCCTGCTGCAGAATGTGAGACAATAACCCTTTAGTAAATATACACACACACACACACAAATCTCAGTGACCCAAAAATATATACACATCACAGTACCAACATTTAAGAAACAAATTTTGACTAGGTAAGTAAATTGAACCATGAAACGAGGGCCAAGCTTAAAATACCAAACCTTCCCAATAAATTATCCCTCTATAACACAGCTAATTAGTGGAGTAGATTACATCATAGGACATATCACTCAGCGAGTCAACACATAGCACGGGCATCAATAAACATTCTCAGACCAATGGATGATCATTGTGGAGTCAAGTTCTGTGACATCAGTAATGCCATCTATACTTCTACACCAAAGTGCATGGACTAAGCAAATAAGGATCTTTTGACTAAAGAAATAATGTCATTTAGGTCTTGACCACTGGCGAGAATAAATGCAGAACATCATAATCTAAAAACATCTCAAAAAGTATAGCAACACTGGTCAAAATTGTTCATCTTCACATTTTTAAGAGTGAAAGGAAACAAGTGGTGCAACCATATGATTGATGACATCAATGAAGTCTAGCACAGATGTTAGAAAGATACAACCACGCTGCAAAGAAAAACACTGAAAGAAATTAATCTCTCAGCATGAGAGAGAAAGAGAGGCCAGCCAAGCCACAATATGGTTTCACACCCCGAATGAGGAACTGAAATACAAAAATCAAGGACAACAACCACCATGATGCACCTTATACATTCTGGAAAAAAGGAAAAAGAACAAGAAAGTTACCAGGCAAGGAGTGATGTATTCAACTCCTTCAGACAAGCCAGCATTGTTTGTTGTGTTGGAATCAACCCTACAATCCTGTACTGCCAAGTTCACTTTTGAACCTAAACGCACTTCTTCACGATAAGTATCTTTGTTCTCACAATCCTTGGTAACTGTGGGGCCCATATGCAGAGAGGCATTGGAAGCAGAGGGAACATCAAAGGATCTGTCAGAAGGAGAAGATTCATCTATATGCTTGGGTATACATATGTTCTCGGACAATGTCATGCCATCAGTAGGAGCTTTATGAAATGAGTTGCTCAAGCTAGGAACACATGTCTCGGTAAAATCTAAACAATGCACCCTCATTGTCCTGAACACACCCCAAAGGAAAAATAGCATATTCCAACCTGCCAATGACAGAAAACAGATTTCAGCAGACAGACTCTAGGTCAGCAAGAACAATGCTATTGCCACAAACAGTTGACAATAAAGAGCAACTACTGAACCAATAACCAAAAATGAGGTCAAGCTGAAAGCACTTGAGGACAGGACCAAAAAGGCAAAAACATCAGCAAGACGAGAGAAGCAGCCAATTATTTAAAAGAAGACAGCATCATACAGATTACAGAACATGAAGATTATCCATATTTCTATATATGCTCCATAATTACAGGTTCGCAATATTAGCATCAGAACTTATTTAAGCATTAAGCAGTTTAAGCCACAACTTACACACAGCACAACCGCATCAAACATATTATCACTCGGTAGAACACCTAACCCAATGTAATGAAACTTCAGAATTCCTTACGTTGTGATTTCTCAGGAAGCTGATTGGATGGGAATATCAGAAGTTCAACACCATCAAAATTCCCTTTGAGGGCTAGATCATTCTTGACCATAGCATCCAACAGGCTGTTGTAGTGTCTTTCATAACTGCATCGAAAATTGAAACGACTGCATAATAGGAAATATAGAAAAAAATGTTGTGGAAATAACAAGACTTTGAAAATATTAAATGAAGTGTATGTCTATCACTAATTCACTACCTATCAAGATCTTTAGCAAAGAAATAAAGTGCAATATTATCTTCTTTAGCGCCACTTTGACGGAACTGTGATGGCCATACACTCAGGCGAGGAACTTCATTCAGAGAAACTTTGTGCGGAAATTTGTTTACCACTTCAGGGACCTTTGGTGATGCACAAGTCGACAAGTGAGCTTGAATTCCACCACATAAATCCATAAAATTTCCACCTCTCTGCACTTCAAAACTTCCCCTGCATGAAAATAAGATAAGCCTATCTTATAAGACATTGTCAATGGAACAAAAGAAGAGGAAAAAAGGAGAAAACTAACACCAGGAAGAAAAGGAAAGAAAATGTAGAATATGAAGCAGACAAGATTTGATAACTAATAAAAACCAAGAGAACCATACTGCCAGATGTATTCATATTCTGGAATGGCTGTTGTCTTCACAAGAACGGACATCGCTCCTGAAGCATGATTATGCAAATCTTTCACTGTAGGCTTGCCAGGAACAACAGAAACAGAGTATGCCACTTTGGAAGGGAACCCAGAATCAATGGGCTGCACTGTAAGCTGCTTTAAATTATTGACAGTTGTATTCTTGGAAGAGTCAGAAGTAGAAGTCCCAAGGATTGCACGTCCGTCAGGTGATTGCTCTTGAGGAGCTACTTCATAACTCGAGTCCATGTTCGGCGTTGAAGACTCGTCAGACTGATCGAATACTCTTTTCTTTCTGTATATTTCAGACTTTCTAAGCACAGCTGCATGAATAGCATCTTTCAACCTGTTACCTCTCTGGATCTCCTCCTTAGAACCTCTCGGAGCAGAAGCATCAGTACCAGAAGCCTGTGAAATTACAGGTCTACCAAATTCCGCGTTAATTCCTATCTCTTTACATTTTAGACTAGCTACAACAGCAGGCGTACAGCGAACAGAGCTCTCCCTGGCTTTATCATCCTGATCTATCATTTCCCCTGATTGTGGTAACACATCTTCTGATGTTCCATCTACATTACAGTGTAATTTCTCAACAGTCACAGAGCTGGATAAGGATTCATCCTTAAAGCTAACATGGTTTAACTTTTGTTCAGAAGCAGAACTAGACATTCCATTCATAGATGAACCTCCACCTGCAATGGAAAACACACAGTGATACTTTAGGTTATTAACACTATCTAGTCCAAGATACATAACCATCAAACAAACCAAACAAAGAAACATAAAAGTAAGGCACAACCTCGAGCTTGAAGAACACACAAGTACAGAACTAGCCCAATTTCACAATCAAGAAGGAAAAGATTTACCTGAAGTAATTTGAGTGTCAAAACCTTCACGAGTTACACTAGATTTTGATGTACTTAATTTTCCATCAGGTAGTGCAACCTTTGGCTCACGATTGCTCACAGATGAAAGCAAACTAGTTTCACCACGAGATGCTAGGTCACTCTTAGGAGTTGAGACAATAGAATTAGCTGTTGTAAAATTAGCCATGGGACGGTCTAGTTTGGACAAATTTTTTCTTTCAACGGCACTCCGCTCTTTTGCCTGTTTCAATCCTTTAAGATCTGAAACATGGCTAAACTTTGATGAGAGCATTTTAACTTTTGATTCAGAAACATTCGAACGCCCTGAGCTAGCAGACTTGAAAGACACAGACTTGCCCATAATTATGGGCACCACCCTCTCCTTCATATCAAGGGAGGCATGTTCTTTAAAACCCTTTTGCTTGTGAGGAACAACTTCATCTACATGTTTAACTTTTGGTTTAGAATTTAACGTGTTGAACGAATTTGACTTTGAAAATGTACCTGCAGGCAGAAATACGATGAACTGTTGTTCTTTCTTAATATAGAACTCTAAAAAATGTAAAAATGGGAAACAACAACCCCACCTAGACATCAGAAAGCAAAAGAGTTGCTATAGATAAAAAGAGGGGTAGAGAGGGAGCATGAAACATGTATCCTGCAGCAATTACTACTCACCCTTGGCCCCTATGCCATTTGAAGGAGAACGTGCAGTTTCTGATATATTATTAGTACCCTGAGAAGTCTGATAAGCTGGCCTCAACCTATCCTTATCTAAGCTTTTGAATGAAGACTCACGTGATAGAGCACCCATTCTCTTAGGGCTAGATGGCTTTGGTGATCCCACCCGCATTTCAAGACCCTGCCTTTTCACAGAAGGAGCCACTTCTGTGTTTTCTGCAAGTCTCTTATTAGAGAATTGTGTACTCATAATCGCTTTCTCCTTTCTTTTCACCTCCATATCTGAACCTTTAGAATTCAAATACAGAAAAAGATTATGCATTTCACAGCTAAGTAACAGCACATTAGCATGTGTTAAACTAATATAATTCAATCTGCTTTACCTTGCTTCTGGTTGTCAGTTTCCTCGGTATACTTGCATTCCTCACACAGCCATGGACCTTTAGGAACTCTCCGAAGCATTTTTCGCATACAATAGCTGCTTTCAGCAATAATAATGTTTAGAAAATTTTGATCAAAAGCATCAGAACATAAAATATCACAAGAAAAATCCTGACAGCAAAAATAGGATGAAAGGCTATTACATGTGTTCTGCACCATCACTGCACCTACTACACATGGCAAGCATATCTTCTCGACCTGCATCCCCACAAATATCACATACTTTTACCTGTTTATGACCCCAAAGAAAAGGCAACAGTTTTTAGTTTTTCAGCTCATAAGTGAAGAAGCCAATACAGGAAATGAGAAGCTATAAAGCATGTCACCCACAGATAAAACTGAAGCATTCATAAAGTCTCCAAGAGGAGCCAATAACAAAAATGGATAGACAACCCTTCCTTGTCTTTAACATGATGCAACCATCCAAAGTCTACTATCTCTGACTTAAAGCATAAGATAATTAGACCTCAATATAGATGAATACATCACGCATAATGAGCACCAATCCGCTGGGGTAACATCCTTCAAATTAAAATGTGATGTTCTAGCATGAAAATAGCAAACATTTACAAATTTTTAACAAATAAAGGGGGATGTTTTCTTAATGACACTGAAAAAGCTGCAAATACTTGTTTTCTCTTTATTATCTTGAAATATGCTAATCAACATTAGGTTTGATCAAACAATTAAGTTACAACGACAACATGAATCAAGAAGCGTATTTACAAATCTTCAGACTACTGGCAAGAAAATATCATTTTATATGAAACCTTATAGGGAGACACGTGAAGCCAGAAAAAATATTGAGGGGGAAGAGACACAAAGAATAAACAAGAATTTGTGCAAACAAGTCATACATACAAATTTTATGGGGGATGGGAGGGAACTCACATCATGCTCCACAATGTCTGATTCATCACTGTCATCCCCAGATGCAGATTGCAAGGGCTGCATGTCAGCTACTTCGACCAACTCATTCGACATAACATCTTTGTCACCATGATCCAAACATTTTGACGCTTCATCTTTTGGGTCTTGTCCGTTACTCTCTACTTCTATCTTTGGACACAATTTTGTAGGGACCCCTAAACTTTTATAAGGAACGAATTTCTGGCCAGCAATAATATCTGACTCATTCTTAAATGATGAATCAGCATGTCCAAAAAATTCTGGCAGTTTTCCCTGCATATGATAAGAGATGCATCCTCTCCTAAATCAGTACAAAATTGCATAAAAGGAAAGAGATGACCAATCCGTGAGTAAAAGCAAGAGTTTGCACCTTTTTTGTGCTATCACCAAAATCTGCAGGTTTTACCATCTCTGACAAGACTGACTTATGTGCCTTTCCAGATTCTTCTGTCCCTAGACTACCAGCTGAAGCTAAACTACAAGACAAATTCTTCCATTCTACGTTCCTGTTATGGTTATTGACTGCCAGATTTGCATCATTGGCTCTGCTTATACATGAAATGTTATCATCATGGACTTCAACAGCATTTTCGGATGTATCAGAAGACCTCATGGTTGCTTTGCTTTCAGCATTTTCAGACAAAGAATCATGACTTGAATTAACGCTAAGCAGGTTACTTGTCTCGCTGGTGGTATGTTGTAAACTGTCACATGCTTTTCTCTTAAAAGAAGATGAAGTATCTCCCACATTGATAGAATATTGACTAGCCGCATTAACACGACAGGTTTCATCAGAAAATTCATCAGTCCTTGACCCCATAAAAGATCTATTACGATGCATACAAGATGAACAGGGAGCAGAGCACAAGTTGCAAGTCCCAGACTCGCCACTAATATGAACCTTCCCACCACTGGAATGCTTACCAAACTCTTTTAAAAATTTAGATGACACCTAATAAATACAAAGAAATAAATTAGTAGTCGAAGCAATAATTAAATTAACAATGGAGGATTAAAAAGTTATAGGAAAATCCTGACTTTGCAGCATTGACCGTATCAGAGCATGGGCAACGTAAAAATCAAATAACTGAGACAAATCCCACACTCAATGTCACTCTCAGCTTAAGGGAGTAAGAAAAAAAAAAAATCATATGCAGGAAGCTGCATGTGAGAATCCCTTCAACTGGCCGGTAATATTCCCACAAATGAAAATTACTAAACTTGGAATTTGGAAGAAGGAGAGAACTTTTAAATTGATATACGACCATTCCCTTGTTTGGATTTATAATAAACATAGAGATGTATAATTTGAAGTTCATAATTTTCCATCTAAATAGTTGTAATTTCTAAAATTTCAAAAGAGTGAGTATTTTAAGAAAAACAACTATGTACACCGCCATAGCCATGACCTCCACTACCTGTTCATCACCACCATCACTTCCACCCTGAACACATCTACCAAACACTACCCCACATTTACAAATTGGTGGCTATAAAAGAACAAAACATAAAATTCCATCTTTAAATCCCATTACACTTTAGGTTAGCCAAGCAAAAAATTTGACAAATTCTAGAACAGTGAATTCCATCATTTTAAGTTGTATCATTTTGGAATTCCTCAGTCTCTCCAATTTCCTCGTTCAAACTTATGGTTAGATTAATGTATAAGGGAAATTCCTCCAAGGTTCCTAAAATCTGAATTCAATCATCCATTACAACACACTCCTAATAAGCGAGAAATGGCTAGTGAAATTATCAAAACCCTAATGGTCGTCGGATGGTCAACGAAAAACCTGAAGTTTAATTGCCTACTTTCTTTGAAATAAGGGCTACTGCATGATATAGGAAAAGAAAACTGAAAATAAACAAAGAAGAAAGAAGGCAAATTACCGAGAGTCATCTCACCATAGTCCTCTGAATATCATGATCAACAGGTCGGCCCTTGCATGCAATCACTCCCTCTCCAAACTCAAAACTCCAAACTGCTGCGATATAACCAGAATTACATTAAGCCCAATCTCCGGTACCCAATAACAGAGTGCGGACTCCAATTACTGCATGAAAAGTGAAAAGTAAATCAATTTAGAGAGAGGCTAATGCAGCAGTGAAGATGCAAACCAAACGCAAATTAAATTATTAAAGAAAAGAGTTTTCTATCAGGACCCAAAAACCCTATACCATGAAATCCAAAATTCCCAATACAAAGCCACTGCCCATTGCCAATCAATCCAATCATCAATTCAGCAAGTAATCCGATCATACAAAACAAAATCAAGTAATCAAATCAAGAGACGAGAAGAAAAGCATGTCGGTTGAAAATTACGCGCCTTTGATTTCAGAACTGCCCCTTCATCCCTTCCATCCTCCCTTCGTTCGTTCGCCGAGGCAATCGTCCGTCCCAAGCCCCAACCCTAATCTAATCTAATCGAAACCCAAACAAACACTTGGTAGTCCAATGTCCTGCGATGCTGCTGCACGTTTCGATTCGATTCGATTCGATTCAATTGAAGCCCTAACTTTCCAGCAAATGGCATTCAAATCAACTCTCAGACCAGAACCAAAATGACCATCTACTCTAACCACACACAATCTCATTTATTTATGTATATAATATATAAATGTCTTTGTAAAACTACTTATATACATATATACCTCATATATATTTTCTTGTTGCGTCTCTCTATTCCTTGTGAGCTTGGGGAATTTCAACTTCATACTCTCCCTCTGTGGAGATTTATTTTCTATAGAAAATGAGTGAATGAGAACATTTTTAGATTTGGAATTTAAGTGCGGGTCTCCCGTATTTTAAATTATTAAAAGGGCCTTGTCTATTTTATTTTATTTTATTTTTTCATTTTGACCTTTACCAATTTAACATCACCGTTTTTCTTCTATTAGATACTGTACAAAAATAAAATTTATGAAGTCTAGCAGAAAAATCGTTAGGATTTTAATAAAGTAGAAATGCCATGGTAAAACTAAACTAAGAAAAATATGACAATTTCAAAAGGAAAACAAAAAAGTCATAGTAACATCAAATATTAAATAAATAAAATTAGGTAAAATTTACCCATAAACAAAAAAAATATTATCCTTACCAACTTGATTAGCGATTCCACACTTCTCACATTCGATCCAAAGGTTTGCTTGATATTTGCTTTTAGTAGAGCCAAAACAATTTACGAGAACCAAAAGCCTTTTTCACTATAATTATTAAAAAGATGTAATAATAATCATGGCTCGTAAAAATGTTTTATAGAAAAGCACATGTTAAACGACTCTTCTTAAAATCACTATCGTGTAGTAATGTGTAGTATGAAAGCATTATTCTGGTTCATATACCAAAGACCAAACCAAACTTTACTACTGACAGAAATTCTATTAAATAAAAACAATTTATAGAGAATCACTTTCTTTTAAGAAGCACTCTAAGTGCTTTTTGCTTCTAAGGTTTATTTTTTTAATAATAATTTCAACATGTGTTTACTTGAAGCACTTCTTGAGCAATCTTAACGGCCCTAATTCTCATGAAGGTTGATCCCAAAACACTATTGTTGGTACAAATTTGAGCGTAAAAAAAATTTGATCCCAACACATAAATATTTGTAAGTTTTTATCATTAATGTAAATCCAAAGTGTGAGCCTCACGAATCACAATCAACCTAAATGGATTTGCGGGCACACCTAGGAATAATTTAAGGGAGTTTTAACAAAAACTCACGGTACCATATTTTTACACCAAAAAATCAATCATGTACCATTCACTTTACCTTTTATTTTGTCCTTATCATTAAAACTCAAAGTTTTCAATCACTTTTGATAAGTTTTCCTATAATTTAATTTGCATTTAGTCCATCCCCGTCACAGTTCACTTCAATTAATGAGATATTTAGTACCAGTACCCTTCTTGCTTTGATGAATTCTAAAGCCAAAAAAAAAAATATATATATATGGGACTAAATCCAAAGTGTAGGAAGAATTCAAGCGTTGAGGGGAAAAAGTAGAGAATCTGTACGTGGCAATGATGGCATTATGGCAAAAGCATAAGACAAACAAACTAATAAGGATGGAGGAGCAACTTTTGTGGTTGTCAGATTCAACAGCACCTCCTTCATCCTTTCCTTTCCCCTTCCCATTCTCAGCATACAATACCAGGCAGCCCTTCGGCCCGTTCTGTTTAAAACCATCCCCGCCATCAACATGACAACCGACTGTTGTTGGATGTAATCCATTCGGATTTATCATCCTTTGGTCGATCATGTATGAAGAGTTAGATCCAACATACCATTTAGCACCTGCAAGGCAATGGCTGCAATTTTTTCCATATAAGAAGTAGAGAATACAAGAAAGCCTATCATATCATCAGAAAACTTTAATAAATTCAATATAAAATTATACTTGTCCATATTTGAAATTCAAAATCCAAAACATCTTGCATATGTGTCATGCTACAACAAAAGATACCTAGGCTACAAATTACTTCATAGAATAATTAGACCGAGTGGATATCAGATAATGAAATAAATTATATTTGAAATGAATTTGAAGTAACTATTATGCAATCAGTCATTTAAAATCCATAGTTCTCTTCTTTTCTTATTAAAATCCTGGCATATAAGCTCGCAAAAGTCTAAACAAACAATTTAACCTTTACATTTAATCCAATTCTTATCTTTTTGGAATTCAAAAGGTAAATTGTTACATACTTGCCATATTAATCAATCGGGTGTTTGTCAGCTTGCCGAGAAGTATAATGTGCAGAAAGCAAAAGCAAAGAAAGGAAAGCACTGGCCACAAAGATTGCATCAAACCATCGGTGATAGAAGTCAAACTGAATATCTCCACCCAATACATCTGTTATGATCATCCTGCCAAGAGATAATGGCTCACTCTTTAAAACTCATTCATCAGCTCAGAAGCTACCTAAATGACGGACTGAATGCAATCAAGCTTATATGACAAAAGACAAAAAACTTCTGACGGCCATCATTTGGAAAATCTGCACTTTGAGACAGGACATGATTAAAGCCAGAGTCTGCAGTTTACAAGCTTCAACGTTTTCATTTTAAATACAAATACGGTAATACACTTTTACAATGACTAGGATTGTAAACCTTTTTTCAAGTAAATATGATTGTTATTAACCTTTTAAACAATTTCATTTAGTCATGAAGTAATAATATCTTTTATATAGCATGGTATTATAATACCATCTTCGCGCCAATACTACTGTCATTATATGGGTTCATCTTGCAAGCCAAAGTATTTTGGCCGGTTTCTGTATTAAACCCCTTTGATACTTCGATATGTAGTATAGATAGAAGAATAGAAGAAAATGTTTTTGTTTCACTAAGAACATAGTCAACATCTAATTTCAAGTAATTGTACATAAATTTCATTTCAAAGTAGGAATTTTAGGTGCACTGTCTACACTAAGAGTAAAATAAACTTGCACTTAAGCTCAATACAACTGACCGAAATTCATAACATAACCATGCCATTGAACATCAAGGGAAGACAGAAGAACAAAACCAAAAGTTGACAAACATAAAATATCAGCATACCTGTACTCAGTCGCCAAGCTTTTCCTTATCAATAGAATAGAGGACACAAAGTACATTCCCATAATTTCAGAGAGAAACAATACAACGTTGCTAGAAGATCCACTTCCAACTCTGGAAACTGCAAAAAAAAACTGTGCACAGCAGAGCAAGAAAGTTAAACCATAAAGGTGATGTTTTATGTTTCCATCAGTTGCTCTTCAACAACCACAGACCACTAGGCCTATTCCCAGAAAATGATTAAAATGGGACGAAGGCCTATTCCCAGAAAGTGATTAAAATGGGACTAATGCCTGGGTCAGCTTAATTCATTTATTTTCTTGATATAATTGCGGCACTAGCATGTACAACCTAAGACCAATGTGGGACATCTGGTTCTTATCTCCAGATCCAAAAAAACTGTCTTTCAAGTTTCAACTTTCAGCTCCTGAGTTCCTTAATACAGTGGCCTACCCCTTTTGTATGCAACTCGGTCAAGAAAAAAAAAAGCCAAGCATTCAGAACTCATTTCTTTTCCCTCTAGAAACTGCAGACTGCATTTTGAAAGTCAGTCTCAAGAAATCCAATCAGCGGATTGTGGTTCTCCAACTTAAATAAGAATAAATAGTAAGGCAGGCATAAGAAGGATTACCTTCATTAAATTTGTCAAGAATCCACGAACTGATATAACAATCAACATTCCAATGAACAAGAGTGAAATATACTGTCGACAAATGAGAACAAATGAAGTGTCAACCATGTATAAGATTATATCATAAGATTCAACTGCATATTTGCAATCCATAGTAGTAAAAATGTCACACGAAAAATAGCCCACATGAAATAAGGCCAAAATCAGGATTACAATTGTTTGAAACTGTGATTTGCATATAGCCTGTACCACTAAAATGGGAGTCCACATTATCACAAAAGTAATATATTATGTAACATGCAAGTTTGTCCATTGAGAGGGAAAAACACCAATATATATTATTTAACTGCAAGCATGCAGTTTTAGATAGAAACCAAAAGGTCTGCCAATGAAGGTGTAAATGTTAAGCTAGCTAACCTGTGATAGCAAGGCTGCATTGATACCAATGTCAAAGAACTGCAAGAATATGCTAATTGCCATCGTCACAGGATCCACAGAGCCAGCCTGTCAGAGAATGTATTACTATTTACCGAAAACAAAAATGGAAACTAATAGGGCCATCAGAAACAGACATGTAAGCAAGTGATTATAGGTAATACAAGAGACATGAAAGAATTACCTCTTTGAAAACAACACTTTGCAAAGACTGCACAGAGAAATTAAAAGTAGTCAGGCACTACTCCAAAAATCAATAGTAACTTCAAGAAACACTTGGACAAGTTTGAAACTTTCCATCTTTGTTAACATGAAGAAAATAAAATTAATGTTGGCAAACTATGTAACTAAAGTATTTTCAATTCAAACAACCTCATTAAGTGAAAAAAAAGGCATCTCATACCTTAATCATTTTATATACACAGTAGACTGAGCATGCATAACCCAGTAGGTTCTGCATATGACCCTTCCAGGTTCGAGAATAAGCAGCAGCCTCCTGTCAAGTAAGACTCATATAAATCTTCTTTTCACCACTTTCAATTTTCAATCAGCTATGCTTCACCACATTTTAGCCATTAAATATGGGCAAACATTATTATGCCCTAACTTTAGTTAACCGGGTCATTTTTATCATCTATTACACTCTTGAATGGCACATGGAATTGAGTTTTAAATAGCCTACACAAATTTCCAATTCAGAAATCTTCACTTGTAAGTTGTAACACCTTCAATTAAGAGACAACAGTTTTTAAAAAACTATCGCGGTGAATTCTTAATGGTTTTGAAGAGAAATTTCCCTTCATCCAAGCTAGCACCTAAGTTCCAGTCTTGCACCCAGGTTGAATAAAACCACAATGGCTAAGGTGCATTTTAGCAAAAGTTTTTGAAAATTGTAGTACCTAAAATAACAGATGCATGGTTCAGTACAAACAATCACATAGGTCAGCAGTCCCATAGGGAATCATTTAAAATCTATATCATATAACTGAAATTACAGAACTGGAAGTAAACCTTTGCTTGACGAAGCTCATATATTTCCAGGAATAGCTGCTTTGAAAGCTCTTCCAATGCTAGCACTTCTGCTTCCATGTTTTTGATATCTAAAAGAAAAGGGGACGGGAGAGGGTTGGGGGGGGGGGGGGGGGGGGGAAGGAGGATAAGTGAAATAAGACAACTATGACGTCTTTACAGAGTAATTGCACTATGTTGATGGTCTGGAAAGCTTAATACGACAACATATCTAGTAGGTCTCAATGCATGCAAATAACACGGCTAGAGAAGTATTAGAGAACTTTAAAAATTAAGCAATCAATTATTTCAAAACAAAATATGCAAGATCTTATCATAAGGAAAAACATAAAGTAATACCAACCTTGCTCCTTTTGATCATCTTGCACAGATCGCACAACAGTGCCAACAATTCTTTTAAATAAAGATCTAGCTTTTAATTTCTGCAACTATAAATTTAATTAGGCACAAGTCGGGATTAGGTTTATAAACACTGCTAATAACTAAACCCTTAAAGAAATGCTAATACAAAATGCAGTTTCTAAGTAACACCAATTTGAACAACAGAATAAGATTATGATAGAGTTAGCACATTGAAATACGACAAAAGTATAGAAATCAAGATGCAAGAGTTTTAACACTTTGGAAACGGAAAAGTATAGGATAGTGAAGAGAACCTCTTCTGGTCCTTGAATGCGTTCCATCTCCATTTGAGAAAGAATGATTTTCTTCTTCTTAGCAATACAAGTCTCGATGGAATGCATGAGCTGTGTTTCCAAGGACTTGATCTCAGTTTCCTCAATTTCTCGGATAAAGAGAGATAAGTAACTATAGGGCAAATTGACAGCTCCAAAACCGGACAAGACAGCCATGACAGTAACGCCAATGACGCCAATGCGACTGACCAACTGAGGCATGGTGAAGAAGCCTTTATCGGGCGAAGGCATAGGGAAGTGAATGCCCATGCGCCAAAAAGCATAAAGGAAGGAGAGCAAGAACAAGAAGGATCCAAGAGCAGCGCGTTCCTTCCGAAACCCTGAGATGAATAGATGAAACGATTGGAGTTTAAATTTTCGTAAACTAGTAAGTATGGTAGTACAAGGTGTTTGTTAGAGGCTATGGGGCCCTGGAGGCAGTGGGTAGGCGTACCATTGTTGCAGAGCATCAAGAAACAATGATAATAAGGCAACATGAAAACCAGTAACAGTATGAGACAAAACAAATCGAGCTTCCAGTTGAGCCATCGGGCCCTGCAACCAAATCATACAATTTTATGTATTTATTTTATAGAAATCAAACGCAAATGCAAATTATTAAATTATGCAATCAATCATGAAATTATAGTTTCCTTGTAAACAGAAAAGGAAAATGAAAAAAAAAAAAAACCTTTGGGAGAGAAGGGGGATGATCTCGAAGAGGACGAGCTGCAGAAGATTGCAGGAGAAGGCGAAGACGACGCTGAAAATGATCTGAACTAAGACCCTCTTCTCTTCGTACTCTTTGTAGAGCCTTCGGTTCAAGAACCACAGCCCCGCCCATCCCAGCAGCCCTAGCGATCCCAACGCCACCACTCCCTCGTAGATTGCCCAACCCCAACCCATCTATTCTCTCTCTTCTGGGAATGAATTCGATCCTCGATCCCCCTCCTCACTATTGAGCATTGACTATCCTGATCGAATTCGTAAGGGCATCCTCCTAACTTTTCATACAAACCATATTTCAATTCAATCTCGAGACGTTAACTCACTGGCAAAGTGGGAACTAGGAACGATTTCTCCTGTTTCATTTTTTTTTTCTGAGGGAATCTTTTTTCGGTTTTGTCGGTAAAAGAGAGAATGAAGTTTTGTCGCGGGGAAAATTCCGTTACGTTAACGTTTTTTTTTTTTTTTTTTTTTCTTTGTGCGCATGTTAGTGAAAAATATGTGAAGCATATTGTTTTGTGGAAGTAAATTTTTCAAAAATACTAGATACGATATACTTGATACAACATACTTGATACAATAAAAATAAGGGTATTTAGAGTTTTTAAGAGAAAAATAAAATTATATATGACACCACCGTTGTCACTATTATTAGCACTACTTGGCCGCCACCACCACCTTTGTTGTCTCATCATCGCCACCCCACCCACACCACCTCTGCCACCGTCTTACCATTACCACTAACACTTACACCCATGGGCGAATCTACAGAGGAGCAATGAGGAGCGATCGTCCCTCATCTCTTTGGAAAATAAGCCCAGTAGTGGGTAGTCGCCCTACTAGTCAGTCGGAAAACTTGCAAACGCCCTCTGGTTCCTTTACTGTTGTACAACATCCATTGTGCAAAGGCCTTCGTTTTTTTTTTAAATCCCAAGTACTATCGGCGTATAGCCAAGAAATAAGATGAAATATGGCCATTTCCAGTGCGAGCCGGAACTGCGTTGCAGAAGCGGCAGTTCAAATGATTCGCGAGGAAGAAGAAGGGGGCCATCTATTTAAGTTGAAACGCACAGTTTAATTTTTGTTGTGGCTACCAATGAAAATACTGCTGCAAGCCACTTTTGATTTTTTTTTTATATATATAATTATTTTTTAATATTAACAAAATATTTCAGAGCATTCATTTTATTAATCTATATTTTAGAGTTTTATAAAAACTAGTAACTCACTGTAAGAAGTGTACTTTTCTCATACGATATTCACTAAATTATTAAAATAAAAATTTTGATAATTTTGATTGTTATATGTTAAATAATAAGCTTAATTAAATATAAAATTGAAGCTTCAATACAAGTATAATTTTTTAAGGTGTAAGACACTTATGTATATGATATATACATAGTAATTTATTCAAATACGTCTAGATTCCCACCTAGGTGTTAGATGATATATAAATAAATTTACTCAAATCTGCCCAGGCACCAGGCTTTAGTTCGCCACCCGACTAGACCTAGCGTCTTTTAGAACCTTTAACCTTAATTATGAATGACATTAATATTGCCTACTATCTAAAAGGATTTGATTGTCTACAATTTTTTGGGACCTTTTACAGTTTTAAATTATGCCCCTCCTCCCGACTATTTATGGCTTCACCACTGCTTACACCTCCATTGCCGCCACCACCCCCCACCATATTATCACCACTAACATCTATGTTGCCATCACCACTCCCAATACCACACCCGCTACAACAACCATCTACTACCTGAGGTATTTTTTAATGTGCCTGAAACATAGGATGGTATGCTATATGTTATTATACAAGTGGAGGAAGTTATTTTTTTTAAGTGTTCCTCCACTTGTATAATGAATGACGCATATAGTTCATATTCATATGAACTATATGTGTGTAACAAAATCATCGTCGGATCGTCGAAATAATGATTATATTAAAAAAAATATATATATATATATATTAGTATTGAAATCAAATCCTCAATTTGCATTTTTTCATCAATTTGTCTTCAAAAGAAGTATATTTTCATATAATGAAATTCTCTCTTTAGCAAGTATTTTTCTCTCCCTCTTTCCTTTTTCGCTACAAAATATCCAGGTCCAAAAGCATAGAGTGTTTTTAGGAGTGAGTCCAATTATCTAATTATATGTTTTTATTTCTTTTATACTCATTTTCTATTTTCTAAATAAATTAAAAATCAATTAAAATCTTCTAATATTATGCATTTTCCAACTCCAAAAAATCTAATTAATATCTTAAAACAAAAAAACTAATATACTAACATAAATTTATGTGCAAAACTGACACACCCCGATTGAGATCAGGGCATGCTGGCCGTCACGTGGAAGTGACGTAACCATGTGCACAGTGCGGAAGCTAATAAAATAATAATAAAAGTACGAATAAATAAAAACCAGCTTTACACAAAGTAAGAACATACATGTGCAAGCATAAGTGTGAAAACAAAGTTCAGAGCACGAAAACCTAATGCAGTCCGGGAGAAACAACACTACTTAAACATACCCAAAGGTGGTCCTACACTGGTGATAATCTGTCAGATATGCCGGAGAAATCCTCTGGGGAGCCACCAAAAGTGCTAGCCAACTAGACCCTGGAGGGGCGCAAAACAGAAAATGTGAGTGGGTAAAAACAAAGCTTTTCAAAAACCATTTCATAAACAAAGTTCTAACCCCTCACCGTAAAACCTGTATACTTCCCAGAAAAATAGAATATACATATATATAAGTCATGCTCAGAAATATGCCATGCCAAAAGCCTCGAAATAAAATGCAAGCACTTAGGTAATGCCAAACAATGCCATGTAATCTGTCAGCCAGAGTCACCTAACGTGACCTGTACGACTGAATCTAGAGCTCAAATCTCCATCTCACTAACTGTACCTGCACACGAGTCGGAACCACCTAGAGTGGTCTGTACGATAGGACTATAATAAGTACGCTCAAGTGCTACGATCACGTGAAGGCTGGGCGACTAATCGCGGGTCTCCTACGAGTCGGAACCACCTAAAGTGGTATGTACGACAGGACTGTGCACCTAACTTGGATCCAAGATGAGCGTGTGGTGCGGGGGGTGAACATCACGTGAAGGACTGTGCCCAACTCTGGGCGAGAGCACTAACTGATGTGAGAATTATACGCACACAAATTAAAACCCTCTTGTGACAATTGTAGTATAAGTATAAGTAGGGATCGTTCTTAACCGGGGATTAGGAGGGATTGCAAAATCACTTGGAAACTGACTCAAAAACGTAAAATAAAGTTTAAAACACTAAACTAGACTCAAAGAATGCAAAAATAAACACTTAAAACACTAAAACAAACCAAAAGACTCAAACAGCACCCAAAACACTCAAAACAACCTTAAAAACACTTTCTGGGCAGTTTTGAGCACTTTGACTGCTTTGGACGAAATTGGGTAATAAAATGAATCAAAACACTTAAAAACACAAATTAAGACACTTTCTAACTAAGTTGGACACTAAAGCAAAGGGGGATTGAGTTTTTAACGAAATTAAATAAAATGCACAGAATGTAATTCAAACAGATTGTAAAGATGAATTTGATGAAAATATGGATGAAATGCTAGCTAGAGGGTTCTTCTCCACACATGTCACACTTGCACACAAAACGATTTCTAATTGCTTTTCAATAAACCATGAATTCTCAACGCCCCAGATTAACCGTGAATTGCACTAATTAACCCTCAGATTTTCCTAACGTTATTGAATTGGATGATTGCATACGACAACCCAAAACATTCCCCACAAGTCCCCTACATGATTGCATAATAAAGATACAAGCAAGAATCATTAAGTTCTATGAAAACCATAAGCATTGACGAAACACTTGTTACTATGATTGCATGAAACTTATGCCAAGAATTTACTTAACGCGATTGAGATCATCAACCTTTACTACTTGTGAATATAATTCCATAACGATTAGGTGAAATTTCCTTATATCCTAGCATCCAATTTATGCATGATAATTAAGCGTGCACTCTCAACCAACACACACAAATCAATGTAACTCACATAGATAAGTAAATTGAATTCACAACTTATGAAACACAATTGGAAGTAATCAAATCATATTGCAAACATAAACATGTATTTCGAATCCCCCCCTAGCCAAGGGGGGTTTAGTTCCTCATACGTACAAGACAAAGATAAGTAATTTTAACCATTGAAATCAAGGAGAGGAAAGCACCTAAAAATTCCAACAACTCAAACTTGAATTGTATGAACGTTTAAGCACTCTTCTCCTCCTCTTCGTTGCGGTACAAGGTCTAAGCACGGGTTTGATGGCTGGAATGTGTATGAATGCACGGGTTTGATGGCTGGAATGGATGTGTGATGATAGGGTAGTGTTTTAGAGGGATGGGGAATGTTGGGAATGGAAGGAGGAAGTGCACGGCTTTTGGGCAGATTGGGAGATGGTAGGGGGAATGCACGGCTTTTGGGCAGATTGTGTGAAGTGTGTATGAATGAATGGTTGTTTTGTGGCTGCAATGGATGTTTATTTATAGGTGGATGAATGATTAAAGAGGGAATATGACAGCTAGGTTGGTTGGTGGCTGCCATCATGAAGAGTGCATAGATGTGGCTGAATGGGTTAAAGAGGGAATGATGATGGGAGAGCATGTGGGTGACAGCTAGGTTGGTTGGTGGCTGCAATGGAGGTGTGGAATGATGATGGGAGAGCATGTGAGTGAATTATGAAGAGTGAATGCATGTAGGGTGCTACTATGGTGGGAAATATTGGGCAAAAAATATCTTAAGGCTTTATTACTTAATTTAGGAAAGGATGTAACTCCAAATCCTCCTTTAGGTCTTCAATTTCGTCCATTCCTTTTGCTCCAAGCATATGCTATCCATTCCAAGCCCAATTTTGCTCCAAAATGCTCCAAAATGCATCATTTTGCATACTTTGCCCTTAAATCCTGAAAATACATAAAACTAGCTTAAAAGACTACTTTACTAAGGAAAAACACTTTAAATGCACAAGACAAGCTAAACTAAGGTGCATAAATATGCTCCTATCACTAACACCGGGGGTGCAGGTTATGAGCTCTTTATGCATCTCAAATCACTACTGAACATAAACATAAATCATAACTCACCTGGCACTTAACTGTGCATCCGCAGCACCAAACATATATATACATATGCGACTAATAATGCGTAAATAAATGGCAAACAATAAGCATGGCATATAAACGTATAAACGTTTCATTTCACTTTCTGGGAAAAGCATAAGTATATAGGTATATACGGAAAACCAAAAGCCCACTCACTGGTATGTAGAAGGGTCGTAACCCCCTTGCCTCGAGTGACCGCGCTCTTCCTTGGGATAGGTCTCACCTATATGCGAAACAACTATAAAAACACTAATTTTAAAGCACATAACCAACCTTATGAAATAACTTCTCATACAATGCTCAAATGGGGTGTATGAATACACCAACGTGATCTACTCAACCTCAGGAACATCCCCATATTTTATAAAATAATTTTTCAACGTCGTACGCGCCCCACACGCGCCGGCCACGCGCAGGCACGTGCCTGGCACACTGACGGCGTCAGTTAACGCCGTCATGAATATTCCGTTAACTCTGACGGATTCCGTTAACGCCGTTAGGAATATTTCGTCCAAACTGACGGAATATTTCGTCATCTTCTCCGGCCAAACTCCGGTGCCGAAAAATTGGGAAAACTTCAAAACCTTGTATCTTCTTCGTTTTTCAACCAAATTTCACAAAATTGGTACCAAAATGAAGCTTACAACAAGAGGAACAAATCCATACCACTTACAAGCACTAAAACTCAAGGAATCTCGCAGGGAAAATACCACCAACTCCGGCCAAGCTTGAAACTCACGATCCCGACGTCTAAAACCTTTAAACGAACCACCCCGAGCCTCCTAAGGACCTCACAAGCTTCCTACAAGCTTGAAATTCCCAAAAACACAAGAATTAACGTGTGCATGAACAGTGACCAAATCGGGGTATCCCTAGTTCGACGTGAAAACGAATGTATCCTTACCTGAAATGGGTATGGTTGAACTCCTACGGACCTCACGAGCATGAATATGTAATTTGTTTCCTCGATTTGTGAAGGTTTCAATGGTTTTTGTTGTTGTCCGTACAAAAAGAATAGGAAAGGGAGAGAGGGAGAGAGCTCGGGACAGGGCAGGGAGAGAGGGTGAGTGAGTGTGGTGTGTGTGTGGTCCAAAACCAGCCAAGTAACACCCAAAAACAACCACACAACGAAACAACCATAATAGGGGCAAAATCGTCATTTCTCCCATACGGTTCGAAAATCCGGAACGGGCTGTCACAAAAACATTCTACCCTAACTCAAGTAACAAATATATGAACGTATATTATACCTATATGTGAGATATGAAACCTAATTAAAAGGTAGAAAAAACATAACATACCTACAAGCAAGACACATTAATATGTGACAGGTTGATTATAAAAAAAAATTATTTGTCATACAGGTTGATAAATATAATTAACCAATGATATAGGTTGATTATAAAAATTAAAAATAAAATCTATAAATGGGGTTTAAAGCAGGAGGAAGAACGAGAAATAACAAAAAAAAAAAAAAAAGCAAATAGACAATTGGGAAGAAATTTGATTTTTATAATAAATATTATCATTGAACAGATAGCTATTGATAATTAAATAATCAATATAACAGATTGGACTATTTATACTATTGACTAAAAAAAGGGTAAATTACACTTTCATACCTCAGGTTTGGGGTCTATTTCAATTCCTTACAACATTTTCAAAACATTTCACTTTCATACCTTAAGTACTATTTTATTTCAAAATAATACCTCCGTTACATTTTCCATCCATTGATCCGTTAAATGCTGACGTAACTGCCACATATATGCCACGTGGTTGCCAAATGTCTGCCACGTGGCAAAAAAAAATTTAAATTTTTTTTTAAACCTAAATCTTCTAAATATAAATAATAATTAAAAAAAAATTGAAATAAACACCTCGTCAACCCCCCAAACCAAAAACCTAGAAACCCAATAACCCCCCCATCACCCACGTGAACCCCATCCCCCCCCCCAAACTAGAAACCCAGAAAAAATAACACCCGCCCGCCTGTGACCCTACCTGCACACCCCCCCAACCCATGACCTTCCCTCCCTCTGCACCCACCTTCGCACCAACCGTCTTCCTTCTCTACACACCCCCCACTCCTTAAATCCACACCCATTCCACGAAGCTGGCGATGGTGCGACATGATCTGGGTTTTTTTTTTTTTTTTTTTTTTTTTTTTTTTTTTCCGGGTTGCAGGTAGGGACCGAAGGAAGAAGATGAAGATGGGGGAGAAGAGAAAGTAAAATGGGGGGCGGGGGGCAAAGACGAACTGAAGGGTTTATTTTTATTTTCTTATTTTATTTTTCTAGGTTGTAGGGAAGAAGATGAAGATATGAAGATGGGTTTAGGGGTTGCGGGGAGAAAAGAGGAGGTTGCAGGTAGGGGGTTGGGGGAAGAAGATGAAGATGGGGGAGAAAATAGGGGAAGAGGGGGGGGGAAGATGAACTGAAGGGCTTTATTTTTTATTTTTTATTTATCTGGGTTGCAGGGAAGAAGATGAAGATGGGGATATGGGTTTGGGGGTTGCGGGGATAAGAGAGGAGGATGAGAGGGATAAGGTTTTGGTTTTTTTTTTTTTTTTTTTCTCTCTCTGGGTTGCAGGTAAGAGGTCGGGGAAGAAGATGAAGATGGGGGAGAAGAGAGGGGAAGATGGGGGGGGGTGGGAAGACGAATTGAAGGGAATTTTTTTTTTTTATAATTTTTTTATAATATTTAGAAGATTTAGGTTTATTAAAAAAAATTAAAAAATTCTTTTTTTTGCCACGTCGTAGACATTTGGTAGCCACATCAGCATTTAACATATTAATGGATGAAAAATGTAACGGATGTATTATTTTGAAATAAAATAACACTTAAGGTATAAAAGTGAAATGTTTTGAAGATGTTGTAAGGAATTGAAATAGACCCCAAACCTGAGGTATGAAAGTGTAATTTACCCCTAAAAAAATTGGACTTATATCAAGTTTTCCCTCTATTTTAATAACTTTTAGGTAGCCCACCTATTGAAAATTTGCAAATTCCACCCTTGCATTTTAATCTTCCTTAAAATAATAAGATTAGAAGGGATGAACTTCCTTCACATATAGTCCCCTTCTAATCCCCTTCAAATAAAAAATATCATTCACTTCTATCTTTAATATACATTGAAATTTGAGAATTATCTATTAAACGTCAATCATATCATAATTAAGTCACGTCAATATTTATATTATTTTTTATAGATAAAGACAAGCATAAAAGTGTGAGAGGATGAGAGGGAGGGAGAGGGGATAGGAGGGGAGAGAATCTCCACCACCTTATCATCCCACTAAAAAAGTTATAAAACAACCAAACGACATGAGCAACACTGATGAGCGTACCAATAGGTGTAAGAAGAGATTGTAGTATTTTATATGAAGTTTACATAAGCTATAAAAAGGGAAATTCGAACTTAGGTGCATACCATGTATATTAAAATTTAGCTTCATTTATGATTGCTGACAACTAGTAAACATTTTAATGTGAATACTCTATTTATACTAAAATTCTCCATAACTCGAATTCTTTCTTTTTCTCCTTCATGTTTGTAAATACGTCATAATAGAAGATACTATCATATTAACTTACCTGCACCCTATCATAGCTCTAAATTACGCTAGATCCCATAAAAACTCTAAATTAAGCTATCCCATAAAAACTCGAAATTAAACAAGAGTAATACCACGATGGATGTCATTGTGTTGCATTTTTTTTACCACAAAAAAATGTCATAATAATAGCTATTAAAAGGGTGTAGTAATTTTTTTATTTTCCCGCCAAAAGGAAGACAGAGTCGGAGAGGTCAGAGCGGTAATTTGCGGTGCGTTAGAAACCCTAAATATTATTATGTAGAGTGTAGAAGAGAAAAGAACATCAATGGGGTCTGCATCTGCAAGTGCGGGCGATTCACCGCCCCCATCAAGCCCCGATGCCGCCCAAAACAACATCCAGGTCCCTTGCGTTCCTTTCCGTTTGTGTTTATTTATGCTTTATTATTTCTGTTTCTTTCAAATCTTGTCTAATTTTTAATTAAGCAGCATTTCTTCGTTCTCCACAAAGCATCTGAAAAATCAACTTCTGGTGGGCAAGCCGAAAGAGGCTCGACCTATGCCCAACAAAGCTTAAGGAAGGCGACGAGGGCTGCTTGCGAATGGAAGCATTTCAGTTAGTTTGGTCAGGAATCGAATCCTCCATCAAGGACGTTCTGAGGAATATGAATGCTCAGGTTTTCAACCAGATACACAGCTGGGTATGCGATTCCTTCAGTGCTATGAAGCCAATTGCTCCCATCCCTTCTCCTCTCGGCCCTTTTCCGATTGTCCCACGCTACTTCTTGTGCACAGCTCTTCACTGCGCTCCTTCTCACCAGTATGCTTTTGTTCTTCAACATCTCTTCCCTTTTAATTTATCCTAATTCCAACTTGAGTTGATTGAGTTGACCGATTGACTCATTACTGGCAGGGAATATCGAGTTTGTTGACGATTTTTCGACATTTCAAGAGCTTGGCCTCAGCCTGAAATCTCACGGATGCCATGTCGCTAACCTTTCCTCTCTCGACTTTTCACCGAAGAATGGGATTGCTGGTTGTCTTTCAAGTTTATTGAGACAGTTTTTGATGCGCTCTTTTGACGTAAGTATTTACCTTTCTTTGTCCCTTCAATTTAAATTATACAACAAGTAGATACTTACTCAATTTAATTTAATTTGTTTTACTCAGGCAGGTGATATGTCCCTATTGGCATCATGGTACAGCCAGCACGGAAACTATGGTTCTCAGGTGGTTGTCATTATAAACGACATGGAAAGATGTTCTATTCCTGCTTGTCTGATTTCATTCTTATGTTGAGGTATTCTAACCCCAACCCTCACGTTTTGCTTATACAATAAACAACACAGATACTTTCCGTCCATCCTCTGTGAGTACAAGATTTTGCTTACCTGGGCTTGTAAATTGGTCCACTATTTGTATCAGTGAATGGGTTGTCAAGATCCCAGTCATTTTAATAATGGGAGTTGCAACAACGTTGGATGCCCCAAGAATATTTCCTTCAAATGTGCTGAAGAAGTTGTGCCCTTGCATGTTCATGTTGGGATCACCGGCTGAGAGGATGGATGCAGTTGTTGAGGCTGCTCTTGTGAGGTGCTGCTCTGGTTTCGCTGTGGGTCACAAGGTGGCTATGTTTCTGCGAAACTACTTCTTCAATCAGGATGGTACACTGGCATCTTTTATTAGGGCTTTGAAGGTTGGTAATTAAGTTGTTGCATTTCCTCTCATGTTCTTTTCCCATCATGACTAGGCCCCTGCTGATGTCAAAAAGTATTTTTTTAGATAGCATCTGTCCAACATTTCTCCTCGGAGCCTTTAAGCTTCATACTTGGTCGATTGCTTGTTAAAGAAGGAAGCAAGGTTAGCATCCATGAAATATCACTTTCCTCCTTGTGTCCACCATGTTTACAATGTTATACATTGATAAATAGCATTCATGCAAGATGCATGACTTATACCCACATTCTTACTCATATTCCTTTTCTGCCATCTCTTATTTAGATTTTTCATTTAATTGACAGAAGAGAAGTATTTTCCTTTTTGTACTCTACTGAACTGTAACAAAGTGGATAATTGCTAACAGATCCCTTCATGATCCTTTTTTGGATTTGGATTCTGGAAGGAAAGGTCTTTTGACACAGAACATTTGGTTTATGTATTGATGTATTTATATGCAATCAGATATGCACACGTTGGAATGTCCATGAAAGCAACAATAACCAATTTGACGATTATTGCTCCCTGCTTGCATTCTTTGTGATTTTATTATTTTTATTTTATAATACCATGCATCCATGATAAGTTTTCTCCAACCTCCCCCAACCCAATGCCAAACGATGTTTTGGATATTTTTACAAAGATATAATCTGGCCATTGAAGGGATCTCAGAATGAGAAAGTGATCAAGTGTGCTTCCAAAGTTTTATTTCATGGAAGGTAATCGTAATCCTAAGATTGAACAATATTTTTACATTTTTAGTAAAGGATGAGTTCAAAATGTGAATGAAAAAGATAACGTTCTGACATCTGATGGAAATTCTGTCACCAGGGATCAAATGGCTGAACAAACTGATATCAATATAGCTCATGGTTTGACAGAGTTGAAGAGATTGCAGATGCTCTGGAGCACTGTTGTTCTGGTGACTACTTTTTAATATTTTATTTTTATACAGATACTAATTATTAGTGCTTCAAGCCTTCAACATTCCTAAGCTTAACATCTTTCAACTTGTATGCTTAAATGCATATTTTGATATGTTTTTACGGGTTTTGGCACCTCAAGCTGAATTTTTGTAGCTAATGTCTGATGAGTGAAGGAACACTGTTTAGTGTTTATTTCTTCTTTTTATTTCTTATTTTTTTATTTTCTGTATTTTGACACACAAGTGTTTTGCAGTGCTTATATGAAGCTGGGAAGTTCGACAAAATTCAATTGTTAGACTTATTTTGCGAGGCGCTTGATCCAGATATTTACAACTCACTGGCTTCTGATAATGATAATCTCACTGGAGTGGGAAAGAGTTTTGCTACATCTTTGTCAAGTGATCACTGTGTGCTTGAACAAAATTTGAGCTCCCGAAAGGGACACCTAATTTGTCAGGTAGTTCGCAAAGTGAGGTAAGTAATGTGGCCTAAAAAATTCAGATGCACTGAAGTAGGTCTCATGTTTCAGTTGCATGCATGGTTTACTTTTTATGTTTACTTTGCCTGAATTTGTTGAGAAGCATAGTTTTTTTTTTTTTTTTTTTTAATTATTTTATTTATTAGTATTTATGCTTTGCTGTTTCATTCTTATTTAAGCACCATGATAGGTAATCTCAATTTAGATGAGTCTCACTTTCTCTGTTCCATGTTTTGCTAGATGTCACCAATTTTTATTTTTTAGTTTGTTTTACATATTTTTATCATTTATGTTCATCATAATACTGAAATTGGAAGTTTTGCTTATCTGTTAACTTAAGTTTCCTTTTTTCTTTGTCGGTAGTCTCTGGTTTCTGAACCGTGTAAACTTTGGAATTGACCAGGGATCTTCCTGCAGTATTGCTCTGTCAGTTGCTCAAAAGTTGGGAAGTTCTCACTGTCAATGTTTTTGAGGTATGACTCTATGACAAGGGTTTTCTTGTTTTCTTTGGGGCTTTTGATAGATTTGAGGTATGACTCTATGACATGGGAAATTCTTATCACATTGGTCGCCAAAATTGCTTGGAAGTGGTCCTTGTATTTTTTCTTTCCATGATTAGGTGTTGCTTAGATTTTTTGGGTTGCATGTACGGGTTTATGAATTGTGTTGCTTGACAGGAGGTATAGTAATGCTGTGCTGTTTGGAGAAAAGAAGACTGGTTTTCTGAACTGAATTTGTCACAGAACTAAGAGCTTGTGTTTTGTGATCTTGTTCTGCATGCTTTGTTATAGACTTTCTTTCTTCTCTTCTTTTAATTCTTGAATATCTTGGTAGTGAATATATGCACAGAAGATAATTTGGAATTCTTCGTTTGCACGTAACTCCTCAAGGAAATCTTGATCTACTATCTTTTATTAGTTAAATACTAATCAAACAATTGAATATTAACGGAGGATAATTTGGAATTTGGACATACATCCCATCATTTATCTTTTCCTTAACTCAATATATATTTATTTCCTGAACATTTGTGAAATCTATTGATGGGAATATATATTTCTTAACAGCTTTAAAGATATTCAATGGTTTATGTGTGCCTTAGAGATGCTAAACATGTAAAGTGAGTGCCTTACAATGCTAAGCTTTGTTGTAATTTTGTCACCTTAGTCTCATCATCTCACGAGTCTCACCTAGCTATTACTATAGCATGCTTCAAGCAGTGATGGTAGTTGATTACTAAGTTAATTGAGTGACCGTAATAGATTCATGAGAAGGTAAAGGAGCTGCAGTCATTAATGAAATTTGAGGGAGGAAGTTGCAAACCAGATTTGACTGACATATCCAAGTAATCTCTCTCTCTCTCTCTCTCTCTCTCTCTCTCTCTCTTATTTTTTTATATTTTAAACCTCTGTTCATGTGACAGGAGAAATAGAGCTCACAGTGGAAAAGCTGCTATATTAATTGACTGTATGGTGAGGTAATTCTTACTACTTAGCAATTGTCTTTTAAAAACTTAATACCCTAAACCCTAATGAACTGACCTAATCAATCTTGAATCGAGAGTGGAGTAAGAATGGACGAATGGTACTAATAAATTACTAATACACCAGAATCGGAATGGAAACCAGTTTAATTACTAAAATGCCCTGAGAGCTGTTGGGTTAAAGTGAATGGGTAAACTTGAAATTTTAGAAATAAATGTGTAAATGATAAATTTTGATTCCTTGTTTTCCAAGAATCAAAATACTAGCTCCCAAAAGAGTCCAATTCTTCCAAAATCAGGAGTTAATCCTTGTTCTGTGTGGGCCCCACTTATATTTTGATTCCTGCATTTTTAGTAAACACATGAATAATCTGTAATCGTCGTCCAACTCTTTCTTTTGATTCCGCATGTGAATTATTAAACATGAAGAATGGAGCCTATTGACTTCTCTCTTTGCAGTGAAAAGGTTGGCAAACACATGACTCCTTTGTGTAATATCATAATAAAACAACTGAAATGTGCTTTCGTAATACCTGTTATCTGGATTTGTTTTGTACCTTACTATCTGGTTATTGAAAAGCATTCTAGGCTAATGTTTTCCCTTTTATTTTATTATTTCTTCATGACAGGTATTTCATGATGCCGATTGAGTGCATACATCTTCATGAGATTTCCTGCTTTAGAAATGTTGAAAAACTTCAATCGGTAAGCATTGTATTGGGCTGCTCTGGTTAATATACATATACCAGCAACTTATTACTTATAATATATTTTGTATAGGATTTTCTTACTACCAGATTTTCAGATATTGTTTTGATATTAAGCAATGAACATTGAAACTTTTGGAAGTTTGATTTGTAATGTTTTGGCAGGTTTATTTCTTATCAGATTTAGCTGATTAACATGCCTTCCACTTATGAAACTTTTTAAACTTAATTTTGGAACTCTATATAAGTCATTTCTTAACTTCCTACTAATTTCAGGTTTTAATTGGCGACTCGAGGAAAAGGATTCAAGTGGATCTTTTGGAGTTCCATAAAATCCTACGATGCAGTTGCTGCAGTAAGAGTGGCAACACTCCATTGTCTACCATGCCTGATACCTCAATTGTGTGAGTATAACCGTAGCTAACCCATTGAAATTGTTTGAAAAGCTATGAGAAATGTTGACACAAGTTATGGAAGCCACAATTCAAGTTTGCACTTTACTTTTTGAATAGTGATGTTAATTATCGGATTTGTTGTGTTTATATACAACAACTTTGTTGTCTAGGTATGGTAGGGTCTCTTGTATTGATTATCAGAGGCAAAATGAAATTTTCTACAGGTTTCATATCATTATGCGTGTTCGGTAAATCTTGAATTTTTTCTCGTTTGTATGGGCCTGAAAATATATTTTTTAGGGAAAATTTCTTTTCTAACAATGAATAACTTATTATCTCTAGGTAATAACTTTATGTATTGCCTATTGGTGTTGGATGATTAATAGGTCAAATCAAATACCTAAAAATAGATGATTTTTTTCTTTAGATTACATTACCAGTAAGGGAATACAAAACAAAGGTTTGAATCATAAGATCTGTAGCTGATGATTGATCATAATTCCATACATGTACATAGCAATTGTGGCGTTTTTAATTTCTGGTGACTTAATTCAAGAATAAGCAGGAATATACCAAAGTGACCCAAAAACACTGGACATGTGTTGCTTTAAGATTGTTATTACATGATCATTTTATCTTGTAGATATACCCTGGCTCAAGAGCACGGGGATCTTATCAACCTTCATGACTGGTTCCAGTCTTTCAAGACAATTGCTATTCAGCCCAAGAGGAAAGCGAAATGCAAGTTAAAGCAGTCCCCACTACCCAAAAAAAGAAAAGAAAGCAATGACTCGGAAAACAAGAGTGAAGCATCTATTCAGTATCCTTTTAGTTTTTCGTTCTTCACAGTGCACATCATCTTCATTTGTAGTGAGCGATACAGTCTCATTCGGCGAATATATAGATGAATTATGCATTCAACAGCCTTATGATTTTAAACTAAAGAACTGATCTAATCAAAGATGTTTATGGTGCTAGACATAATCTTACTATTTTCTATGGAAAGATCAAAATACTAAGTCACGAAACCAAATCCCAACATCTCTTGTTTATCGTTTTTCAATCACATATCTGCTTTGTTTTTATAGGTGCATAACAACAGCATGCATTGCTTCTGCCTGCATCAAGGATTATGTTCTGTAATGTTTTGCCTCATATTGACTACAGAAAATTTGAGTTGGATGTGCATCATGATCCTTAACCTTGCCTTTTCACAGAGCACGATTTTGCAGGGCAATCACAGAACTACAGATTACAGGCCTCATTCGGATGCCAAGCAAAAAACGTCGTGACTGCAGAGAGTGGCCTTTGGTCTGTGACAAGCTGTACAAGGTCAGTTGGCTCTTAGTTTTCCCCTTTTACTTGCATCGCCTCGGAAGATTATCGTGAAACTACAGATATTGTCCTTGTCTGCTTTAGAAATTTTGCATGCGCACGCGGGCACATTATGTATATACAGTACAGATGATCCTCCTTTCGACTAACATTAACAGGATGGGCTTCGGACACAAGATCAAGAAGTAGAAAGGACATTAGTGATTGTATGTACCAAATATTATTATTATAAACTTTTTTCTTTGGTAAAATATTATTGTAAACTTTTGGTTACCAACTAATTACATGATAGTCCTTAAACTAGTTATAAATAAATAAGGTGCGTACTCTATAGTGAGTTTAACATCAAGCGAAACTCACATATTTGACCCTTGAAAGAAAATACATAAATAATTTCAGATCTAAAATGTTGAGATAACACCACATTTGTTGGTTCACATATTCAGCTTCAAAAGTTCATAGTGGATCTCATTCATGCTTGAAGCTTTTGCTCTCAACGTGGGTCTCATTCTTGCTAAACGTGCTAGCTAGTAGAGACTTACTGTGGAGGGTGATTCATAAATTCTTATTGATTGTCTTTTCATCGCTGCTTGATGCCTTGGCAAATTAAAACTATTTGCAAATACATTTTAGATTTAGCTAGTGATTTCTCTTCTATTTTCTTTCTTTAGCTATTGCTAGACTTTATTTCTTTGTATTCTAGATAGGCTCTCATACTTGACTCTTCTTGTTTGACTTGCCCTATACGCTTTACTCTTACTTCATTTCAAAAAAATATTCTGAACTACATTTGCTTTTCAAGTTTGAGCAACCTCAATAAGTGATTGAAGAGAAGTTAAATACTCAAATTTTATTTTAGAATACTCAATTTTAAAATAAATACTCACCGACTCTTTAACCCCTAAGATCATCTCTAACCCTTGAGTTAAAATCTAAAATTTTTAACCCAAAAACAGTTTTTCTTTTTCAATGGTTACGGGTTAAAATTTTAGTTCGAGATTATTAAATAATGAATTTAAGCTAAATTTTTTTTTTAGTAACTTTTTTAAAAATAGAATTTATGTAGATTATAATAATTAGTTTCTATGGACATTTTTACCTTAAAATATTTAGACTTAGATAAAAAGTTGAAAATTCACTAAACCGACCCATGAAAGATGTATTTATAGAGTTTTTTTTATTTAAATAATTTTTTAAATTGTTTTAGCCGTTGGATTTAACTTTGGGCCGTTAGATTTTTTTTTTTTTTTTTACCGTTAAATTTAATCATATTCAATCTTAGCCGTTGGATTTAATATATTTAAAAATTAGATAGGTTTGAATCTGGACTATAGGATCAACCAAAAGTCAAATAATTAAAAGTGTCGGACCGAAAAAAAGCCGTTAAGCTCGTTTTGGATGGCCGACATTCTTGTGAGGGGCATGTCCCAATTCCAGCCAACCATCGTGGGTCTCGTGCTTTGGGTGCATCGCCTTTCTGCGATCTCCACTTTTATGGACGTGTGCACGTGCATAAGGTTAGCCAGCCTTTTAACCCTAGCCGGTATTTAGCGTTTTGCCCAAATTTTAGGTTTTAACCCAAACTTATTCTACATCCAACCATTGGAGAATGATTGAGTTAGTTTAAAACCTAGATTTTAAGTGTTAACTCAAGAGTTAGGGTAAATTTCTCTATAGCCTCTCCGAACCCAGAAAGACTGATAACCATTGGTTGCCAACAATTGTCCCAGTTAAAAAAAGATATATTTAATTTTTTACTAATGTCCCTCTATACGTATACATATTAAAAATAAATAACAAACAAACACGAAGTGGAAAAGTCAAAAAGTAAAGTGGGAAGGAGAACGAAGAGAAAGGAGCCCAAGTATGCGAAGATTCATGATGGACCAAGATTGTCTACCCTCCCATTTTTCATTCCCTTCCATCCCCTCATATTTTTCTAGCCATTGATTTCATGTTGAGTTAATTTAATGCTCCAGATTTTGCTACCTCACACATTTTCACTCTCCTTTCTTCCTCTTCGCTTCTACTACTGCATTCACAGACCAAGAAACATTTTTAGCTGCACAACAACAACATCCTCCACCAAGAATGCCATTGAATTACAATTGAGGGCTTATCTTTGTTCTGTGCATGAATGCACCATACATATGGTCCACAACATAATGGAGCATTCCCATATTCACAGTCACCAATTTTCAGAGAAACCCATAAATTCAAACACCAAATTTTTACAAAAGATGGTTTTTTTGATCAATTAAAAAAAAAAAAAAAAATAAACCAGATGGGATTATATGCAAATTTACAGAAAATGAGAAGAACCCAAAATCCAAAGTGCTGGAAAAAATAAGAATTTATGAATTTAATCATCTGAAAGTCATGATTTGGGGATGAACAGATTAGAGAGAACTATATAAAATTGAAATAAACGCTCGGGAACTATGGTGATTGTGAATTGAGAGGCGTAGCCGGTGAAGAAATCAATGGGAGACTGAGAAGAAGAAATCCATGAGACAGAAAGAGATGAGAGGAGAAGGGGTGGTGAGAGAGCCGAGGAGATCCATAATGGGAAGGCGAAACGGGAGAGGGAGAAGAGAGAGAGAGAACAAATCAAACCAAAACAAAACAAATACTGTGGGCTAAGAGGAAAAATGTTTTTTGGTCTGTGTGAATGCAGCATCAGAAGCGAAGAGGAAGAAAGCAGAATGAAAATGTGTGAGGTGTTAAAATCTGGAACATTAAATTAACTCAACATGAAATCAATGGTTAGAAAAATATGAGGGGATGAAAGGGATGAAAAATGAGAGGGCAGACAATCTTGGTCCCATGATGAAAGGGTGACGTGGCATAAAAAACGATGCACTAAAAAAAAAAAATGTAAGAAGTTATGTCCGGGTATCTTTATTGGGAAAATTTGAAATAGATTCAATTTTATAGATTACCTTTTGAAATAAGTTCAATTTTTAGTGACTTTTAACTTTTAAAAAATATCCAATTTTTAGTTACTTTGACTCGTATAAAAAAACCCCTTTTTTATTTTAGAAGTAAATAAGCAAAAAAGCCGCCATTTCAAAACCCTCCTCACCCACAAGTCTGTAGTGTAATGTAACTTGTATTTTGTTTTGTTTCTACAAAGGGAAAGCAAAAAAGGGGAAACAAAAATGGCGGAGTGACTGAGTCAGTTGCTTAAATTCTCAGAAACCCTAATGGCTACACTGTAAATGGACGAACCCAATGACCGAACGAGGTATGCCTTTATTTTCTTTTGCTTCGAATGATAGATTAGACAATAGCAGTCTCTTTCTCTCGTCTGTCGTCTCTGTGTGTGTGTAAATTCGAAATTTTAATCGATATTTTTGGTTAATGTTGGTCGATTTCATTTCAATTTTGAATTGGATTTGTAGGTTTTCGTCCCTGGATAGTTTTCGGGAATTATTTTAATTTGACGTCTTAAACGAATGAGGTTTTGTATTATATTATCAGACCCAGACTGCAAAATTTCTTGTGCATTCTTATTCAAAGGAAAAACTTTCTATTCTCTTCCGAGCTGACATTTGGGCGGGCAACTTGTAATTGCACTGTTGCTTGATTTGGTAGATTGTACTCGTATGAATGTAATATATAATCTTCAGTTTTCATTATATAACTGACAATCGAGGAAGACGCTCCATGTATTTCTGGCAAAATTCAAATTAGCTACATATGACATCGCTACTTTCTGATTTTTCTAAGACATTCCTCACAATCCCACATTCCTACCTGCCATGTGACCATTTACATTCCTTTGTTTCCAATTTTTAAACTGATTAACCATATTGTGGAGGAAAAAATGGAAAATTCTTGAGGCCATCTTTTGCCTAGAAACCATTTAAGGCTTAAACCGTAGTTTTAATGCCCAAATTCCTAAACTTAAAACATCAATTAAGCTTTAGACAATTGCGCTTTGACTTTTGTTAAATTGGCAATCCTTGTGCATTGGACAATCACGTCCTCCAGAATATTCACAAGATGTACCTTGGGAGGAACTTACAGGCAGTGAAATTAACCACGTGTTTGTTGATTTCTACATCCAGTCATTTTAGTAATTCTAAATCTTTCATGTGAAAATCTGTGAGGTTACTGTCTTTTCTCTGTTTCATTTGTCTTGCTTAGTATTCATGCATCAGTGATTGCAATTTTCATGTCAAGATTGATTAACTTCTCTTTCCTGATCCAGTTTTACCTAAGACGATGTCTTTCATATGGATAGCATGGAAATTTGGTATATTCTTGACATAGGTCATTCTTGGATGATTCAGAATTTTTTCCTCCGACACCACTAGCTTTTAAAATGAAACCAAAAACAACTGCTGTTCCTAGAGTTCAGAGATCCAAACCTTTTCAGGGCGATGGACCTAATTGGGTTCTTATTGCTGGTGGTGCCTTGTTAAGTACGTTGTCAATTCGTCTTGGTTACAAGCTAAAGCAAGCGCTTGACACAAAGCCCCAAGAGAATGCTAGTAATGGTTCGAATGTTACTTTAATGTGTATAGCTTTTTCATTACAGTGACTCCTACCTTTTAACATTGTTGTCAATTTCAGGAAGTGGAAAATCCTCTGACCGAAGGAAGTCTGCAGGTTGCTGTGTGCACTCAAACGTTTATTCCTTTAATCAACAAAATGATGGTGGTTGCTTTAATTGCATGTCAGGTATGGAGTACTAAATTCTTGACCTGGAATTTCTGAGGGTCTAAACAAGTAATTTCCATTCAGGATTCAAAATTAGTTTTGGCCAGTTGTTGATTACATTCATTTGCATAGTTCTCCTTTGGGTGTGAAAGGTTATATGATATATCGTGAGATACAACCATATTGAAAAAGAAGACAATGAGAAACTCAGTGTTCAGTTTTTAATGTTGCACCTTAATCAAACTTGGCTTTGTTGAGAATAACAGCAGTTAAACTCTTTTCGAAGAGTGAGGCTGAAGAACTGTATGGAAAGATTTGTTGTCAAACAGCAATCTGTATTTGGATTGATGCTAGTTGAGTTATTTGAATTGCGTTATGTTTGATGCAATTTATTTGCAGCTCTCCCTTATTGTTTTGTGTGCAATAGCTTGATATATTATTTGACAATCCATTATAATAATCTGGTTGTTTCATATATGTAATGGGTTTCAAATAGGAACTGAGGGCATGATGGAGATGAAGTGCCTGCCCAATGACCAGATGCTGGCTGAATCTGATGGAGCCCTGCCTTTAGTCACGGTTCCAGCCCCTGAATTTAACAAGGAGAATGGCATTGTCTGGGCATCTTCTCCTGATCGCCTTGAGTTACCTCCAAAGCCATTCCTCCACTATTCAAACTGC